TTTTTATTAAAGTTCTTACTACTAAGCTATATCGTAAGAAGTTTAATAGTATATCGAGTACGAGGAGTATACGACGCCGTACCTAGAGTTTTATATAGCTATATTACCTATAGTAATATATTTTAGATATCGATAAGCTAGAATTTAGATTAGGAAAAAACGCTTTTCGTATTCGATTCGAACACTTACTAACTAGGCTACTACCCCTATTCGCTAGTAGATAAACGAAATATTCGATATATATACCTTTAGACGGCGCTTTTATATAATCGTCTAATACGGAAGAAGTAAGTATATCTCTACGAAAAAGCCCCTATCTCTCCGTATCTATAAAGTACTACTCTACGACTCGTAGGTAACGCGTAAGGTATACGTATACGCGGTCGAATAGAAACCCGAAAATAGGTATTTATCGCTCTAACTTAGAACGACTCTAAACGAACTAAACGACTCTTTTCCCTACGACGATAATACGGTACGTAGGCGATTCGGAAACGAGCTAGGGTTAGCTCTCCCTAGAGAGGGAAGTAATTATAAAAGAATACTAAAAGATATTTAGAAACCTAAAAGAGACCGAAGTAAACTTTCCCTACGTAATAGTATACGTAATTCTCTAGTACGTATTTTATACTCGCCGTATACGAAGATAGAGAAGGTAGAAGTTTGTTCTACGCTTAACCTAGTACTAGGTTAATTAGAGTTCTATATATTACTATAACCCCCTATTATATATAGTTAGCTTTTAATAGTAGGAGATATTATCTTATTTTAGAGTAGGCTAAATACTAAGACTATTGCACGTAATGTCTCTATATAACGATACCCTTATTATAACGATAAGAATCTAATATTACCACGCTACTATTATAAAGAGGTTTAACTGTACCTCGTCGTCCGAAACCGAAACTCTCCACAGTTATCCACTTTCGTCCACTGCCTTTAGAAAATCGCCTCTTCAAACGCCATGGAACTTTTGAAAGTACCCACAGATTGTCACTTTGTAGAATGGACAAGTGAGCTACCTCTCCAAGTTATACCAATAATGGTGAGTGTATCACACCAGTAACAAGTCGCTTTCCAAACTCGCATACGGCGTGTTCCAAGACAGTCAAAGGCAGACGAAGATACGTTGACGCTCAGGCGTCAGACGAACTGGAAGATACCACAGCCGCTCTGGCTCGGCCAGAGTCCATGCCCTCGATAACGTACTCCAGCTGCGGAGTCTTTGCCAACGAGGTACCGATCTTAGCATAGCTCCCTGGCGTTCACATGTCGAGCTACGTGTTGCTTGAGTGTACGAGATTACTCGCGCTGGCCGAGTCCGGATCGCTAATTTATTGTTCTTTTGAGACCGTAGCCCTTGATACAGCTCACTCGAGAGCACCTGTTGAGTCTCCACGAGTCCATCGAGATGTTGATTGAGACCGGCCTCCCTGATGATGCAAAGGAGAGTGGCACTCGTAGCAACATCCGCGAAAGCCTCTTTTCGGCGCTTGAGCGCATGGAGAGAGATGGGGGTGGTGGACGGTCAATGCTATTGGAAGACGACATCCAAAGATGGAGTGGCACATACATACCAAGGGTACTTCTTGGACATGTTGTCTAGCCTGAAGAAGGAAGCACGAGCGCTTAACGAGATCGGAAATAATTTGTATACGCCCAGAGGGAGCCCATTGTGTTCCAACATGTCAGCCAGCCATATACGGCGAGGCAAAGAATTGATTCCTCAAGTCGAACGAACTAACATGCGGTTAAAAGCCTTACGAGATCCCTAGCGGATACAGCCTTGTCGACTAGTGTCCCAACATATGACAAACATAGAAGGTAGTGAAAGCAGCGCTTATCCTCTAGCTTCAACCGTATACATACGCACACCTTACGCAGATTCTCTGTAACATCGTTCATTATAGCGTTTGAACGGCGCTGGAACTACAATTGTCTTTCCCGTGTTCCTAGAGCTATGCGGCCGCGCAGTGATGACGAGTGTGTTTGGAAAGATATGTCTTGTGTTTGTAAATCCATGCTGCGATTTTGTGGAAATGCTTGCGCGGTGATGTATGATATTTAACAAGACGAGCGCTCAGGTACAAGCCGATTGCCTACAACATTGTGGTTTTCCATCCCTACGAATCTCTATCTATCAGCATTCCAAGACGAACCCCCAACAACACAAAACTCCGCCATTCCTCCTGTACGATACTGTTCACTTATCGAAAATGTTGCGACGGGTTGCTCTGATCGCCGCTTCTGGCCTCATCAATCTATGCCTGGGCGACTTCCACGTCCTCACTGCAAGTATCGGCACTGGCTCAGGAGGCAGCGATCAACAATTGGCCTGTCCTTCCAACTATTGGAACTGCAATTGCATGTTCCATAACGACCGTACCGGCTACGTCGATTCCGGAAACGCAGACGCAAGCACCGGGAGCACCTTTTTTCAGATCTCGGCAGGCCTCTGCGGACTGGGCGAGATGAATTTCTACCGGAACGGCGACGCTTGGGACTACTATCTTGCTGGTGGCGATGGGAGCAAGATTGGAAGCTGCTATTCGAACTCGGCGTCTAAGACTTGTTATATTCCCGTACTTGGCCTTGGTAGTGGGGAGGATTTGCTCGTGTGTTATGGTTATCCCTGCAATTAATAGACTATCAAGGAGCTCGTCATGAGCAGCAAGTTGAGGACGATGGGGAGCAAATGTCTTGACAGAATTGTGTTACGTATGGTAGACTTAGGCAAGAAGCTACTGCTGCTTTGATCTAGCCAGGACAACGGTAGATAATGTCAAGTCTTCCATGCGTGTGGACATTTCTCCTCGTACCTGACAGACATACATATGAACGTACTGGTGTTCGTGAGAACACGTCCGGCCGTCCAATCCGTCCCTTGGTACTTGGACGTACAGTACTCTGCCTAGGGAGCGACTCTCGGACCACGAGGCCTGCGAAGCCTGTGTGTCGTTCAACATATCTCGCTCCACTAAGCAGAAATGCGGTTGGAATCATCACGAGGTCAGCCCTCAAATCCAGAGGTGTCGTCGATGCGGCCCGTGCGTTAGATGTGGGTCAAAGCTCAAGGTTCAGGACTGGCGCCAAACCCCTTTGGATGGCTCGATTCACTCCCGTCCGTGGGGTGATTCAATGCTGTCATCAACAAAAACCACCGCCACCACATCTCCCACGCCAAACATTTCGAAGCTGAAGAAAGACAAGACCGTCCCACCTCCGAGTCGCCTCATCGATGCAGCCTGATGCCAATTCCATTAAACGGCCATCGAATCACAGCCGCAAGCCGCCCCTCGTGTGCTCGCCTAGATCCTGCAAGCTTTCGGCGACCTCCCCATTTGAGCCAGTTGCTATGCAGGAACGGCATTGAGGACCCTGGCACTACCACCACCGCGTGCATCTCCAAGGAACCATTTGTGCCGATAGTCGAACATCATGTTCTTGGCTGTCGATTGCATGGCGGAGATGGATGGGTATAGAAGAAGAGGCTGAGTATTCATTTCTGCTTCTTCTTCTGTTCACTGTTGAATCTTCCCTTTCGCGATGTTGTTCTCCAAGAGTCTAGCGGCGACTGTGCCACTGGCGCTTTCGAGCCTTTCTCTCGTTACAGCTGTGCCCCAATGGCACTATGGCGGTGGTGGCGGTCATGATGGCGGAGGCAATTCGTCATCTGCTGTGAACACGACGACTTGCGGCGGCAAGACGTACGTCTATGAAGAGCTGGCAGGATACGGCAAGATTGCCAGCAATGCCCGTGATAAGGCAGGCGACACACTTGGTGGTATCGGGTCTTCCATTACCATTGATGCTCGCTCGTGGCGACGGGTCGGGAAGAGCTACACTGGACTGCTGTATGCTGTGCCGGATCGAGGCTGGAACACGGAGGGGACCTTGAATTATCAGGCCAGGATTCAGGTAGGCTGTGTAGTTGGGTCAGTATTGGAGACGAACGCTAACCTTTGTCATGCAGAAATTCCTGTTGACGTTCACTCCAAATGAAGATGCCACTGTGCAAAAGCCAGGCGCTGAGAATCTGCGATTCAAGTTGCTCGAGACCATCCTTTTGACGGATCCCAGTGGACAGCCAGCCGTCGGTTTGGATGGCGGCATTAACGGTCCATACCTCAGCTTCCCGGGTTTCCCAGATCTGCCGTCGGCCAACTACACAGGCGATGGCTTTGGAGGCGCGGGACCAGGTGGCTATCGCGTTTCCCTTGACTGCGAGGGCATCGCTCTGGCCCGGGATGGTTCTTTTTGGATTTCGGACGAGTATGGAGACTATGTGTACAAATTCAACTCTCGCGGCCGCATGGTCCAGGCCATTCGCCCTCCAGATGCTTTCATTCCTATCCGTAACAACAGCGAATCGTTCAGCTCAGACAACCCGCCCAGATACAACCCAGAACTCTCGCCGGTTCCAGAAGATCCAACATCTGGACGCGCGAACAACCAGGGTCTGGAGGGCTTCTCTGTCAACCCAGCCGGCACCCGAATCTACGCCCTTACCCAGTCCGCCTTGATCCAGGACGGAGGCTCGAAAAACAAGAACTCTCGCTACGCTCGTCTGTTGGAGTACGACATCACTGGCCGCTCCCCACGACTTGTGGGCGAATACGTTGTGCCCCTGAACCGCGAGGACCACACCGACAATCCAGACACTCACGTCGCCCGCCAAAGCGAGCTTCATTACATCAGCGACACACAATTCCTCACCCTCGCCCGCGACTCCGACCACGGCCGCGGCCAAGGCCCAGAGAACACCGAGAGCACATACAGACAAATCGACGTCTTCGACATCTCCGACGCCACCAACGTCGCAGGCAAAGCCGACTGCCAGACGTGCCAAATCGCCTCTTCGAAGGGTGTCCTCCAGCCCAACGTCACCGCATCAGAATACTGCCAATGGCTCGACTTCAACGTCAACAGCCAGCTGAACCGCTTCGGTGTGCACAATGGCGGAGCTGAGGATGAGGGTCTTCTGAACGAGAAGTGGGAGTCGATTGCCCTCGTTCCTGTTGATACGGGCTACCGTGGGAAGGGATCGGATGAGTACTATTTGTTGTCGTTCAGTGATAATGATTATATCACGCAGGATGGGTATTTGAAGGGTGGAGAGTTCACATACTCGGATGAGGGTGGGTATAACCTTGACAATCAGGCGTTGATCTTCAAGGTCAAGTTGCCTGGAGGCGCGAAGCCGCTTGTTGGGTGAGGTGCTCTTTGAGAAGGGATGTATGTACATATATGATGACGGCCGATGTGAATAGAAAAACAATTCGTATACACCATATTGCCTACCTGTGACATTCGCCCCCGGTCCAAAAAAGCAGCCGAGGGATTACTTTCACATGCCAGCCCCACTCCTGCAACAAATAGAACAGAGCTCCAACCCCACACGTTCACTCCAACCTCCCATCCTCCCGCGAAAATGTCCCCTCCAACCCACACAACAACCACCTCCAACCTCACCCTCACCGACGGCCACACCCTCTACACCAAAACCTGGTCCCCCACCACCCCGCACACAGCCACCCTAATCTTCATCCACGGCTTCAGCGACCACTGCAACTTCTACGGCATCCTCTTCCCGACCCTCGCCGCCCAGCATGCCATCAAAACCTACTCCTTCGACCAGCGCGGCTGGGGCCGTAGCGTGCACGCCCCGAAAGAGAAGGGCCTGACAGGCGGCACGGCAAGGGTAATGAGCGACATGACCGAGTTCATCCGCCACGTCTTCGCACAAGAGGAGGTCGACGGGCGGAAAGACGTCCCAGTCTTCCTGATGGGCCACTCGATGGGCGGCGCGGAGGTTCTCTGCTACCTCGCGACGGGGCCGCGGGAGGTGCTCAGCAGAATACGGGGGTTTCTTTGCGAGAGCCCCTTCGTGGCGTTGCATGAGTCCTCGCGGCCGAGTAGGCTTACGGTGGCGTTGGGGCGGTTGGCGGGGAGGGTGTTGCCGAGTCGACAGATGGTGAATCAGCTGGAGCCGGGGAAGTTGTGTCGGGATGAGGAGGTCGTGCGGGCGTATGAGGCGGATGAGCTGTGTCATGATACGGGGACGCTGGAGGGGTTGGCGGGGATGCTGGATCGTGCTTCTGATCTCGAGAACGATAAAGTCGTTGTGAGGGATGGGGTTGGGGAGGGAGGGAAGACGAGGTTGTGGGTTGGATTTGGGACCGGGGATCAGATTCTTAGTGAGAGGGTTTGTCGAGAGTGGTTTGGGAGGGTGGAGGTGGAGGATAAGGAGTTTAGGGTTTATGAGGGGTGGTATCATAAGTTGCATGCGGAGCCCGGGGAGGATAAGGTTACTTTTGCGGGGGATGTGGGGAGGTGGATGTTGGGGAGGTGTGGGAGTTTGGAGGAGGGTGCGGGAGGAGGGAGTGCGAAGGCGAAGTTGTGATGAGGTGTTGGCGACAGTGAGACTTTTAGAGCCCTCGAACGATACTCTGTCGTCGGTCTCGATCTTACCACTCTCCACCGTCTCCCACTTGGATACAGTCTCATCCTTATTGTTGCTTAAGGAAGTCATCCATTCCAAAGTTTCCCGTCCACACGACGTGAATGTAGAAGATTGACGGTGTCAGGGTGTGAGGAGTCGATCTTTTTCACAGAGGTACACTTTTGATACAAGCAGCACATCGATCTGTCTAAAAGACACGGGACCAATCTATTCAGTCCCTTCGAAGGCTCTCTACACAGCATCATCTCTCATCTAGAAGCAAAAAGAAAGCAAGTCGCCGCGCTACCGTCTCAGAGGCCGTAGTCGTCTCTGTCCGTCCCATGCCGTATCTTCTCACACTCCATGCATGCTCTCGATGTCTCATCTAGTTGTAGTAGTCAACGACAACGCTGTGCCGTTGGCTTCCGCTCTCTTCTCCATCCCATATGCAAGCAAAAAGCAAACCCTTGAAACCCTTGAGAATCGCTTCCGTGGCGGCGATGATGCGCAGCAAGACCCGCTTGCTCCTCGAAACGCCCGCTTGCGCCAGTTACGCTATGCTGCGAAGAATCCGATCCCGTAATTGAACATGTGTCGTCGTTGTCTGCTGTGCTCTGCGGTGCTCTGCCGTACTTCTGCTCTGCTGTATCCGATTCGCCGCTTGCTGCTGCTGCTGCTCGCTGTTGCTGCTCACTGCCGCTGCTCGCGGTTCGTCGAAATCACACAGTCACAAAGCACGAAGAATCACAAAAAGACTTACCGATGATGCGAAGTTTACTTCGCCACTGGAGGTGGCTGAGCTTGGTCCTTCGCACCAGTCAGTTTACCACCCAGCCAGCCTGTCACTCCACCCTCTCGAGGTGGCTGAATCTTGCCGAATCCAAGGTCCAGGTCGTTGATGATCTTGAGTGCGTTGCGGCAACGCAGGTGTGGCAGAGGAGCCTTGGCCTCGTGCAATCCGGTGGCTGGCTCGAGGCTGCCGCGAGGACCGACGTCCTTGGGTTCGCCTTCGCCGGGGAATGGGAGAAGCCCCTGCAAGACTTCGTACGCGGCGAGTGTGAAACCGAATTGTGGCGAAGAACGCACGATACGAGCTGGTCCGCCCTTGAAGAAGGCCTTGAAGCCCTCCTCTTGGAAGACCTTGCGTGCGCAGTCGCGGAGGCCAGTGTAGGTGGTGTCACCCTTGCGAGCCTCGACCTGGAGACGGGTCTTGATAACGTCGCAGGGCGTGGTGAGGTAAGCAGCTGGCATACCAGCAATAGCACCAGCAGTGAGGAGCTGCAAGACGCCAAGCTTCTTGGTCTGAGATTCGCCGAAGAAGTCCTTCTTCAGGTGGGCGTAGGTTGGGAAATAGATTGCTGAGAATGGGACGTCGCGCAGCAAGCATGCCGATGCACCCTTGTACAAACCGGCAAGACCAAGGTGACGCACGATCCAGAGAGCCGAGCGCTTCTTAATCGTCTCGCCCTCTTGAGCCGCGGCGCGAATGGCCTCACCCTGAACTTGCAGCCGAATCTTCACAATCTCGAGTGGGTTGGTGAAGACGACCTGACACGCACCTGCCGAGCCACCAGCGAGGATCTCCGCCCAAGTGGGGATATCGCCCGTCTTCTTGTCGGTGAACTTGCCACGGACGAGGTCGTTGACCGTCAATTTGATGGCCTTCTCAGGAGCCACACCGACGAGCTGGGGCAGGACACCGGAGTACAGACCGCGAATGCCCTCATTCCTGAACACCTTGCCAAAGCAATCGAAGCTGTTCTTGTAAAGCAGCTGACCCACATTGGCAGAGCGTTGATTCTGCATTCGAGTCTTGACCAAGTCGATGGGGTAGACCATGAAGGCACCGAAGGCACCGGCAAGCGAACCGAGTGCGAAGTGATGCACTGAGACCAGGATATCGTGGACGACGCTTCCAGACTTGGCGACGGCTTTGGTGGCCAGGTCAGACACGCCATGAAGCGGATCATCGGTGCCATCGGGACCAGCGCGCCAGCTGGCATCGAGCACGCGAGCAAAGTCTTGAATTCCTAGACGGCCGGACGGGTGGTCGAGAGACGCAAAGTGGAAGAGGATATCGGTCTCCATTGGAGTGAATTGAGAGAAGCGAGCGGATCTTGAAGCTTCGTTCTGGAAGTCTTGTCGCGTGATCTTGCCGTCGGGAGACTTGGCGATGGCGTTGCGGATGAGAAGCTCGACGAGGTCCATCTCTCGAATGATGTTCTGGAAAGCTCGAACATTGGCGTAGGATATTCTAGATCCTGGGCTGATGTTGCAGAGGGTGGGCAGATTCTCAAGGAGGTGGTCAGATAGCTTGTGTGAGGCGGTCTCGACGATGATGCGCTGAAACTCCTCAGGCTCGATGTAGCCGTCGCCATTCTTGTCGAAGTGCAAGAACGCCTGACGCACGCGCTCGCCTTGCAGACCACGCAGCATCTGTGCGAATTGCGGATATGTCATGCTGTGTCGATGCTTCTTGCCGCCAAGGTAGAGCTTGGCCCAATCGCTATCCCAGTTGAAGGGGATGCTGTCGCTAGTCTTGTTGCGTGCGTAGACATCCTTGAACGTGTTGAAATCGACGAGACCAGAGTCAGAGTCGGCGAAGAGGCGGAAAGCGATTTCGTACTCGGCGTCTGGCTTGGCGAGGAGGTTGTTGAAGACTGACCAGTCTTGCAGGGTGACGCGATTCTTCTGATTTCGGTCGGCGATCTGGAAGAGGACGGCGTACTGGTCGCGCTTGATCTTGTGCTGTTGCCATTGTCAGCTCGAACCAATGTGGTCCATCTCCAGTATCGACCGCAATGGACAAGAAAGAAAAGTAGAGACCTACATAGTCTTCGCCGGCGGGTGCAACAGCGTCGATGAACTGCTTCTCCGACATGTAGTATTCGCCGGAGGTCTCATCCTTGACTGCGTGCTGCATGAACTCCTGTCTCGACTGCAGCGACATCTGAGGCTCGTCCTCAGTGCCGACCAGAGTCTCCTTCACCGAGTCTTTTACTCGCTCCATCTTCCCCGTGACCTGCTCCATGACAGCGAGCTTGTGGCACTGCAGTTTGAGGAGCTGCAGCTAGTGGTGGTGGAGGTGGTGTACAGGGTGCGTGGAGGGAAGGTCAAATGAACGAGTGGTGCAACGAATGCGAAGGTGTTGTCGCAACTTGTCGCCGGTCGGTGGTTGGAGTGTGGAGGCGGTTAAGGATCTAGCGTGGCAGTCGCCGATCCGCCCCGACGTCTTGCGGATCCGAAAAGGCGTTCGCGGTGAGGTGAGGTTTGCGACGGAGGAGATAATGGCACCAGCGAGTGAGGCGCAAGCGGAATAAAATCACGCTGAAAAGGCCTCACGGTCGATGGATGGAAGAGCTCAAAAAAGTTCCTCGCACCGCAGCAGGGCAGCTTTTCAAAACCCAATCAACCTCGCGCCCAGCTCCTCGGCCGTGGCGGCGACCGGAGACTTGCGTCAATTCCTCCGCACAAGGAAGGTACAACATTCAATCAGTTTCAACAACACGCTCGTTATCTTCTGGACTGCAGACGAATGCATGCCATGAAGAGACAGGTTATCGTTCTGCCCATGCACAAAACGGCGACCTGCCAAGTTCCTGAGACGAGCCATGCCAGCCATTACACTGTCACGTGCGACATTTGATCAGGAAACGAAGCTTTGCGACGGAGGTCTATCGTCTCCAGGCGCTCCAGTCGCACATCCAACTACCAGCTACAAAATCTACACCAAGAAAACCGAACTCATTCGCATATGCTAGGAGAGACGATGAGATCCTGGCTTTCGATCTCCGAAATTTTAGCATGCCCTGTTCCGTGAAAGTCAATGACGCCGGTGAGGTCCTCTCAGGCGATGCTGTGTTTGAAGAGGGGTGATGACTCCCATGATCAAAACGCAGGCGTTGGAAGGAGCCACAAATGTCGAGAACAAGGCCAAGGGCAGACAGCGGACGGGGAGAGACCTCGTCACGAGGAGCCAGGCTTACTTAAGCGGACGGCACTCGAGCACTCTCGAGCGAGAGGAGGTGAGGTTGAATTAGAACTCACGATAGCGGCATCGTAGCTCAGAGATCCCCCGGGATGCAGCATACCTGTTCCTGAATAATGAATTGGCATCCCTCGAGAATGGGTTCAAAGAGTGGTTTGGGGGGCCAAAAGAGGTACCGATCGGCTCAGAATGTCTTCGCGACACTCTTGCTATAGTTTTCGGCTTCGAAAATGGATGTTGTATATAGAATTAACAAAGGTGTTAAATGTGTTGTTGAAAGCCTGGTTTGTATTACTGCTCCGGCGTGGCTTGGCTGTTATCAAAAGCCTAGCGTCACGTGCGCAAGCAATCATCCACCCACCCATGCATCCTCGCCATCTGTTGCCTCCATCGCCGCCTGCTGCCTTGCACTCCCATCCAGAGGACCGCCATCATCCTAAATAAATTCCATATTAAGCGCTCCGCGACTTGAGCCGTTGCATTCACACCGACCGCGATTCTTGTTGACCGGGTCCTAGCGCGTCAGGCGACTTGCGCCCGTTCCTCGCAGCTCTGTCGTGGACCTCCCCAGCCCGCACAACAACAACTTCCATCACCGCACGCCCCATTTCATGCTCCAACCCACGTGAGCTCCCCGCTGCGTGAAAGTCGGCCCGCTCGTTCAAGCCGCCGCGCTGTCTCATGGCTGGTTACAAACGCAAGCTCGAGGATTACGACCCAAACAAGTCGGATCCCGAAGACCTCGACTACGGCGCCGAGTCTCCTCCACGCGAGCGACGATCGCGCAAGTCAAACAAAGGCTCTCCTCGCAAGCGCGCCAAGCGACCACGCGACGCCTACAACGACAGCGACATCGAGCCCGACAGCGGCGACCCCAGCGAAGAGGAGGAGTCATTTGCGGGCGATTCTGAAGACGACGACGACCCTGTCGAGACCAATCCAAGAACTGGAAGAAGCGTGAGGAGAGCGGCCAAGAAGCCGGTCAAGTATGAGGAGGAGTCCGACGAAGAAGAAGAGATAGCAGCGACAGACAGTGACCGCGACCCCATCGCACCAACACCTGCTAGGTCCCGTGGATCGGCGCGTGACACTCTCAAGAAGCCGTCACTCATCGTCAAGCTCGAAATTGGCAAAGGGAAGATGGTCGAAGGACGATCTACCCGGTCGAGAACCACGAGTCACACGCTGAAGAGGGAGCCGACCCCTCAAGCTTCGGGTGCGGCAGGCGCTCGTAGGAGCAGTCGCTTGTCTCACGACGAACAACAACCTCTGGTGGCTCTGACTGATTCTGGCAAGCACGAACAAGTTGCACGAGCTGGTACAGCCACTCCAGAGCCGGAGGGAAGCCGTAGACCTACACGAGGAGGCAAAGGGCTCAAGAAGCCACCAAGTGCCATAATGGAGGCATCTCAGGAAGACTCGCTTTTCGGTCAATCTCAGACTGTCGAGGGACAGGAGTCCTTTTCCCAGCTCGAAGTTGCCGCAGAAAAACAGATTTCCCAGACTTCGGATCAAGAAGAGAAAGACGAAGACATACGTATGGAGTATGAGGACGAGGAAGAGGAAGTCGTCGTGCAGGAATCCCAACCTGATCCAGAGGACAACGAAGAAGATGACGAACCTATCACGAGAGGCGGACGAACGCGACGTACTCGCAAAGCCTCCACTCCTCCACTGTCGCAAACGATTAGCAGAACCCGGCGCTCCCAACGGACCAGGAAGTCGGAAGCTGAACAGATCAGCGACTTCGAGCCGGATGCCGAGGGCGAAGTCGATGCTGATGAAGAACTGTCAGAATCTGACGACCATCTCAAGCCGCCTCGAGGGAGAAGCAGTGCAGAAGCAAGCTCTCAGGGTGGCAGACGTTCGGGCAGACTCACTCGTGGTAAAGCGGCCTCAAACAGAAGTCAGTCTAGACGCTCGCCTGAGGAAGAGGAGCTGGATCCAGATGAGATTGCAGATGAGGCAGCTGATCTCGAGGAAGACAATCGCCGGAATAGGAGGCCGAGGAAGCGAACCACGCAGCGAGCTGCAGAAATCACATTCGAACCAAATTTGCGCAACCGGGGAAACCGACCAGACTATCGCATCCTGCGGCCTGAGCTCCTGCTACCCATAGAAGATGACGATGCTCCAGCAGCACCTGCTGCCACTCCTCAACGCAATCGACGTACCGGTGGCGGTGGTCACAACTATCGCAGCTTGTTCTCGACATCTGGACCTTTTGGTGGAGCAGGAGGACCACCACCTGTGTTGGGTGGCCCTGACGGTATTGGTGCTACTGGTGGTGTCGACTCAGACAGCAGTGACGATGAAGGTGGAATGCGAGGCCAGCAAGGCGGTCTCGGCGGGACTGTGGGGATGACACCGACATCTGCGATGCCCAAGCCATTCGCTGTTCCCCAAGCCCACAATGCCGATCCCATACAAGGCGCTGGAGGTGGTCCTCCCGGACTTGGAAAGGTCAAGGACAAGAAGGCACTTGCAGACGCCGACCCTCTGGGTGTCGATCCAAACGTCAACTTTGATGGCGTGGGTGGTCTCGACAATCACATCAACCAACTGAAGGAGATGGTGACCCTGCCACTGCTATACCCTGAAGTCTTCCAACGCTTCCACGTCACTCCACCTCGAGGAGTCCTCTTCCATGGCCCTCCAGGTACCGGAAAGACTCTTTTGGCTCGAGCGCTGGCGTCTAGCGTCAGCTCTCATGGACGCAAGGTCACGTTCTACATGAGGAAGGGAGCTGATGCGCTCAGCAAGTGGGTTGGCGAGGCAGAAAAGCAGCTTCGCCTTTTGTTTGAAGAAGCGCGCAAGAACCAGCCCAGTATCATCTTCTTCGACGAAATCGATGGCCTGGCACCTGTACGATCCAGTAAGCAGGAGCAGATTCACGCTTCTATTGTGGCCACGCTCCTTGCTCTCATGGACGGCATGGATGGTAGAGGTCAGGTCATTGTCATTGGCGCCACCAATCGCCCCGACTCCGTTGATCCTGCTCTTCGACGACCTGGCCGTTTCGACAGAGAGTTCTACTTCCCTCTGCCAGACGTAGACGGTCGACGCAAGATCATCGACATCCACACCAAGGGCTGGGATCCGCCATTGAAGCCTCAATTCAAAGACGAGCTCGCAGGACTCACTCGTGGATACGGTGGTGCCGACTTGCGCGCTCTCTGCACAGAAGCTGCCTTGAATGCTGTGCAGGGCACGTTCCCGCAGATCTATTCCAGCGAACAGAAGCTCATCATCGATCCTACTCAGATCAAAGTCTTGGCCAAGGACTTCATGATCTCAGTGAACAAGATCGTGCCTTCGTCTGAGCGTGCAGCTGCCTCTGGAGCTGCGCCTTTGAAGAAGGAGGTGGAGCCTCTCCTACGAAAGCCGCTCAAGGAGATTTCGAATCGCATTGACAAGGCCATACCACGTAAGCGAAAAGCTACAGCACTCGAGGAGGCCATGTATGACAACCGCGATGACGAGCTTGGCTTTGAGAAAGAGGTTATGCAACGCGAGTTCGAGGCTTCTCGCATCTTTCGACCCAGGCTCCTGATCCGTGGCGTGGCTGGCATGGGTCAGCATTACCTGGGAGCCGCGCTTCTCAGCAAGTTTGAAGGCCTGCATGTTCAGAGCTTCGACCTGCCAACGCTGGTGAAGGATTCCAGCAGGGTAAGTGAAGCTTCTACCCCAACTTGTGAACAAATGCTAATGAATGTCTAGTCGTCCGAAGCAGCTGTCGTCCAACTTTTCGAGGAAGTCAAGCGGCACAAGCCCAGCGTCATCTACATCCCGGATGTCAATATCTGGTACGAGACAGTTGCCGAAACTGCAAAGAAGACCTTTGTTGGACTGCTTCGAAGCCTACCACCCACGGACCCTGTCCTCCTGCTCGCCACCATGGAATTGCAGCCGGATGATGAGAAACCAGACCCACGAATGCTTCGCGAATTGTTCGGATACTCGACCAGCAATCAGTACGAATTGCCTCGACCAGATGAGGTTGCGAGAAACGACTTCTTCAACAATGTGATCAACATAATCCGCAAGAACCCATCCGAATTTCCTGAGGCGGGTGCCAGAAAGAAACGCAAACTCGCCGAGTTGCCTGTTGCACCCGCGCCAAAGGAGCCCGAGGGCCCTAGCAAGGAGGCGTTGAAAGCTCAGAAGAAGAGAGATCGTCACACTCTAAACATGCTCAAGCTTCATATCCAAGGCGTGATGGATCAGATCAAGCTCAAGTACAAGAAGTTTAGGACGGCGGTCATTGACGATGCGACGATCTCCTACCTGTACGACGAACAGGATCCTACTGTTCTCACAACAGATCTCACAGAAGAGCAGAGACAGCAACAGCAACTGTTCCGCCCTTACGAAATTGAGCAAGACGAAAAGGGTGTGCCTGGGCTGCGAGAGGTTGCTTCTGGCAAGTTTTTCTACAACCTGGAGATCGTCACGATTGAGAAGCGTCTGTCGAACGGCTACTACAAGCGTCCGAAAGACTTCCTTGCAGACATCAAGCGCCTGGCGAAAGACGCAAAGACAATTGGAGATCAAGAGCGCACACTCAAGGCCAATGAGATGGTTGCCAACGTCGAAGTAGACATGACCACGTTTGAAACGACGATGCCCGTGTTGGCTGCCGATTGCGAGGCAGTGTATCAGCGTGAACAGCAGCGCGAGCAGGAGCGCCTGGACAAGATACGGGAAGCTCAACGCCAAGGCCAAGAAGTGCCCAAGATTGTGCCAAATGTGCCGCCTTTCAACGCCTCGAAGACAACTACAGATACATCTGGGCCAGTGGTTCTTGGGCAAGAAGTCCCTGGACGTCAGCTGTTCCCGACCGCCGCGCCTCCTGTTGGTGGTCCAAGTCCACAATCGATTCCGTGGAGCACCACGCAGACGAATGGCAGCTACCCATCGCACCAAACCAACGGCTCGAGTGTACCATCTCGCCCACAAGAAGACTCTGATATGCAAAACAATAGCCAGTTGGAAACGCAAGATCCTCATCAGGATCAAACACAGACCCAGGCGCACAACACCCAAATGACGGCACCTGGAGCCATTGCCGCTGGATCTCAAGCAGAGCGGTACCCGAACAGTCTGTCGACCAAGAATAGCGACCGCAGCAGTGGCGCTTCTGGCACGCAAGCCTCGAACGGAGTTCCTCGACATCAGCCCGACTTCTCGAACTACGGGCCAAGAGGAGGCAGTCAAGAACCGGCCACGCAAGACCCATCTCTGGAGTCTCAGCTAAGCTCGCAGCCATCGCACTCTTCGCAACAGATGGGACCTCCCCGCACAAGCCACCGCGCATCGTCCATCTCCGCCCTCCTTAACACGGAGGACGACGACGAGCACAACGAGCTCTCCCGCTCGAACCAGTTCATCATCGACGAAGACAAGCTGCAGGACTTCCAGAGCATGCTCGTGAGGAAGAGTAGCGGCCTCTCACTGGAGCAGCTCGAGCAAGTCCACGCGGCGCTGATGGACGTCATCTGGACGCAGCGCGGCAACTTCAACCGCAACCAGGTGTGGAAGAATTGTGAGAGTGCGTTCAATGCCATCATCCAGGACATGGAGGACTGTCAGAGGATCTTGGATCCGAGTCAGGAGCATTAGATGTGTGTCTGGCGGTCGGAATAGGTGTTCGAGATTGCATCGCGACAGGTTTGTTTGGGCTGGCGGCGCATGGGTTGAATGACAGTACGGTATATGGTAGAATTGGTGGTGATGAGGCTGCTAGAGAGTTGTGTATCAGGGGATATGGAGAGATTATCGCGGCAGCTTGTGTACAAGAGGATAAGAACGTGAAGTTGTCTATGCGCATTTGAAGTTTCTTCGCTCACCCTTTTCATTTTGTCGCCCAATGTGTACAACACCTATCTTATGTGCCGTCTCCGCAGACCTTTGATGAGTCGACATGAACATTCCCTCCCCTTCTTCTCTCCCTTCGCGAATCCTGCACCTTCCGTCTCCAGCCCAGGATACCGCCTTGTAATTTCAAAAGTTCCTGGTAAAAGTCGCCTATTCCACCAGCAGAGATTTGCTTGCAAAGTGTCGAGCAAGACCGTGAATCGGTACACACGATCAATCGACCAGGTTTGACTCCAGTGAGAGCCTAATTGAATGACCTAGAACCGATATTCGCCTCTGGAACTCTGATGGAGAAGACTTCCCGTCCTGACTTCAAGATTCACTTTCTCCAAAAGGTGTTCCTTCTATTTGTGGTCTAGCGCGGGACGCTAAAATGAAAAGTAGCACCATGTGCTGGGTTGTGGGTCTGGCGAAGGGTGAAGTATGTTGATGGGGGGTGTTGATGAGGGATGTTGATGAGGGGTGTTGATGACGTTTGGTGTGACTGATCAAATGGAAGTATGCGCTCAATTTGTCGATGATTTGGATGCTTCGGTGCGATTCTCTGTCTTGATGACGGTTCTTTCGCGTGGCTGGCAGCGCAGGCTCTTCATGGCCGGTTCCTTGCTTCATTGCCTTGCTTCATTTGGATGTTGCGAAGCTGTCGTGCTGATGTTTGCGGCTGCTCGTAAGGAGTATGTGGCAGGTGTTGGCGCTTCTGATGATTTGGTTTGCATCACGTCGTCAGATTCAGTGGTCGCATATCTGCAACACTAGAATGTTGGAGTACGATGCTTCTTCGTCTTCTTCATCATCTTGCGAAGCTTCCTCGCCGTGATTTTCTCCATTCTTTTTGCTTCGCGCCAATCTTCTTTGTCCGAATCTTGCTCGATCCACGCTCCAGGTATCTGGCGTTCCGGCTCCTCTACCATTCTCCAGAATTGGCCGACCCAGTGATCATGCTCGGCCGAGAACAAGAAATGCCAGTCCTTTGGCTCGGGTCCGTACGCAAAGCCTAGGATCGTTTGCGGATTGTAGTACAGATTAATGTATCGCAAGTTCAGAGCAGTTTCTGACGCACCATAGACCATCAGATCAACTCCACTGTGTGCCAGAACTTGAGCCCAGTCTCGCAGGATCTGGTCCATCTTGAAGTACTTCTTTCTTCCAGATCCTCCGTAGAATCTGTGCACAAGCACAGCCAACGGGGTAAGGCCATCCAATCCGAGGTTAAACCAATACCCTGAATTCCATTTACCTTGGGCAGTGAGATCTGCTCCACGTGAAATGCATTCTGCAACCATCGGCTCCATGCGCGAAAGCACTGCTTGCTTATCAGCTTCGGAAACGTAGCTTGGTGAGCTAATAGCGAGCAAACTTGCGAAGATATGCATTAGACTTTTCCCATCGTTCACGTTGGCATCTAACAGAGCAGGATCGAGATGACTGCCGCGTATGATGTCTTTGAGCATGTTGCAACTGATTAACCAGTGCTTATTGTCGGAATGCGGGAAAACAATGATCGCCATCATCAGATCAAGCCGCTCGCTGGCAGGTATGCTCTCCACAGGGACCGTGAATGAATTCAGGGGAGGCTTCTGAAAAATCTCATTGGAGGGATCGACTCCAACTTCCTCTAGGGCAACAACAGACATAGTCGCTGCTTTAGTCCACGAGCCCTCTTATAAGCCTTGGTCTGTTGCTTCTTGGATCCGAGAATGCTGGAACAAGTGACGGAAGATGAAAATCTGGACTATGTCCACACGGGGTGTTGGCAAGCTTGCATGTTGGTGCAGATATCTGCTGACATCGAAAGCACCGCAGATCATCGCATGGTCGATGGCTGTAAATTCAGATTCATACTGGTCATAGGGGGTTGCTTTCCTGGCTTGCAATAATTCCTTCACAGCGATCAGGTCGTCTTGGACACAAGCATAAAAGAAGGGATCATCCCAGGGCACGCCGATCCTGTAGAACTGCAAAGAAGCAGTCCATCCAGCAGGGGTTTGAGCCACCGTCATTTCCAACACACGCGAGAAGGTCCATCTCGGTGTGCGAATTCGGAATGACCGTACAGAATGCTGTGGCCCTGTTGCTTCGTGCGGTCTGCTCGACCTTCGCCCTTGTGGTGTAGAGATGGCATCCTCGATCAACTCCACCTGGCCAGTCTGCACATCGTCCACGGTCGATGCTTGACGAACGGCCGCAGTCTTGCAATGAGATACCAAAGTCATTTGACCGCTGCGCAGCTCCTCGAGCGTCTGTCTTTGGAGATCAAATCGGCTCATATTCTGTGCTCCCATATACACTTGGTGTGCGAGTTGCAGCAACCCCTTGCATTGCTCCAGCCTCCTGATCAAGCGATCCATAGAATCCTTCTTTAAGATAACAGAGAATCGTGCTCGAATCTTATTGCTGCTCCCAAGGCGATTCTGTAGGTCGTTGGTCACAGCAGTGAGCCTGTCCAGCGCTTTCTGACAAAGCCCTATCGAACGTGCCAAGGCTCCTGCTCCGGCATACGGCTGGTCCTCGAGGGAAGCCATTTCTGATATGATCTCATTCATGACCTCAATCTCTTCAATCGTGTCTTGTAGCTCGGTAGGCGCATTCTTGATGTCTTCGCACAGTGTTTTGAGCTTCTTCGTGCTCTCGATAAGTTGAACGCCGAAGGAGGCCAACCCGACGACGAGGCCCACCACTTCTGCCATTGTTTTGCAAGGCCTGCGCGCGGGTTATAGGATGTCAGAAACTTGCAAGGATGCCCGGTAAGACAGGAGGACAGAGATGAAATCGCGACGGGAAGTCGAAGAGGCATCTCAATTGGCGTTGGCATAGCCACCTTTGGCAGGCGTGCCTGAGCTGCAAGCCATCACCACTCAGCCGCGTTGCTGTGCCTGTCTCCTGCGGCCACCAGCCAATAAGGGTTTCGCATCCAGCACATCTGTATATTGAAGTCACACACCTTCCACGATGATGTACCGAAAGCCTGTCATTTAAAAGGTCTGGACTCTGTTGCGAACGAAGGGTTGATGAGCCCGATAGCCTTCCATCTCTTTGACGGTCAGTTGTCTTTCATACCCTCTGCTACTACACCTTGATGTCGTAGTTCCCGGTCACTTAGGCTGTCACAGATCTGCATTCTGGGTGAGGTCGTGCAGTTTTGAAGAGTCTTAATTGCCCTTGCTACCTTTATCGCTGTCGAACAACTCTTTCAGGTTGACATCACCAGAACCTCGCTCGAGAGGCTTTTGTTGGCCAGCACCTTCCTTCCAACCAATCATGTATATGATTCTGAACGTAGCCGGGATCGTGGTACTGCCGTCTTCCTGCTGCTCGCCGTAAAGCTCTCGATAGATGGCCTCAGTCGCCAGGAGAACATCTTTGCTGATACCGCCTGGCTCTCGCCTCAAGGCAGCATTGGCTTCTCCCATAGCTTGCAGATCGGACATGAGGGCGAAGGTGTTGGGGTAGTCGACAATAATATCGTCCACGTCTACCGTGAGCAGCTTGAACCCGGCACGGTTCAGCAGGTTGCCGACATCTCGAACATCCGCCAATGGAGATATATGCGTCCCAATACCGCCCAGCCGCTCCTGTTCCGCCAACTGCAATGACCCTCTCAATTCATACAGACTATCACCACCACTCATCGCCGCCACAAAAGGTGCATCCGGCTTCAAGCAATTATTGATCTGCATCAACACGCTCGGCAAATCATTGATCCAATGCAACGACATGGACGAAAGGACCGCATCAAACGTCTCTGCTTCATAAGGCAGATACTCCGCATTCCGCAGCACCTCCCGCTGTATGTCTATCTCTTTATTCCACGCCTCATCTTGATCCCTGTACAGTAGCGTCGGGCTGGTATCCGCGCAGGTGATGCTTCCAATCTTCTTGCTGATGGGCTCTTTGAAAGGTTTCGCGGAGTCAGGATCGGGGTCTGGGAGCGTGAGTCTGCGGGCGATGTTGCAGGCGTTGGCGCCGTAGTCGAGGATTCTGGGGAAGGGACGGTTGATGTCTAGGATACGATCGCACAGTCGGACGGCGACCTCATCGCGGAGGTAATCGACTTGTCTGCTCTGGGTCGTATTCGCCGCGGCGCGTTCCTTGTGCAGCAATTTCGTCCTTGCGTCGAAGACCTCTACGGTGGGAGCTCCAGGAGCTTGAACAGCGTATGATCGAGCAAGCCATGCTGCTCGGCCGTTATGTTTCCATGTACGTGGCCTGGCAGGTGCTTTGGGGCGTAGCGAGCGCATGCTCAAACGATGGATGCATGTGCCCACGGCATTGGAAGTGTGAGGAGGGCGAGGTGAAAAGGTCTTGTCAGTGTCAAAGTGACGTTCACGTCTCAGCGCGAAGCGCCGATCATCGTCGTCCATGACTTCATCAAGTAAACAGTGGCTTGAACAAAATCTACATTAACATCAACGCTGTCACTTCGAACGCTGCAATGCCCAGCGTTCCCTTCACAATGCCTGTCGACCTTGCGCTCCCGAGCGTGAAAACGCTGGTCGAATGCGCCGACTACAGCAAGACGTTCGAGCCCTTCCTCCCACAACTCTACTCTCTAGGAACCGATCTCTACGCGAGAATACAAGACACCGAAGCTCTCAAGCACCTCTACATGTCCACGAACCCAGCGATTTCCGGTCTGGCCTTCGCAATCGCGACGTTCCCCATCTTCTTGGTCGTGTCGGAGATCAACAAGAACTACAGCCAGGTGGACAGGGTGTGGAGTATTTTCCCTACTCTGTTCAATATTCATTACGCGCTGTGGGCGAGGCTCAATGGCTTGCCTACGACGAGATTGGATAATGTGCTGGCGTTTAGTGTGTTGTGGTCGATTCGCTTGACCTTCAACTACTGGCGCAAGGGAGGATATGAGATTGGCAGTGAGGACTATCGTTGGGAGCTCATCAAGAAGTACATTGGCCAACCGGCGTTCTTCTTGTTGAATGTCGTGTTTATAGCCTCGATTCAGCCGGTATGTCTTGAACATCGAAGCTGCCTTGCTTTTGCTAACAAATTCATAGATCCTCCTCTGGGCTGTCACCCTCCCAACCTACGTCCTACTCCTCACCTCTCGAATCAAACCCGAAATGGGCGGCTCCGATTTGATCTTCAGCCGATTGTTGATCGCAATGGTCGTCTTTGAATACTTCGCAGACGGACAAATGTGGAACTTCCAGCAAGCCAAGAAAGAGTACCAGAAGACAGCAAAGGTGCCAGCAGGCTGGACACGCGCTCAGATGGACCGTGGCTTCGTCACGACCGGACTGTGGAAGTACAGTCGCCATCCAAATTTCGCCGCCGAGCAGTCCATCTGGATCTTGCTGTACCTCTGGGGCTCCTTCGAGTCTTACAAGTACTGGAACTGGACGGTCGCTGGTACGATTGCCTATTCGCTCGTGTTCCAGGGCAGCACTCCCATCACCGAATGGATCAGCGGAGGGAAGTACCCAGAGTATCAGGTCTACCAACAGCGAGTGGGAATGTTTGTGCCGAAGCTGTTTGGCAATCGTTGGAATGAGCAAGAAATGGAGAGGCTGGGATCGCAGGCGAAGAAGGAGAAAGAGAAGAAGAGGGGTTGAACATACGCCACGTGTATTTAGCAATCGCAATGCATTCGTTCGAATGAGTGGTGCATTCAGCCAAAACATCTACACCTGGCCAAGCCCCCAAGCCTCGCGAGGGACGACATGCCTTATGAGACTCACCTAGATTGCTAATGGAGGGTAAGTCGCCGAGCGAAAGGGTAAAGCTAGTGGCACCGTTGCATTCTGCAAGCCCATGTGGAGGGACGATTCCACTGCATGGCGGCCAGGGATATCGTTTTCCCTGCATAGAAGGATTCGCAGGAGCACCGCATTCGATAGGCGGGAAAAGGGCCCAGACGTACTGTAGCTTTGTAGTTTTCGGAAGAACTCTGGCTTTGGGGCGAGCTGTCCGCGTAGGTTTGGCCGCGAGAGCACATGGCGAGACGATGCAGCTTGCAGTTGAAAGGCCGGAGGCGTGGTCATCATCCATTGAGGCGCAGTTTTTAGAGGACTACCCCACGGTGGCCATGCGAGAGGGCTCGGATTTTGTGAGGTAGGTTCGTTCGCATTCAGGACTCTTTTGGCATGGATTTGGCATGTTCAGGTCCGTACTCCGTTGAATCGTGGTCGAGCCAGAGATTGTAGGCAGTGTCTCGTTGCTATTTCAGATGCATTGTTTGTCCCTAGGAGAGGGCAAACCCATCCATCTGTCGGCAAAACGTGGACATCTCGGCCTGCTCGCGTGCTTTCCAGTGGCGTTTCTCGAACCCACCCGCCAAGACACACAACGGCCATCCTCGAACTCTCGTCGGACGGACTAGCCGAAGCTGGCATGTGAGTTTCGGTGCTGCTAAGGTCCAGCTGCAGCAAGCAAGCAAGCACCCTCGCGGCGAGGCTTTGTGTGCATCCGTCGTCCTTTTCGCATCTTACTCCTGAGTTTTTCTTGCCTGTTGTCATTCCAACCAACTGTTCCCCCCGAGTCAGCGACGACAACGACGACCTGGTTGTGTGTGTTTTGTTTCAGGTCAACGGTCTCCGCGCACCCCACCACGATACGATAACGCGATAAGCGCACGTGCTTCTGCGACGCCTCGTCCAGTCCCCGTCCCACCTCTTCAACAACCTGAGCATCTGTTTCGGACACAGCAGCACATATCACCAGCCTTGTATTCCTTATCGCAGCGGTGTGTCGGTATGTTTTGTGCGCGTGTCATTGTTGCTTCTTGTCGTTGTCCCCGAGTCATTCGTCCACGTCGGCTGATAGGCTCGCCAAAGGTACCCCGCGGTCTGTTGACTTCAGCAGTGACTGCTTGATTGCGTTGGATCATCGAGAGCTGTCACGCCCCATAGCTGACCCGGCCGACGCGTGAACGTCCTGTGTTACCATCATTTTGCCCTCTTCAACCTGAGGCCGGGCGGCCATCTGGTCCAAGTCGCTCCTGAGAGTCTTCCTGCGACGTCGCACGAGACGAAACCGCTCCAACAGCGCCTCCGCCAGCTGACATGGCGAACACGTCGGCGGAGTCCATCTCCGTCGCAGACGAAGCACATACACCCATTGAATCACCAACGAGCCCTACCGTCTCATCTCCACCCTTTCAAGAGCAGCCTCCCAAGTTGAAGGGCAGACAAAGGTTCCTTGCCGGGCTACACCGAATCTCCTCATCTCCCTCCATCGCACGGCTGAACAACTCGCGCTCGCGAACCTACAATGGCACCGGAAAGGGTTCCATATCGTGCATTTCGCTCAACTCTGCAAATTCCGTTGGTGGTCCATCGTTTGGCTCGTCCTTGACCCGAGAATTCTCGACTGGGTATGCGACTCCCAACTCAGGCGCGAACACGCCTGGCATCCAGATACCGATGTTCGATGAGAGGGCACGACTTCGCTATGTTTCAGGTCAAGATGGCAAGCTGTCTATCGGCATTCCTTCAGATCTGCGCGCAACTCCAAGGACAGGCATGACACCGGGCATCGCCGAAGTTGATGAGGACTACTTCTCGAGGCCAGTCACCAAGTCAAGGCAGGCTAGGAAAGACTTCAATTTCTGGCGCGACCTGCCCTCAGAGCTCAAGATGGAAGTCCTCAGCTACCTCGAGCCAAAAGAAGTTGTGCGCTGCTCAAGCGTGTCCAAGGTGTGGCATGAGATGTGCTTCGATGGCCAGTTGTGGAGTATCTTGGACACTTCCGGCTTCTACCAAGACGTTCCGGGAGACACCCTGGTCAAGATAATCTGCTCTGCTGGACCTTTCTGTCGAGATCTGAATCTACGTGGTTGCGTCCAGCTTCGAGAAAAGTGGATTGGTAAATCTGGAGTGACTGAGGCCTGCAAGAATCTCGAGAACTTCTCGCTCGAGGGCTGCCGCATCGACCGGGCCTCGATCCACAACTTCCTGTACTCCAACAACAGACTGGTCCACTTGAACTTGTCTGGGCTGGCCGGGGCGTCTGATGCAGGCATGCGCATCATCGGCCTAAATTGTCCCAAACTGGAGGTCCTGAACGTATCATGGTGCAACAACGTGACCACCAAAGGCCTAAAGAAAGTGATCCAAGGCGCGCCCAGCTTGAAAGACCTGCGCGCCGGGGAGATCCGTGGATGGGATGATGTCGACTTTATGCAAGACCTGTTCGAGAGAAATACCCTCGAGCGCCTTGTGTTAATGAACTGCGACACGCTGACAGACGAATCTCTCGCTGTTCTCATCGAAGGCAAGGACAGCGAGATTGACTACATCTCTGGTCGGCCCATCGTACCACCCCGAAAGTTCAAGCATCTCGATCTGACGAGGTGCCGTGGAATCACTGACCAAAGCGTTAAGACGTTCGTAAACAACATACCTGATATCGAAGGCCTCCAACTCTCAAAGTGCAGAGGTATCATCGATGCAACACTTACCGAGCTGCTGCCAACGACTCCAATGCTGACCCATTTGGACTTGGAGGAGCTCGAGGAGTTGACCAACGCTGTGCTCCAGACGCTAGCGAACTCACCTTGTGCGAAGCGCCTGCGACACTTGAGCATATCGTACTGCGAGAACATGGGCGATGTGGGCATGCTTTCGGTGCTGAAGACCTGCACGAATCTCCGCTCGCTGGAAATGGACAACACCAGGGTTGGCGACCTCGTTCTGGTCGAAGCAGCGTCAATGGTTCGGCAAAGGACAGCGCGAACGACAATCCAAGGAGCCGTGCAGCCAGGTAAGCCGATGTTCAAGCCAGCGATTGGCCTCCGTCTGGTGGCGTATGACTGCCAAAATGTGACATGGACGGGCATCCGCGAAGTCCTGTCCCGCAATGCCGACGTCCACATCACAACCCATACAACGCAGTTGCCTCCGCTCGAGAAGGCCCCGGATTCGTCTGCAGATTCGTCCGTCGAGAACTTGGCCTCAGCACCTCGGATCCACATCATCCGCAGTTCGACCTTCCCCACCGAAGTCATCCAGCTCAAGTGCTTCTATACGTTCCAGCCAACAGTAGAGGAGCACACCAAGCGCGTAATGCGAGGCGACTTCACGGCAGCCAGGCGCCTGGAGCGTAAGTGGGCCGAATTCATGATTGCTTCAGAAGAAGCAACTGCCCTGGGTCCTCGCGTACGGCCTCGACAGCGGAGAATGCGCGACGCACAACGAGAGCACGCGGAAGAAGAGGACATCGGCGCCCCAGGCCTGGGTGTCGGTGGCGGAAGACGAAGGCGCGCCAGGAGCGGCGGGTGTGCGGTGATGTGAGATACTTTTCCGTTCCTATGTGCAATGCGTTATGTCCAGATGAGCCCAACGAGCATTTTTGGGTGGGTGGAGGCGTTAGTATGGCTGTTGAAATGGGTCAGTTTGCATGGGCGGGTGGGGTCGCAGGATTCCAGGTGCACTCTATTGCTCCAGAATGCTTTCGAGAGACGCACAGAGATGCGAGTTCGTCCGTAAATATCGATATACAGACAGCATGAAGGCCTTTTGTCGGCATGACCATCACATGTTTTGTGTTTTTGAGGAGATGAAATCGCTGGCCAGTTAGATACGAGCGATCCTTGTTGAGACTTAGCCCCGTCCGGAAAAGTGGCAAGCGCTATGAAAGCTTAATCGACCAGCTGGGGAAGGAGCCGTCGTTTTGCGCGACGAATGGGGCGGCCGCAGCACTTGGTCGACCTCGCAGCAGCAACATCGCTAGCATCAACAACTACACAACACCACCACCATCTTCTCCACCGCACCGCCCGTCAACAAACCGATCGCGTCGATAGAGGCCGTCGACGCGTCTCACACATTACGCAAACAAACGTCTCGGAGCCCGCAGGAAGGCGGCGACACTCGCAGCCAGCGCTTCTCTGCACCGAGTCTGCTGCTGCCCAGCGCTAGCTTTTGCGCCCGAAGCCTCATGCTGGAGTAATGCGACCGGCGCCCTCGCAGTCACGGCATGAATGGTAGAATATCACCAGATCCGCCGACTACCCAGGCTGGAGACTCTGGTAAGGACGAATCGACCTTGGTGGGCAGCAACGACTCCACCGCGAACCACGACCCCAGCGAGATCAGGCTCAAATCATCACCACCTCGACCGAAATCGGCTGGAAAAGATGTTTCGTCAGATCTGAACGAGGTCAAAGCACAGGAGGAGGGCTCGAAGGTCAATGGCGACGAAGATGGCGTGGATTCCGAGGCAGAAACGCTCATTGACAGTCCTGTGAAGAGGCAGCAAGCCGAGCGGCGGCGGAGCAATGCGGCCAAAATGGAGCGGCCACCCAAGCATCGCATAGGAAGCCTGCCGGTGCCGACTGGTAACGATGACGAGGACGATTCTGCGAATGTGTCGCCGGCGCCCAGCACCGCCATGAGCGTGGAAAAGACGACTTCGACGGAAGATTTGAAGGATGTGAATATGGACAACATGGGCGATGACAAGGACGACGACAGCGACTCACTCAGCTCGCCGCGCAGCAACGCATCGAACCCAGCTTCTCGCAGGTCTTCAATGTCGCGTGCCGCATCTGAGAGGCCTGGACTTTCTCGTAATGACCAGCACTCGCCAAATCCACGCAAACGCAAGCACCGCGCATCATCAGTCAGTCTTCCGAATAAGCGCCCGAGTATTGACATTCCTAAGCGTCGGCTTCGCGGATTGCACTCTGAGGAGCTGGGCCGACACGACGAGTCGTTATCGCCCAAGCTTAGAAGTCACAGGCGTGCTGTATCGACTCAATCTGCGTTCACGGATGGGATAGGAGAGGCTTCCGGGAACAGGAAGCGCCGAGCTGGTACACAAGGACTTGGAAAAGAGCCCAAGTCGGCCCGATCTGGATGGGAAGAGTCCGATGCTTCCTCGGAAGCCACGTCCCATGGCAATCCTGACTCTAGACGGCCGCAGAGGGGCGTGGGCAGGTCGACGTCAACTCCAGGCAGACCGGTAGGAAGGGAGCACAAGCGCCATGTCAACAAGTACGGCTTCACCCGTCTGGCAGAGGCTTGTGAGAACGGTGATTTGGATCTGGTGAAAGACTGGTGTGAGAAGGATCCTGACCAGTTGGAACTTGCAGAGTTCGCGGGCAACAAACCTCTGCAAATCGCGGCATTGAATGGTAATGTCGAAGTGGTGGACTATCTTATCGACCAAGGATGCCAGATTGACTGCGCAAATGTCGACAAAGACACACCGCTTATCGATGCCGCCGAGAATGGACACCTGGAAGTCGTCAATAGCTTGCTGAATGCAGGCGTGGATCCTTTGCGGCAGAACCTGAAAGGGCAGCAAGCGTTGGACGTTGTGACAGACGAAGTCGACGATGCCGAGGAAATTCGTGCCACACTGCGAAAGGCTATAGAGAAGTGGAACAGTACTGGCGCAAAGCAGAAGCGCGAAGAGGCAGAGGAGATGCGACACCGAGCCGGACCATCCAAAGAGCTGCATTTCATGGCGCGCACCTACGAAAATCTTCTCAGACTCGTGCAGATTAACGATCGCACGGGAGTCCGAGAGTTTCTGGATGCTCGGGTGCCTGTCGACAACGCCGTGGTAGCGGCAGCCGCCAAGACTGGAGATACTTACTTGGTCAACATGCTATTGGCAGAAATGACAGAGAAGAAAGCTCACCAAAAAGCTGAAAAGCCGCTACTTGGAGTTTTGGGCAGCTCACACTTCGAAATGGTCAAATCGCTCACTGAACTGGACAACTTCAACCCTCTCTTTCGCAATAGGCAGCAAAAGACGTGGCCGGAAATTGCAGAAGAGCGACACGGTCCAAACTGGCGACAGGAATACGAACTTCTACAGCGTCTCTACGATCAGGCTGCATCGCTCAAAGAGCGCCGCAGCTCAAGCCCTGTCACTAAGAGAGACAGCGGCAAGCGACGATTCGTCCATCGTGCTGAGGAAGAGGACAGCGAGGAGGAAGAGGCACCCAAGCGTCGCAATAATCGCAAGTTGATGTCTAAGCGAGAGCAGAGAGAATTGAGAGCTGCTAGAGGGAAGCCAACATCTGATGAGTCTTCTGACGAGTCCAGCTCAGAGCAAGCGACTGGCGCCGAAGCTGCTGAGGAGAAGTCTATGAAGCCTCCTGAGAGTCCTGCATCGAAGCGTACACCACCTACGCGCTCGAGGACCAAGAGCCTATCTGCGCAAGCACCAGAGCCTTCGCCACGAACACGAAGACGGTCTTCATCAGTGCGAGGGGCGGGCGACAATCTATTGCCGACTGTCCAGGAAAATACTGAGGAAAAGGAAGCCGCTGAGAGACAGAAGGAAGAGGAGCAGAAGAGAGTCGCTGAGGAGGCGGAACAGGCTCGATTGGCAGAAGTCCGGCGTAAAGAGCAGGAACAGGCCGAAGCTGAAGCCGCCGCCAAGCGCGCTGCTGAAGAAGAAGAGGCTCGGAGGATGGAAGAGGAACGCAAGGCAGAGGAAGCCCGTCGCATCGAGGAAGAGCGCAAAGCCCAGGCAGCTAGGGACGCCGAGGAGGAGCGCATCCGCAAGCAACGAGAAGCGGAAGAAGCAAAGCGTGCCCACCGGAAAGAAGTCGTCGCCTCCCTACCCAACCCTATCGCCCATGTCCTGAGACCGGATTCAGGTTTCGACTACAGCAGCAGCGACCTGAAAGATCTGACGTACATCATCAGACTCCTCACACCTCTGCAGGTCATCAAGCACGAGTATGGCGGCCCATATGCGCACTTACCCGCTAGTGACGACGCGCCTTTCTGGGTCATGAACGTGCAGGTGGCTCCACTGCTTGACAAGCGAGGTGCTGAGTTGATGATCAGCAGCGAAAAGCCGGGGTACGAAGGCAGCCTCGCAGACACATGGGAGACGAAAGAAGTGCAGGAGAAAGAGGTCAACCTGGTGATATCGCTACTCTCGAATGGCTCGCAAGCATTACCGGACGAGCCAAAGGTGCCCAAGGACAAAGCCGGAAATTCGCTCCTATCCTGGCAAGAGGAGCTTGAGCGAGCCTCGAAGGTGCAGAAAGCCTCAATAGACGCGAAGAAGAGACTTCGTGAGGGAGCTGCCAAGTTACGCTACGTCCGCCTCGACGATGTTCTCAAGAACTTGCACCCACTTCTGCAGCAAGTCAACATCGAGGTGAGGTTCGACCACCTCAAGCCTGCACCAAGTCCAGTCAAAGACGAGGGAGGGTTCTTTGGCCGCGTGGGCAGCGCCATCAACCGCAAACCAGTGCCCAGGACGTATGTCAACGGCACGCCAATCGATCTGAAATCACCCGTCACAGCGACGGGCACCACGCAGGTCACGGTCATTCATCCAAAGAAGTAGCCTACGAAGCAACGCAAGCGATCACTGTCTACGCAACGAGGCAGGCTCTGAGGAGCTCTGAACAGTCGCTTTGTCCATAACGAAGAGAAGAAAGTATAGCGAAAACATAAGACATACGTCGTAGTGAATGACATGTCCACTACAATCGAACAGTACTTCCCAAGTTCCACCACGTGAAGATGACCAGTAGCTTACTTACCTCGTCTGCACGACCAATCGGCGGAAAGGTGTACGTGAAGCCACCTCGTCCCCTCCCCATCCATGCAAGATGGAGCCGGGGTATCTGTGGATTTTGGAGATTTCGATGCTGATGAGATGTCCTTGTTGCCGAGTTTCATTGGGAAGCACAGCTGTGTCGCGTGTATCATGTCCCAATGCAGGGCAATAGTAAGAAGGATTCTTGCTGATGAGGTTGCAGTCGTGTTGAGCTCTGCCGGCCGATCTGTCACGAATGTGTGGGTGAGTGAGAGTGGGATGGATGCTGTTCTGGGGCATGGACCCTTTCGGCCCCCCTGCTGGCTTCGCTGCTGGCGTTGGCGTGTGGAGATGGAAGCCGATTCGAAGAAGGTTTTCATCATTCTGCCGTCTTGTCTAGACTGGAAGCTCGGTGACTGCATGTTCGTTAGGATTGTGACTGTGGCAGACGTAGACTTGCTCTCTCTTGTTGATACTACCCTGTTGTCTCTGTCTTGAACGTGGTGTCCTGCGAGAATCGGATCCTTCCCGACTGCACCTCTACGATTGATTGCCGGCTGCCCGCGGTGGTGGATTTCCCGTACGAACGGACGACGATTGACTTGAAGAGGGGGCACTTCACATCGACTTGGGTGTTTACGACTTCGAGAAAGAAACGGGTGGTTCAGAAGGGACTTGGAGATCTCTGGATCGGAAAGTCGGTCGGGTTACTTTGCTGTCGCTACCCGGACCACGGCTGCCTTGCAAGTTGAGACCCAAAAGCCTGGGGAGATCCCAGCTGCCCGTTCATAAGCCTCGCACGTGAAAGAGCTGCAGGAGACGCGCTGAAGAATCACGGACGGAGGGACTGTGGCCGCTGGAGCTGCTTGACTGCTGCTGCTGCTGAGGCGAGAGCATGACTTCGCCTTCTGGTGCGCAGCATGGTGAGTGAAAGACAGCCACCCCTCCCACCCACATCACTCCCACCACCACCACCACCGAGTCATTCGGTCTCGCCGGTTCGCACATGACTGGAGCCGGCCATGCGTGTCGCCCAGAACCTCCCTTCCGATCTCCTTGGCCTTGACTTTGCTGACGACCCAATGCTTGCCGCAGACACGCCCAACGCTTCTTCATCCTCGTCCCCTCCTCCTCTGCCGCCGACCCTCTCACAGCCTCCGCGTCCGACGGCGTTGCATATCCCAAAGAACAGGTCTTCGAGTACCCTAGTATCCCGCGATTCGAGTAGTGCTAGTCTAAGGGCAGACGGCGAGCAATTGTCAAGAGCTAGGCTGTCGATTGATGCCGGTAGTGGGAGTGATGCGTATGATAATCTTACCAGGTGCGTCTCTCATGTGCACTTGCATATCTCCATGTCGTTTGTTTTAGGTAGATCATGTGAAAGACGAAGCGAGCATCAGGCAGTGAACTTTTGGCACGTGGGAGAAGCATGGCTAGAGTCATCCGTGACTGACTTCTCTGCTACGCAATAGGTCGCCCATCTTAGGCCCTGAACACTCCACCGGACTACGTCGAATACGACAAAACCCAGCAGCGCCAGGCCGAACTCCATCCTCCCCAAATCTGCAACCCATATCACCGGTCCCCTCGAGTCCCGTCTCCCGGAAATCGTCCTTCGCCCAACCGCTCGCTTCCCCAGCAGTCCCCTTCAGCGAAGACCTCACTCGCTTCCCCTCCGAGTCTTTGCACTCCTTCTCCTTCGCCCAGCAGAGCAGCGACTCCCTCCACAACCGCCAGAATGTGCTGAAGCGCAGCATCGAGTTTATGCGCGACAAGCTCAGCTGGGCTGCGTCTTCACCGCGGATAGCCAGCGCTCAGGCGAGATTGGCTGGTGACGAGGAGCTGCTGAGCATGATGGAGCTGTTGCAGAAGGCGAATGTCATGTCGCCGCAGAGTATGAATCCTGCCGTGGGGTTGGGTTTGGATCCTGGTCCGTTGACGGGGCCGGCTCATTTGGCGAATGAGAATGTTTTTGAAAAGGGGTTCATGACGGAGAGTGAGAGTCCTACGACGTTGGACAGTCCTGATACGATTCGGGGAAGTCAGGGGCGGGGTTCATTCAACAGCGAGCGTCGTGGGAGTGGTCAACGGGAGTTGAGAGAAGAGGCCCTTTCACCGACGGCGATGAACTTGCACATTCCGGCGACTGTCAAGGAAACTGCAGAGAGTCAAGCAACCGAAGAGGTGGAGAAGTTGGATCTCTCACGAGCTGACACAGCCGAGGACGATGATATGCCAGCCATGTCAACCACTAGGCCGCGCCGAACCACGTTGAAGAGAACTTATACCGATGTTGCCGGCTACTCATTGCAGCACAAGCTGACTGAAGCTCTCGCTCAACCGTATCACGCGAATCAGCAAGCTACGCCTATGGTGCCACAAGCACCTGCACGAGCACAGACCCTCATTACTGAGAGAGAACGAGCGCCGCATGGTCACCGTAACCAACAAGCCCAAGCCATTTTTACCACGGAGGCCAAACACCCTTGGACTATTACAGCAGCTAATGACCTTGCATGTCTAGTTTTTGGAGTTACTCGTGCTGAGGTACGGAAGTTGGGTATCATGGAGGTCATCAACGAGGACCGACGAGGCTGGCTGGAGGAGAAGCTGAAGAATCCGGAGATTGGGAGCGCGGCTCGACAGACGAAGCTGCAGCCTCCTCCTCCGCCTGGTAAGACGAGTCCGAGTAACAGTCTTGCGAGCATGGGTAACGGCGTGACAGCCAAGTTACTTTCCAAGCCACCGTCTCGCCAGACTTATAAAAGTCGACGAAGCAAAACGGAGGATGGTACCAAGACGCCTGAGAAGCGCGAGTCGACCCGTACGAGGCGAGAAAGTAGAGGTGTACTACTCTGCGGTGATGTGGTCCCTATCCGCAAGATGAACGGCTCGACTGGCAGCGCGTCTCTTTGGGTGAAGGAGAAGGGTACTAATCTAATCTGGGTACTGGAAGAGATTGCTGAGGATGTGGCCATGCTTACAGTGGATGAGATTGGTTTGGTGGTCAGGGGCAGCGGCGACCTCGAATCGACATTCGGACTCGACCGAGTACGCAACGGCATGGACGTGCAGCGGCTAATACCGGCCTGGCCCAAACTTGCTGGCACAAACACTGGAGCTATCGACTACGAGGCTATCCGGAGGCTTAAGAGGTTTACCGCGCGGACGAGCAACTCGATAAACATTCCAGTGACCGTCGAGCAACTGCCGAACCAAGACGTCTTCCGCGTCTCGAGCTTCCCGCATATTGCAGGCATCATTGTGGTCAACCCTGTATCACTTCGTGTGAGCAGCTCCAACAACGTCTTCTCGGCTGCCCTGTTCGGTCATCAGAATCCGGATGGAATGCCTGTCAACGAGCTTATACCCGGCTTCGACAAGATCCTGCGGGTGATGACGGACGAAGACCAGATAGCTCTTGTCGATGGAATTGTGATTCCGGAACACAGCTTCAGGAGAGCTCGGGCATTGCTGGCGCTCAGAGAAGGCTCAGCGGATGCGGCGGCGATATTCTTACGGCCCAGCGGCTTGCCTGCCAAGCACAGGGATGGCGCCGAGATCATGATTGATGTGCAGATGCGTGTGGTGCGCTCTGATCGAGATCCGATCTATAACGAGACGGTCATCGATGAGGAGTTGACGCCGCTGTCGAGTGGGGAGGTGGTGTTTGCGCTCTGGATCACGTACAGCCGACAGCTTCACGCCGTGAATCATGGCGTTGGCCCGGTGACCCCATTCATCAGTCGGCCTAGCACGCCGCCGCAGCCGACGCCGGGTCCAACCGCCGACGACAGCAGTGAGAGCCCCATGGTTGCGGAGCCGGAGTCAATTGAGGAAGACACTCGCGCCGATCTGCTCAACCAGCGACTCGAGGAAGCAAAATCAAACGCGAACAACCAGATGTCCAACACGACCGGTGGCGAAGGCGAGCCCTTCGAGCACCCAGCCCCTGACATGATCGCCGCCGGCTGCAAGGTGATCAAAAAGAAGCGGATCGACGACTTCACCATCCTCGAGGAGATGGGTCAGGGCGCGTACGGCCAGGTGAAACTCGCCCGCTACAAGAAAGCCGCGGCCAAGAAGATGGTCATCAAGTATGTCACGAAGCGCCGCATCTTGGTCGATACCTGGCACCGTGACCGACGACTCGGCACCGTACCGTTGGAGATCCACGTGCTCGACTACCTGCGGAGAGACGGGCTGCAGCACCCGAACATCGTGGAGATGGCCGACTTCTTCGAGGACGACATCAACTACTACATCGAAATGGTACCACACGGCCTCCCCGGCATGGATCTCTTCGACTACATCGAGCTGCGGGTGACGATGGAGGAGCGCGAGTGTCGCAAGATCTTCCGGCAGGTCGCCAATGCGCTTCATCATCTGCACATCACCGCCAAGGTCGTGCATCGCGATATCAAGGATGAGAATGTGATCCTTGATGGCGAGGGACGGGTTAAGTTGGTGGACTTTGGCAGTGCGGCGTATATCAAGTCGGGGCCTTTCGATGTCTTTGTCGGAACCATTGGTAAGTCTACTCATCCCTGCTCCCTTCCCGTTGTCCAAAGAAAGAAGACTGACCTCGCATGCTTTGTCCCCAAAACAGACTACGCCGCCCCCGAAGTCCTCCGGGGCTCGCCCTACCGCGGCAAAGAACAAGACGTCTGGGCCCTCGGCATCCTGCTGTACACCATCGTGTACAAAGAAAACCCCTTCTACTCGATCGACGAGATCATGGACCACGACCTCCGCGTGCCGTACGTCATGAGCGACGAGAATCTGGATCTGATCCGCAAGATGCTGGATCGCGATGTGGAGCGCCGGATTGGGATTCAGGCTGTGTTGGAGCATCCTTGGTGTACGTTTGTGGATGAGGAGGAGGAGGGGAAGGAGGGTGGGAAGGAGGGGGAGGTTGGGATTGAGGGGAAGGCGGAGGGGTGAGGTGTACTCACTCATTGGTCTCATGTTTGGGTGTTTCAGGAGGAGTGCAGGAGAGGAGACGAGTCATTTCATTAACCACCACCACCATCACCCCCTATGGACTTTTTGCATGGCGAGTATCAGGCCGGCAGAAAGGAAAGGAGAGGAAAGGAATCATAAAATCGGAAGGCAAAAGGACATGGATATGGCAGGAAGGAAGGGACTGACAGGCAACTCAATTCGTGAATTGATTTTGAAACGAAAAAAACGACCGCTATTGCAATAGATACCCACGATTGAAAAGAAGCAAGAAGAACGCAACTTCGACCAGAAGACATGTAGACAAGATGGGAAGAGTGGAGAGGAGGAACATACACGTAAAGGTTTTTGGGGATTGCAAGAGGATGGGAGGAGATACAGTGGTTAGATTTGCCTTCTTTCGGGGTGAGGCACACGCTGTACATATTGATAATGAGAACGAGAGTTTGGATTGCTCGTACAAGTCATGACCGTAAAGTTTCAGATTGGCTGGGAGAGAGGCGTAGCAGGAAAAGAGTCTTGTTTCGATGGAACAGAGGTCAGAAGATTTGAATTTCAATCTGATTGACCTGATTTTGCAGCTGGCTCGCGTAACCCACTGCTTCACTCCACATGCGCCGCAGTAATGCCTTTTGCTACCCGATCATGACCCTTCATTCCATCCCATCTAGAAGCATACAGTGACTACCAACAACAATCTAGTTGTAGTCGGTCTGCGACTGCGGGAATTCGAAGTTGACACCCTTGCCGGTCAAACGCTTGTAGACCTCAGAGTAGGTGTCGAGGCGGTAGTCGACGCCACCACGCTCCTTCTCGTCGAGGATGACCTTGAGGAGCTTGCTGCCGTCCTCGCGGGTGCGGACGCGCTTGCCCACAATCTCGACGGGGTAGACGAGGTCGGCGAGGATGGCGTCGTGGACGGCCGTGAGGGTGCGGCTGCGTGGACGCTTCTGGGTCTGCGACGTCCGGCTGCGGTTGCTGCGCTTGGGGCGTGGCAGGATGCGGCGCGATGCGACGATGAGGACGTGACGGTCCGAGAACTTCTTCTCGAGCTCACGGGTGAGGCTTTGAGATATATGTTAGCATTGAGTTTGAAGGGTAGAGTATGTTGCAGTACTTACCGCTGCTGGGAGCGGTGCCAGCCCTGAAGGAGAGGGACAGGGACGAAGATGACAATCGCCTTGCGACCGTGGCCGACCTCGATCTGTAAGAATCCTGGTGTCAGCGAAAAGCTGCCCAGTGCCCACCGCCTCTTCGTTGTCGAGGTGTATTCAAGTATCAAACGTCTCGCGTTGGCCTCCTCTTTTCACCACACGGTATTTCACGCTGGCCGGTCCAATCGACCTCTTTTTCTTTTGTATTTTCCAATCTTTCTGGGTGTGTTCTCATCTTACCTCACGGGCGGAGACGAACTGCAGCGGCCTCAAGGCAGCGCGCATGTCTGGGATGTTGGTCTCGAGCTCGTACAGAGCGGTCGCAATGTTGGTCTCGATCTCATTGGGCTTGGCCCGCGATGGGCTGTTGGGAGCGATCTTGTTGAGCGCTTGCTGAGACATGCTGGGCGACGTGTGTTGGGCGACGGGGTGGGTGGTTGTTCTGCGACGTGCCTGGCGGAAGCAAACGAGGCCAAAGTCTCAAGTTTCGATTTCAAAGTGCTATGCTGCCAAGAGATTTTCTCGGAAGGTTAAGCGATCACGTGAGAAAGCTAAAGTCTACTTTGACAGCAAGGGATGGCGAGCATCAACATCAACAACCACAACAATGTACTGAATACAGTTGTTTTACCAAATACACCTGCTATGTTCTATACGATTGCACTATTCAGGACATCCCGGAGCAGAAACCGAACATCCATAACACGCATCTGCTGTTTGAGCATTGAAACTATGGGACTGTTAGCACGCGGATCAGCCTATGTCGACTGCTTTTGAGACGTACCATTCCGGCCCAGTCAAGGACGAACAATCACCCGGCACGAAGCAGGCCTGGTACAGACTCTGACATGTTGGCATATCGCACATCGGGGCGCGGGCCTCGAGCATCGTCTTGTTCACTGCGACCTGGATATCGCAGTCGTGTGCCTGTTGCATTGTCGGAGCGGCCAAGGCCGAACCTAGGAGCATGAGGATGGCCAGAATCGAAGGCATGTTCGGGCTGCTTTGGAATGTACTGAAGACTACGGCTCTTTGGGCAGGCTGAGGTCAATCGCTTGAACGGTCTTCTATTGCAAGCCCTCTGGTGCTGGATCGATGCTGGTCAATTTATACTTCTTGCTGGACTGCATCAACTCAAATCGTTCGACTTACGGTCTCGTTTTCAAGGTCAGATGAGAAGACTGTACCTTCAGAAATCAGGATTGCGAGTCGAAGATGGTTCTGCACAAGCCGTTTGCTGGAACCTCGTGTCTCTTCACATCGATGTGTGCTCTTGTGAGGGCTGAACGGATCAAAAGAATGACGTGTGCGATAGCAGGTGCAATGTCAGTGGACGGTCAAGTACGAGCAAGTGCGACTTGGAGGCTTCGCGTCAACGGCCGTATATGAGCACCTGGTAAAGCTTGGAAGCATTGTCGAGGCAACTGTTTACTCGATACATTGTTGCAATGGTTGGATGGTACGACCAAGAAAGAAGTGCTTTTCCAGTAGCACCAGTTGCCACGGGGTACATCTGGTGCTACCCAACCTGCAGAGAGCCGCATGTCTCGTGCATTTGACAGCTCCATCGAAGCAACCACCCGGGACGACCTGTCAACACAACACGCACCACTGAGTCACAACAACGGTTCGCCCTGGCCTTTGTACAATGGACTGTTACTTTCATACGGAATGCGATACACCACCGGTCAGGATTTGGGGCAGGTCTTCATGATACTGCACTCCCGATCATCTCTCACACAAGGTTCAGAAACGTTCCTACGTGCTTCATGAGATCGTCCGTCTCTTCAAGCATGGTGAAATGACTGGAAAGGGGCAAGTGCACCCACTTGACTCGACACTTCGGCTTCGTGAAGTACGCAGTCATCGTCTCTGGAGGTGCCATGTCATGAGTTGATGTCACCATCATCAAACCGCCAGGACACGTTTCCTCTGTGATCTGGTCAAGTCGATCCTCCGGTCCAGGCACATGCATCATCGTGCCATCCCTGATGGTCATGTCAACGCCGTCAAAACCTGGTCAAGCCTCCTGCCACTTACATTGTCATAGCTGAGGTACCTGCCATGGTTTTATAGCAGGTGTTGTCTTCGGCCACCGCCGCCATGCAATCCATCAACTCCTTCGGCCATGGTTGCACGCGGCACCCATAAAGGGTATACATGTACATCATGGCCGTCATGCCATCCTCGGATTCGAAACTGTCGGCTTGTTCACACTGGTCGATTGTATCCTGGATTGCCTGCGGCATCTTTCCCCTCAGCTCTCTCGTGGCGGATCGCAAGCTTCTCAAGTCTGACGGTGAATTACAGATGATCAGCTTGCGCAGCGCTTTTGGCTGTTTCTCAAGTGCGAACGTGGTTGCAAGATGACCGCCCCATGAGTGGCCAAGAAGATCGAACGATGTGAGCTTGAAATGCTTGATGAGGTTCTCCAGCTCTTCAACGAACAGTTCTGGTGTCCAGAAATCGGCATCCAACACCCGGTTTTTGAAGCGTGTGCTCTCGCCACTGCCAATCTGGTCGTACATGATGACTGGGATGCCGTAATCGGCATAGATCAGGGCGAAGGGGAGCATATACCTTCCATCGAGCGGTGAGTCTGAGGTCAACTTCAGTGGTGAGTTCAGTCTTGACATACGTATGCGGCATGCCTGGCCCTCCATGGAGAGCTATCAAGGGTGGCTTGCTAGACGTCGACAAGTCTCCCCAAATCCAGAACGCCGTCGAGCCGCTCAACGCTGTCGATGGCCCTTTGCCCGGATACGAAAATGGGATCTTGCCATGACTGGTTGGTTGAGGATAGTCGCGAGTCTGGCCTGGAGGAGGAATCGGTATACTCGGCTTGTAGTCTGCCAATGCCATCGTTACTGCGAGAGAGGTTTGACACAGAAATTCTTACCACTTCGACAATTGCTTTGAATCAATCAAAGATGCTGACTTCCGCATGTTACACAAGACTATTTATCAGCAGGCGATAATTTCTCGCGGCCCCTCGCGAGCTGACACTGCTCCGCTGGTATGTCTTCGACGATGAACATTTGGGTGTCCTGTTACGGCAACATGCTCGAGAGACCTATTCGGGACCGAAATATGTGAAGACATAGCGAACATCACATTCAAATCACGAGCAATAAATCCGTCGATAGAGGCTATCAGACACAAGCGAGGCTTGCTCATTGGGACTTACTCTAATCGCTTTTTCGGATGAGCAAATGTCTTCTCAAGTCGTAGGAGACTGGGAATCTGTCGACGGCATTGAGTCTTTGTCAATGGACAGGAGCCCTCTTCCTCACACTCAAAGAACGATCTCACTGGATCTGGCCAGATTCGTCGTCACCCAGGCTGTATCATGTGGACAAAGGAATCATACCACATCCGGCCAGTGCAATTATCTGACCTTCAAGACTTGACGCTCGCCATTCCTGCAAGTTGTTCAACGCAGATTTGCATCAATATGGTACCGAGACGACCGCCCCCGCCACCTGCATAGAAGTCGATGCTCCCGGCCCGTGGCAGTGCGCTGTCAGTCTCATTTGTGATGGGAATCATGATGCCAGTGGTGGGTTACAAGGCGCTTCCTCTTCTTGTTCGTCGCTGACTGGTACCAAAGAGAGGCCGTTCAGAATTGCAGACGACCTGTACTGTGCCGAATGTATCGAAGATTTCTTCGAGCAGGCATGCGACCTCAACGGCGGTGCATACCCGCCGAAGGTCCAGAGGGAGAGACTGAACATCGACACCTTTGCACATAGGTTATCGGCTGGCGTGGTCAACAAGTTTAGGCGGTTAGACGCGCTGGTCAAATCTACAAATACGTATGAGAGGGTGACCTGCCATTGGCCTTCTACAGCTGCCGATACACCCACTGGAGAGCTTTGTAACGAGTTTGTGTGCAAACAGCTTCCCACGACTGCAGAGGACATTCGAGTCCAGTGCCCGAAATGGTGAGTCTTGGGATCACTTTTAACTGCTGGGCCAGTGCTGACTTGAGTGGCCACCAAACAATTTGCGGCATTTGTGGAAATCGACTGCACGATGACTACAACAGTCATGAATGCCCACCAGAGACAGTAACGCTACAAAAGCTACTGCAGTCCGAAGAACGCAGCCGTGAGCACCAAGTCTGCCCTCAATGCGGAGAGGTAAGCAGACGAAAGAATACCAGCTTCTTTCAGGCTTCAGTCAATACTGACCGTGAATTTCCTCGTAGTTGATGTATCTCAAGGCTGGATGCGTAAGTGACATGTAGCCAACTAGATACACATCTGCTGACCAGGTACACACATTTAGAACCGCATAACCTGCAAACGATGTGACAGCGAATTTTGCTACAGTAAGTCTGAAGGGTAGAAGGCATATGCGAGACATGCAGGACCAGATGGCTAATACCCTTCCGCGTGGATAGTTTGTGGTCAGGAGGCCGATGGGTTGAGTGATCACTGGGTGGCGGGTGGGTGTCCTCGATGGAACCCGCCCAACCCAGAAGCAGATGGTCCACAGCCCCAGTGGGATAACGCACAGGATATCCGTCAACATCAACAAGAAATCCAACTCGACAGGGAGATCGATGCTCGTATCTGCCTAGTCGTCGAACCCGAAGATCATCTCGTGGTAGACTTCGCAATTCTCCAGCCCGGACCCTCTCGATGGCGCAAGGTTGCACAGCGGCTCGGCCCAATTTTGACAAACGCAATATTAAATGGAGATCGCTCCGATCTCTTCGCGTGGTTCATCATGCTCCAAATGACCTTGTCGGCCGATCGGTTGACGCATTCTTTACACAACGATGCAGTTGCAGCGGACGAGGAGGACCTTGAAATTCGTTTCTTGCGGAACCTTTACCTCACCCACCACGCCGCCAAGTTTCGCCAGACCTGGAACATTCTGCTCTGGCAGTTTCCAGATATGTATGGGCCCGAGTGGGAACATTTTGAACGCTTTGAGCACTTGCGAAAACTCACTCTTTGGGCTACCCTCCACTGGAACGTACCGCCGACGGCATTGCCCGTTGCTGACTGGATTTCATTTGACCTTGCCACGATTGAATCGGTGTTGATAGAGCTTCGAGACAAATTTGCGGACTGGTTGGTAGAAGCAGACGACGATCCTCCTGAAGCTCTGAACTGGAGGACGACAGCAAGGCTTGCCCAATGTTTGTCTAGCCTCGTAACAACGCTCCGTCTTTGTGAACGACGTACTCCGCCCGAGTTACTTGTTTTAGAAAGGATGAATGTCAAATATCTCTATGAAGAGCTGCTCGACATTTATATGGACGAAGTAGTCGGCATCGTTGGCTTGGAAGACTTTGAAGAGTCTGGACAGGTAAGCCAAAAAGACCTGAGTTTTATCGGTGTCATACTGACCACCACGTCCCTTCAGGATCAGCAAATGTTGTGCATGATCATCGAAGTCATGTTCGAGAGAACAATCTCGCTGGGCGAAGACGCCAACGGCAACACGTACTCAGAAGACCAAGCACACATCATGTCTGGCCGCCTGTACTTCAGCGAAATCAGCAAAGTGATTGAGTACCTGAAGCCGGATGACCCTCACCCAGATGAATGGCCCGACGAGCCAACAGAGGAGCAATTGGAAGCACGCAAAAGACTACGAGCCATCGATGCACTGCGCAGAGCCGTGGGATTACTCCTGCAATACGCCAACGGAGACCCGGACGGGTTTGACCAAACGACGGAGTTCACAGAGCTTGATGAGACTATGCTGGAGCTGGGCCAAGCATCAGAGTTGTTGGATCCCGCAGTACCCATTACCATGCTTATCATGCCTGTCTTGACGCATGTGATCAATGTCGCTAATTCGATTATGGGCGACGACGAGGTGTCTGAGACAGACTCCGATGCCTCCTGAATGAAGCCCAACATCGCAGCATGAGCAAGTCGTCCTGTGCTCCCGAACTTTTGGGGAATAGTATGGGTCAGTTGGAGGAACGGGCACTTGGACCCCTTGCCGGATGCCAATGACATGAATACATCTTTCTAGGCCCTCGACTTCTGGATTTCGCGCGTCGTGAAAGCTGTCAGTTACCAAGCCATATACATAGAGGAAACTCCTTTGCCAACCCTGCCATATGCGTTGAAACCCGTACAACAATTATTCGGTGACATTCTTTGTCTAACACCAAAAAATCTTCGACGGACTGGGCAAGCGTCTTTCCATGGACAAGGAAATTCGTTTTTGTCTAATGGCAGTCTTCTACACAAGGTCAATGGCTCAATCGGCCTCGAAATTGTCCTTCGCAACGTACTACAGAGGCTCTGTAAATAATGGAGGGCCAGCCGAATCCGCCAACCACGGCAGCTCAAGCAGGGTGGGAATGCCCTCAGTGCTACGATGATCGAGAACCACCAAACGACGAGAGATTCGTACTCGTAGACGAGCGAAGACCTGATGACGACGATGTTGATAGGACGCCAAACCTGTACTGCGGATACTGTAAGCTATGCCAAAGCCTTTGGCCAGATATTAAACTGACCATAAGATAGGTGTGAAGCGATTGCTCCAGCTAGAGTAAGTGGGCAAGTCTTTCTCAGCTATTGCGAGAGACTAATGTCCAATTGCAGGTTCAACAATGGTGGTGCAACGCTGCCTTTAAGACATATGGAGATTGACGACTACGCCCGACTGTTCACGGACGATCCTGAGTTCGTCGCGAGATACAAAGAAAAAGAGGATCAGGCTGCAATCTTCCCGCTGTGGACTCGAATTCTCTGCTCCGCTTGTCAGCGGCTTGTCGGGCAGTAAGCAAAGTTTCTGTTTCCATTTGGATATGCTGAGTCGTGCATCGCAGGTATCGACGACCCCTGAATGGGCGATTTCGACAGCAACGATGTCCAGGGGTAGAGTGTGGACAGATGGTCTGCATGCCTGTTGGTCTTCCAGGTCTCAACCCCTTATCTACGACATTGCGTAGACAGGCACTAAGAGCAGGGTCGCCTGCCTGCCATATTCGGTTGAGTAGTTCCTTGTTGATCTCCATGAAAGCCTCGTTACGTGCACGGCTGCGGAACAGGTCGACGCTCTGGTCACTTGTCAGTCTCGTCTGAAGTCGGGCAATGGGTGCTCATGTATCTGCCTGGTGCGAAGGACCAAACCCGAGCTTGGTCACAGCTAGTTGTAAAGATGTCGTGCCAGTCCGCGGAAGACACAGGGCTATAACCTCGAGATTTACATCTGAATCCAGTGTTGTGCCTGTGAGATCACCGTGTGCAGTGGCATCAAGTCCAAAAGCTCTTTGCAACGTATTCTTTGTAGACGACATGTTACTGCGATCACCAAGTGGTTTGTAGGGAGAAGTTTAGTAGGGAGTGAAGGCTAGACTTTATATCGTTAACACGGAGGGTCGGGTTTAAGCATCGTCCGTACAGCATTTATGTCCAGCACTCAGCGTGGGTGAGAACAATCACCAGGGACGAGAGCGGTCTGCACTCCTGATACCAGGAGCGAATCTGAAAGTGGCGGTTCGCCCAACCCGATGCTCAACAGTGTCATAAAACCGAGTACGAGCCCAGTAGATAACATGACATTCCAGCTGTATACCTTGTGCCGCGCGGCCTCGACGTCCCATGACATAACTGATGCAGTATGCACTTCTTCAGCCAAATTACGCCTGATGAATGTATGTAAAAGGTTTGGCTCGGCCTGGTTACAAGATGTACCTGTAGAACAACATTGTCTCACTTACGACGACGATTTTCGCAACGACAGACACGACATCGATGCCGAATAAGGACCAGCACATTTCAAGTGCATCTGCAATTTCTACAGCAGATGACGCTTCGTCGACAGCTCCCATGCTGCCAAGAGACGACCATCCGTCGAAAGAGGCGTTCTTAGATCACAAAAATTTCTTCGAGAAATTATCTGCCCACGTCAAACACGATGTCTCCAAGGAAAAGCGACAATCCGTCTCCGACTCGGGCCCGTTTATTTTTCAATTCGATCCTACGCAGGGCAAGGAGGTGCTTGTGAGGAATCCGCAATGGCCGTACGAGGACTCTTTCAAAAGGGAGGGGGATGTCGAGTGCAAGTGGGCTTTTGGCTCGTTTGCGTATGGGACGGACGCTCGAGCAGAGCGGCAGTAATCATGAGTTGGGATTGTTGGAGTTAGAGGTGTAGAGATGCTACAGTGAGCGGCGGTTGAGGTGTCTCTTTTCACATATGTTATATCGACTGTGCAATATATCTATATGAAATGACTACCGCGTATGTATTGTTTTCGTGGCAGACCTGTCGACACGTAGCCAGTATGTTCAGAACGCTCGTGCTTGCCTCGCCGCGCCTTGAGCGGCGGAAAAGGACGAACGTATCTTTCTCCTTTTGCACACAGAGCACAAGCTCCCAAATGATGACCTGAAGTTCATCAGGCAGCTGTAGTAGCCGACAGCGGGTTGGCGGTGGACCGTACAGCCACTTGCGAGTCTTGCTTCTACAGTAGTGTACACTGCCGAGACAACGTGCAATACCGGCAGCTTTAGGCTTGGGGTGGGTCTTGCGAGGACCACGACTACGAGAACCGATACGAGCATGCGCCTCGCGTCAGAAGAATTCTGAACGACATCATGGCAGCGGCAGCAGAATCCGAAGACATCAACCCAGTGCTTGCTTGCAGTTAGCCTGCTATTTGCCAGCAAATGCGAGACCAACTGTAAGTGGCCCAAGTCATGGAAGTCATACCGTCTTCAACCGCTAACAACAATCCCACAGTCGCCTAATCGACACTTCCCATCGACAAAATGACGAAACCCCTCCTCTCCCCTACCTCTCAGACCTTCGTGATGAACTCAACCGACAGGCATGGCCACTAGGCCCATGGCCCCAGGGGACGAGGGAGAGATTCATTTCCAATCTCCTGCTCAATCTGCGACTATGCATCACAACCCTCATGAACAACCGACAGAACTGGGACGGGAACGAGGACGTTGACCCTGACTTGCAAGATTCGGGTTTGAGGCATAACGCCGCGACGCACATTCGAGCGTTCCCCTGGCCGTATGTCTATCCTTTGGGGGATGTGCGGTTGCTGTTGCCACGGCTGGCGGCGATACGGCAGGCGGTATTGGATGTTGGGCGTTTGGGTCGGGGCGTGACGCCTTTGATTGTTGGGCAGATGGGTCATGGTTCGCCGGAGGAGGAGAATTTGTAGTGGGAAAGGAAGTGTTTCATACAGAAGGAATGGTTACGCTTGGGTGTAAGCATAAGTCTTATGCGAACTGCGGATGAGTGTGAAAGATGTTTCAATAGTCTGACCACGAGGCCATATGCGCCAAGACTTTCACGTGAAAATTTGTCGCGGTCAAGTGAATGGCTTCACTGCCAATCTTCAAGCTCTTCCAAAGGCATGATCGCCTGCCAATACAACAGCTGGGAGACAGATGTACGTAGCACGAAGCCATATAGATCCCTACCATTGAGAGTTCATGCCGCAAGATAGGAGAGGCAGCTCGCTCTCGTCCTCACCGAAGTGAAATGAATCGAGGCCCCTCCGATGGTTCTCCGCGGGCAGATCCCGACAAAATCATTGGCATTGATATACGAGATGCACATCGTCGCAGACGAGTCCTTCGTCCCGCAGGTGAAATGGAGGCATTTGTGTTTAACTTCACCGTCTCCAGCATGCGATAGATTAAGTGAACCAAACATCAACAACGCCTTCGCGGAATCATATGCGACTCGTCCATTCATCTGCCCTGCCAATCTGCGGATGTCACTCCGTGGCTGCCTGACCACGCCTAGCATCTCCGAATGCCATGGTAACGCTCCTGAACGTCAGTCAGTTTGAGATTGATCGACAAAATGGCGGGATGCCGATGCATCCCCCAATTCAAAAGCGATAGTCTGAAGGATGGACCCTAGCGAAGGGACTTGCTTCCACCCGCTGGCGCGGCACCGCCCCGGGCCTGCCGTCCCAACTCCGATGATAGTCCAAACGGGCGGCCTTGCGGTTCATCTGCTCCGTCGAAAAGGTTATCAAGATATCGGTGTGTGTGATATAGAAGATAAACCTTCGCACATCTCCGCCGCGAGCACGCCACGCATGATGTGGGAGGACAGGCAAGCCGAACGGGATGGACGACACGCGGTTGTGTTCGCAATTTATCAACGAAATGGTGAAGAGGACGGATGCGGAGCGTAGGCGAAGCGGGACAAGCCACGCATTTGCTTGTTGCGAGGAAGATCTTCGCATGTGCGGCGGGAGCTGGATCTAAGTGGATGGATGGGAATGATACGATCCTACCGAGGCGAACGTCGTGGCCACGTTGTTGTTCATCAAAGTGCTGATGGAGAAAGGACAAGGGATGTCCACGGAGGAAGAAGCAACACCATCACCAACACACCCATGACGGCAGAGCGTGGGGGGAACGTCGTGATAGATTGATGAACCAACACCCGACGACCGGTCCAGATACCAGATCTGGAGGCGGACACATGGGGGACGATAGGGGAATCGCAATCCTTCCAAATCGTATCGCGGATATGCAGGCTGCGACAGAGATGGCGAGGATGCTTGTTCTGCGGATGCAAACAGAGGGTGCTTCGTTTGCTTGGTGGAATCTGCATTCATCCGCCTGCAAGAGAGTCTGGAAGGAGACGCGGCGTCGAGCGTTCCAGGTGGGCGGGGGATCAGGCTAAATCGACGTGCCTTTTTGTTCCCGGCGCAGTGGCTCGGGAACTCAAGGCATGCACGGCGATCTGGGTGGACTAATTTTACTGTGAGGCTCAGCAGCACGCTGCAAGCGATATGCTCGCTGCTGTGGCGCATGCGAGTGGGAATAGAAGCTGGTGACAAGACACGCTCGGGTGTTGTTGTTCTCGAGTTGGCGCAATAGAAGTGTTCAGATGACCACCGATCCTTCACACTTGCTGCGCTGGCACGACGTCCGCTGCTGCAGCGCTGTTATTATTGCCTGTCATACATGGGCGACGGTAATCCCGCGTTTGTCGGGCACCGTAACCACGGGTCTTCACACCCTCTCGCGGTGCTGATGGTGTGTCGGGACGGAGGGTTGGTACAACGCTTCATTCATCAGAAACGGTATGCAGCCACGCTCACAAACGCGGACGGATGATGGCAACGGCGCACGCCAGCGCCGGGGAAGGCGCAGGAGCCGGCTCGCTCCTGAACTTTGATTGAATCTGACGCAGGGAAAGCCGTGGGGAGGTGGAGGTGGAGGACAGGCTGGAGGCTCCGCGTGACAGCCAGAGGCTGGGCATGCAGGATCATCTGGACGACAACAGGACGACAAGTGAAAGTGCCGAAACGACAGGCTGCTGCGGTGGGGCGCCTTGTCGAGACACATCTGCCCGAATCTCGCAAAGGATTGCTACCAATCTCCACATCCTCTCCGCATCATATGTGACGTGCTCGTATTATCGACGAGTACTGTAGAGATCATTTACGACGTTGCAACAAGAAGACCAGGCCCGGATGATTGCAGACCGAGCAACAGCGGAGTAGCGGACACCTGCGTTCTTCAAGTCTACACTACCCCACCGGTACCACCGCCTCCACGTAAATCTTGCGGTGTGCAAAGGTCTCGGGTAGGTACTGGAGGGTGTCATCGGAGTTCGTTCCCCGAATGGTCAGGCTGAACGAAGGGTCTTGTGAAGAGTCTCCATCGCTCTCCGCTTTTTCGTCAGCACGGCATTGCGAACAGCAGCAATCCAGGGACTTCGTGGTGGAGACAAATCTGGAGACATTTCTGGAGACGAGAGGGTCGGACTTCACACGATGCTGCTCCTCCATGATTTCGGTTGCGACGCGACCGGGCGTGGAGTCGCAGATGACTGCGCCTGCCAGCGCATCTGGTCATCTGCCTTTCACCGCTGCACGGAACGTTGCTCTACACGACCATGGAAGAGCGAACGCGCTTCTAGAGTACGCGTGCGACCAACAGCAGCTGGCGGACGATTGCCGTTGGCGTTGCGGCTGTGCCTGGTTGCAGAGGTCGCACATTCCGTGTCGTATGCGAGTTGTGATTTGTTCTATTGCTGCGGACGGGAACATTCAATAAGACTGTGACATCTCCCCACGATCCTGCAGCGCGGAGATCGCAGATATAGGAGGGCTTCCAAATGATTGTGTCCTGTTATCCAAGACATTGTTTGATGTGTTGGCATGGCTAGAATGGACATGTCGACCAATGGTCGCCACGCGTACAAACGGGGGCGTGGCACTGAATGGATCGTAGGCATGGCAGCTCGCATTCCAGGCGCGTAGAAGAGAGGCCCCTTTTGCAAGGCTTTCCGGGTGAAGGGCGGTCGTGTCAAGAGAGGAGGTACTGATGAGAGTCAGGAAGTATGGAATGGTGAGGCATCCAGGCGTCGTAGTTTTGATGGACAGCGTCGTACGCCTCGCATCGAGGCCCTTCTCGACTGCACATGCTCGAAAAGGGAATCCGAGCACGGTTGAAAAATTCTCCGAGCCTCAGCCACGTGCTCGTCATCGCCGAGTACAGGCCGGATTCAGCAAGGATGGCTGTTCAGGTGCCGTGACGCTGCAAGGAGGAGATCATGTCGGGCTGACACGCTGCAGCTTGGCCGCAGGCGGTCGCTGTGAGGCGCGGGCAGATGACTCTTGGGCGAGAACTGCTGGACGACGACACATGTTGCTTTTGGGGCGTTGTCGTCCACTGCGTCCGGCTGACGAGCAAGGCGATGCGGATACGACACGGGTCTGCTGTTGCTGTTCGTCCAGCATCCGCAGCCATCCCTTCACCCTGCGCGACGCTGACGAAAACGCCGACAGAAAATAGCAGCCATAACAGTCAGTGGCACGTCCACAAACGCGGAGAAGCCAGCCAATGTAGCACCAGAGACGGCGGGCTTCTGGAAACAGACGGCGCGCTCGCCTGCCGCGCCCTCTGGGTCGGTGTTTGTCGCCGCCACGCTGTGAAGATGCGGGCGACGACGACGATATGGTTTTAGGACGTCGTCCTCCAGCAGGTCACGGTGCCCGTAGTCACAATATGTGGTCGATTGGAGTCGCAAGCGCTTCCATCGCCAGCCTCGGTGGCCGCCGTGCTACGCCTCGTGACTTGCCCTCACATGAAGCCACACCGTGATTCGTGCCTCGCCCCCCACGCGGGCACATGAGAGCGAGAACTAGCCCTCCGCAGCGGTGCCGAGGTGCTCTGCCGCGACGGCCGCTGCCGACAGCAGAGAATGATTGTACGTACTGCGCACACACATCCCGTCGGCGCCGACTCGTCGCGGGCCGGCCGCGAGTCGTCTCGACTGCGTGAATCAGGGCGGAGCGACAGGAGGTCAAGCAGGAGGTGGTGGTTAGGCGTCAAGACCGACGGCGGAAGGGGAGAGGATAGGCTCGGGAGCAGGACAGTACCTGTGATGCTGCGTTCCAGCGGCGATCGGCCTGGGAGGTGGAGCCCCGGCAAGCGATCTGTCTGCATCCACGAGGATGCTGCTGGCCGCTGGGATGCTGGCCCATGCGTGGGCGGATATGTCCCGGAGAGCTAGTCGAAGTCAGACGTTTCCAAAGGTTCAGAGCCAACTTAGATCAGCCTGCACCCATGTCCTGGGTTACATGCAGCACCGAAGAACCGCCCCTGCCCGCGCAGCGCATCGCATATTACCCAAGGGCCTCCCGTGCCGACACGCTGTCCCAAGAGTCTCGCTGTCCACCGCCCCGACGACTGCTGCCACCACCACGCCTGGCCCTGCACTGCTCGACTGACACTGGCTGCTCGACCGCAGCGACGACGACGACGACGACGACCTCAGCTGGCTCTGTTTGCAGACATCTCCTCTACACCGCCCGCCTTGACAAATCGCCGGGTCCGACTCGCCAGATGAGCCTGGTTAGCCGGTGTACCTTTGTACTCCGCACTGTGTGCACCTGACGCAATCGTCGCGATCGCGACCGGCTGCTGCATTCAGCCATACAGAAGCATACCACGCCCCAACACTCGCAGCGCCGTGTCTGCTCTCCACAACACCCTTCCTCGCCGTTGGCGACGACTCCAAAATGCCTTTTCGGCCTGAACACTCGCTATTGCGGGTCGAGGTCCCCGCCCTGCACACTATCGACACCAGCAGCGTCGAGAACCTCTTTGGCATGGTGCGTACACGTGCGCCAACGACAATGAAAGCCATTGTACTGACTCTCCCTCGCAGTGGTCGCTGTTCTCAAAGACTTCCCACGCCATGGAAGACGGCAAACGATTAGAAAACCTCAGCTGGCGGTTGTGGAATCGCGAAACGTTCTGCTGCGCGCCCGAATCCAAGACTGCCTGCAACGCTCCTTCCCAACGACGCTCTCTTTCAGACGCGGCAACCGCAAGTGGCAACATCGCTCTGCCCGCGCGTTCCTCGAGTCTGGAATCCGCCACCTCGTCGTCCGACGATGAACTCGACGTCGACACCACCTCCTCCACCATCACACCTCGCATCCCCAAAGCCCGCCCCGAAATCAGACGGAACGATTCCACGGATAGCAGCCGAAGTCGCGGACGCGAAAAGCACATTACCCCGATCGACCTGGAGAAGATAGTCATCTCCATCAAGGAGACCAAAGAGCTGGAACCGATCGAACTCCCCGCCACGTCGACGCCCGCATCGCGAGTTCCTGAGCCACCTTCCACCTCCGCTCCCCAAGTCCTCTCGATGCTCGACCTCACCTCCTCACAAACGTCAGAACCCTCACACACTGCCACACCCCACACATCGGCATCCCAGTCGACGCTGTTGGAGTCGTCCGCCTCCACCGTCGCCACCGATGGCTCCCACGCTTCTCAAACATCGCAGACCGTCGGCTCGCAGGATAGCTCGTCGACGGAGATGAGCACACACAGCATCGTGCGTGGCTTTGTGCCAGGCGGTGCCCCATCTTCGTATCGATCGCAAACAAACCTCGCATCGACGCAACCGACCCCGATCCTCAAAACATCTCCCCAATATCGACCGGCACCGCCAAAGGTCAAGAAAGGACCCATGTTCACCATTGGCACCTCTTCTGACGAAGGCGAGAGCTCACTCGAGAGTCACATGTACCGCAGCCATCTCTCGGAGAGCCTGAAGCGTGGCGCCAGCCTCCACAGCGACAACAGCAAGAAGCAAACATCGTTCAAAGACGAAGTCGCAGTCGCTCGCAACAGCCCAGTGTTTGAATCGGACGACGAAGATGATGAAGTGTCAGAGAGCGCAATCGAGGACGATGACGACTCATCAGATTGGGAGGATTCTGACGACAACAGCGGCCCCTCGTCCGTGAACGACGCTGGACTCTTCCAGAGAGTGGACTCGAGACCGGACCTCACTTCGAGACGATCGCTGTTGACGACTTTGATGCACGAGCCGGATCGTGCCAGGGCACTTGCAAACGCCGCATCACGTTCGCAACCTCACATCCGCCGATCAAGGACCACCACACCGAACGGCCCTTCGGTGGCCACCTCACCAGAACCGACTTCACAGCTTCAGCTCCCCAGCCAGGAGGGAACAACCCGCTCGAAGCCAATTATCATGACAACATCAAACACCCACGATCAGACCCTGGCGCTCTCTCCACGAACCACCCGCCGCAATATGCTCTCCACTGAGCTGACAGAATCACTGCGGAAGAACCTTCTCTGGGAGCGCCAGCATCGTAGTACCGGCAACTTGGCTGCACTCAAGCGAAGGCACACGTCAACCGATGTGAAGAACTTGAAACAGCCGCCCGAGCCGGTTGCTATGTCACATAAGGACGGGAAGAAGTTCACCAACGATTACTTCCACCATGGACTCGGAGAATACCACGCCAAAGGCTGGTAGACGGGCGAAGCATGTTTAATCCTGCGATTTAGCGAGTCTTTTTTGATTTCAGCACACAGCGATGGGGCGTTCGGCATGAGATGAAAGTTGCTGCACGAGCAGACTTACCCACCGCACTTTGGGGGCACACGGAATGTATGGGACGGGTTTTTGAGGCTTTCGAAATGATACCAGCATCGGCACTTCTACAGAATTTGACGGCCGCGAACAGCAATACCTTGCTACGAAAACAAGCCGCCTTGAGCGATTGTGCGCTCGGCGCAAACACGGCTCTGTACTGTACATTACTACTACACTTTAACACTACTACCTCTGGAAGCGCCGCGACGGACGGGAGAGTTCGGATGAGTCACGCCAAAGAATGGAGCTTTGCCAGCGATCGAGTGGGAGAGCTGTGGGACCCGGTGGCAGAGTAGTAGTAGGGTAACTTCATTAATGCACGCAGAAAAGCGAACAACCAGACGGTTGATGAAGATCTCACAGCGGTTCGTTTCACATGTTCAGTATCCTACGTACATCTTTTGGCTGATAGCTGCCGCTGCTGCTGAGGAACCTTCAAGGGGTCGCGTATGCGGGAGCAGGCAGCCATGTCGACAAGTTGACAGACATGTGATTGACCCAGAACCACCAGACCGCCATTTACAGCGCAGTCGAAGAGCGCACACACACTCAGAAAGGCTTACAGTGATCTTCTAAACGCTTGCGCATGCTGTGCATAGGATGGATGAGCAATGCAGCAGGCTTCCGTTCCCTGCCGAGGCGTGCCCATTCGTCGAGGAGATGCATTGTAGGTGAGTTGTAGCTGTTTGTTGAGCTTTAGCCGTGATTGCCGGGTTTGGTATTCATCGTCATCGCCATCATCAACCATCCAATGCCCTTCCATCAGAACTCATCAGACGGAACGGACGAGACGGAAGAATGTGTACACGCAATCCAGCCTAGCTAGACAAATCTGACACGAGGATGGAGAAGAAGAATCTGTAGTTTCCGCCTTGTTAACGCGTACCCAACGAGTAAACATCCAATGTTGTGCTGAGAAAGAAGAAGAAGTCTCCACTATTTTCTTCAAATCCCCCTCAACGTTCTGGACTCTCACTTCTTACGCCTGTCTACTCCACAGTTTAGCACGCCATTGGCTTTTGCAGGAAGGAAGGGTGATGTCGGAAGAATTCGTTGGATCTGCTCTCCACAATCATCAATGCTTCTTCTTGTTCTTCTCTCGTCACATGCAAATACGTACACAACAGGGGGAAGTTAGGAAGGCTGTGCAAGACGAGTCGTCGCTCCACAACGGTCGGTGAAAATGGAGATTCGCCTCCTCTCTTGTTGGAGATGATTCGGCGCGTCTTCGTGTTTTTTTGGGTAATTGCGTTTTCCCTGCCAAAAACGGAGAATTGGCACTGCCTACTTGGTGGCGTTGTCTTTTTTCTTGACGCGTCTAGTTTTCTCGGACGTTCATCCGTCCGTATTTAGTATTTCACTACTTACGAGGATAGTAGGGCCTTTTTGCCAAACTACTATTCTAGAATCGCACGTTGCTATTCTCAACCTCGGCGGACGACGTCATGTCCCTGGCCTCGTCATGGAGAAGAGAAACAGGATGGACGGCAATTCCGGCTCTTCCCCAGCGACTCTACCTCCTATGCAACGCATCTCGAAAAAATGTACACCCAATCGGCCACGAGGAAGGCACTCCCGATCGCGGCGATCTGTGCAAAAGACTCCCTATACAAAACCAACAAGCCTCGGATGCGTTGTGTTAGGCCACCTGAATAGCCTCACGCCCCGACGTCACTCGTCCAGGTCACAAGACCCCGTCCTTCCGGCTTCTAGTCTCAGACTAGCGCATCGCCGCCACGGGATGTGTGAAGAATCAGGAACAGAGGACGCCTCGAAACAGAGACGAAGGAGCGGGGAGTGGAATTGCGGGCGTAACGACATCATGTCATGGGGTGCGATGGGCGGGTGTTGGTTTCTGGGGGCGTTTCTTGGATGGTAGGTGCCAATCGAGGTAAGAATGGACGTCACGTCTTTGTGTCTCATGCTGTTGCTGGGAGACGGGGCGTCTGGTGCATGTTTGGTCTGATGTTCTTTGCCTTTCCTTGTTTTCTTTTGGTTCTGCGTCATGTGCTATAGGCGGGCTTGTGATATGGGATTTTCTTATGATCGAGTATTTCAGAGAAGAGAAGGGATACGCATTACTCACGCACAATTAATCGATTGATCTAGGCGCTTGATGACAGCACTGATGGGAGATGCTAGCTGTCATCACTCGTATACGAAATGACATTTTGATATTGGCCGAGTCAAAGTGTTCGCATCACGAGTCAGAACAGGGCTGCATCGCGGCCCAAGAGCGCACTGTCGTGTCCGTGTTGTGGTTGTATTGGATCTTTCTCCGCACACCCAACGGCGAACTTTCATCTCCCGCAGAACACATCCAAGACCATGGCCCAAGGATGTCGTCGTCGGGACTGAAGTTACGCATCGGCGTGCCGCTCGGGGAGCGTCTCGGGACTTCACATCCACCAAACCTTCACCCCATGGATTCCACGGCACTCACGTTCCAACCAAGGCCGCAATACTCGGCAAATCAGGTACATGGCCTTGTCCTGACTCAGTGCGGAGTCTTGTTTCCGCTTTCGTCCCGTTGCCCCTAGGCACATGTCCCTGCCAATGGTCCTGGTAGAGTGTTCAGATGACTCCAGAGACGTGGATGAAGCCTGCATGTCCACGAGAATAGGGCCGTCGGGATGCTGCACCGCCGCCAGGCGGAGGAACTATGATCGCCGCGTTCCAGGTAAGCCGATTGAGTCGCGAGGTGGTTGCGAGAAAGAAAGAAGTGTGTCAAAAGCGTGGTGCGTCGTCAAGGGATGGGTGCTTGCTGCGGTCATCATACTTGCCAGCGCACGACATGTGTGTTGCTGCAAGTCGCATGTCAGCTTTACGAAAAGCAGAGAGCCAAGTATAGTAACTCAGAAGTACAAGTCTACTTCTCTCTCAGATGGAGGTTGCGCCGAACGCGCCTGTGGGGGATACCAAACCTCGCGCCTGCATGCACGAGTTTTACGGTACCGATCCCACCACCACACCCTCACATCTTCAAGGCTGTCCCGGACCGCCGTCCCTCAATACCCGCGCCCCCGGTCACTGTCGGAAGAGTAACACATCACATCCCACACTTCCATACTCTCGTTCAGATCCCACCGGAGCCGAAAGAAAACTTGGCGCGCGCGACAACACAGCAGCGGCGCAGTTTCAAACGTGTTCTCGTGACCTTTCCTCCCACAACACAGCAGAAACAAAACCATGGCGCGTATCGCCGATACAAAGGTACTTCCTTCATGAACACATCCCAGCAGCGCGTGTCCTCCACCATCTCACAGGAAAAGATGAAGCAAGGAAAAAGTCTATTCCATTGCAAGGCAAGGACAAACCGTCCACCTGACCGCCCCCAGCTTCAAGGACATGTTCGGTGTTCACGATGCCACGGCACGATGAAGGATTGCTTCTCCCATCGGACCATCTTCCCCGCGGCAAATTGCATCCCGCCAGTGCTGCAAGAGCCGACAGGTGACTCCGGTTCGCGGAAAGCTTAATCGCCTTCTCTCACACCTCCTCTTGTTTCTCCAGATTCCTGCTGCCCGCGCGGACATCCACCGAGGCTGGCTGGCTGGCTGCCCCCCGTGATCGCTTTTATGTGCGAAAGACGCAGGGCATGGCGTTCAAGTGTAAGTTTCTTGGGGTATGGGGTATTTGAGTTGTTGTTTATGTTTTGGAGCGAGGCAACGCAGAAGGGATGAGACATGTGATGATGGAGAAGAAACAGGAACTCTCCACTTCCCGTCTTTCCTCGCATTTTGATGATGACTGTTCTTTGCTCACAAGATACAGTCATGATAGCTGGTCCGCAAGGTCTCATCAGGAACCGTACGGATACCAGTTACCCTCAGCCGAATATAAGCGGAGCGGTCTGTCCGGCTACTACATGGCGACGATGAGGCGGAAGTGAGTGAGTGAGCTGACTGAAAGCTCGGCCGCGTGGTCGAGTGACCATCAGTCAGACAAGGACCTAAACGATCCTATGCAACTTCGAGCATCTGCCGGCGGCAAGCGTCGTCCACGAAGGCCATTGTTGCCTAGGCGGCCAAGGCGAAAAAGACGAACGGCTGGACGCCAACGCCTCAAAATCGCAAAAACATACACTTCTGGGATGTTCCTTCAACCCTCTCACGATGAGTCTTTCCTGGGCTAACTTCTGTGTGGCTCCACCGATGTCTTCCCCAGCCGTGCTGAATCTGCACCCCAGAGCAACTCGGAGCCTTTGCCGGCGTGCCTCTCCAAACACACTGCGACGACAGCTCGAAGCTCGAAGCTCTTCGTCAATCAGCTCTCTTATCCGCTCGCTTTGTGCGCAGATACTTAGGTACCCGCACACGCGTCTGACAGGTGCCAGGCGCGTCTGCTTTGTTGTTGAGTGGTTCCCAACGCTTTTGTGATGGAGGGAGGGAGGGAGGTTTGTGCTGCTGCAGGAGATGGCGGCCTGTCGTGCATGCATGCAAGATCGCGTTGGAGGTGGGGTTGGGATGTCCATTTAGTCACTTTGCCGCGAGTTGCGGTGACACGCGCGGGAGGGAGGTTTGTTGTCGTGTCATTGTTACTGAAACATCTCCTGCACAACAAACAGCAAGGGAAGAGAGCTGTGGCGGTGCAACCTGGTTCTTGGTCCTCACGTCTCTCGTCTCGAGGCCCATCTATCCAGAACAGTAAACCGGTCGGCATATGACATCCCTACCAACATCCATCTCATCGGCGACTGCAGGATAAATAAACAACTCCAGACCCCCTCCCCTCACGTCACACGACAATCTGACTTTGCAACTCACCAATTCAACCGCATTGGCGAGGAACCACAACACTCAGGCTGAACCACGGCTCCATCCATCAGGTTCGTCTTACGGTATGTTGGCAAGTGACGGCGGTAGAAAGGAAAGTACGTACCGTACGTATCTTCTGCTGTGACGCAGGAGATCTGTGCAATCTTGATTGTCCTTGTGAGCTAAAGAAGTTTCACGAGTGTCGATGCGTTCATCGCGGAGACTGGTCCGGTTGACTCTGCTGGACCGGTCGAACGGGTGTTCACTGTTGAGTGATGAGTGAATGTAGCCGAATGGTAGACCGTTGCAGAATGTCTTTGGCTCATCTGGAACGTACAAATCTTGAGATCGAGATCGAGGCAGGAAGTTCAATAAGAAATAAGTGATGCATTAAACAGAGATACGAAAAGTGTCCGTTCATAGACATTGCACAAGCACTCGGTTCATCCAAAACAATCATCATCCAAGCCCAAACAACTCCAGCATCTCAATCTACGGCATCCGCGAGGAATAGTCTAGTCTAGTCTATCCCACTCTTGTTTACCAACGACGACCGAAGACGTCATGTTCCTGAACAGGCCTCCCCTTTGGTCTCTGCTCAGTGCTTCTCGAGGTGAGATGGCCCATCTCTTGAGCATCCGCAAAAGTCGCTCCATCCAAGAGACGACTCTCATTGCCAAACTTCGCCCACAAGGCTTGATCTTGGGCATCGTGAGCTCCATCGGCTGCATCGTGCTTGAAGAGCCCGAGAATGTCTTGCATGGACAGTTTGCCGGCTCCCTTGCCGCCTTCGATGGCAGCTTTGGCGAGCTCGCGCTTCTTCTCCTGGAGTTCAATGATGCGCTCCTCGACACTGGTGCGCATGGTCAAACGGAAGACCTTGACGTCGACGGTTTGGTTTAGGCGATGGACGCGGTCGATGGCCTGCTCCTCTACGAAGGGGTTCCAGAATGGCTCGATGATGACAACGCGTGATGCAGCAGTGAGGTTGAGACCCAAGCTACCGCACTTCAGGGAGCACAGCAGAACGCGGGTCTTGGGATTGGTTCGTAGCGAGTTGAGGGACTTCTCGCGCTCGTCAGGCTTCATGCTGCCATCGTAACGAACGAACGAAATGCCGCCGTGCTTGAGGTGAGGCTCGATCAGGTCCAGCATAGTCGTGAATTGGGAGAAGACGATTGTCTTGTGCTTGGGCGATTCTCTGTGCAGGATGCGCAGCAGATGTCGAATTTTGGTGGAAGGTGTGTGTCTCGTCTTGCCGCTTGGTCCCATGCCGCGAAGGACATCAGCCTCGGAGTCGGACTCTTCTTCCTCAGACTCCTCTTCACTTTCGTCTTCCTCGTCCTCATCCTCGTCCTCGTCTACAGATTCGTCTTCAGAGTCCTCCGTAGCATGGGCTTGTCTCTTGGCACGGTCCGGGGAATCAACCACGTTCGAGTCGTCCTCATCGCTGCGCTCAGAATCAATGGTATCAAGAGTCTCGCCGCCGCCTTCAGCGTCTTCATCGTCGCTGCCGCCAGCCTCGCCAAGGTCGATGTTCTTCTCTGGCCCATTGGCAATCCACTCGCCTTCACTCTCATCTTCGTCATCGCTGTCCACCACGACCTTGCGGTTTCGAGTGTGACGAGGCTCAGGCTTGACTTCAGTCTTGACATTCTTTTTGTCCGGCTTCTTCGATTTCATGGCCTTCTTCGACTTCTTGCTCTTCTTGATCATAGCAAGGTCAGCCTCGCACTCTGAGCACCGCACTGCCCCTGAGCTTGCCTCGGCGGAAGAAAGCTTCACTTGACAGACGTCGCAGTGCTTGGCTTGGACGCTCACGCCTCCCATCAGGGCTGCGAGGTTGTCCATTTCGTCGTCTTCCACGCTGCCCGTCTTTCGTTGCGTTTGCGAGCCGGTAGTCAAGGCGTCCTTGTCGTTGTTCATGGACTTCTCAATGAGTTGAGGGTGGTTACAAGCTTGCCTCAACCGGAGCAAAATCACAAGTGCGCCCATGTAGTCTGTCTTGTGGTTGCCGTCCATCATGTCTTGCAGTCGAGCGTCGGCTCTGGCTTGGAGGCGACTGTAGAACAGTTGCTCCTCCTCGTCGAAGTCGCACTCAACAATCTCAACCTCACGCTTGACGATTTGCATTCCGCCACTCTTCGCGCCATCAGCACCTGTCTTGCCGCCAAAGTTCAGAGCACCTTCTTCCTTCAAGATGTCTTTCGTTCGACGCTTCATGAATGTTCGAAGGAAGTACTGCAGTCTCTTCATGGCAAGACCACCTCGGCCGCTCTTCATGGGTTGGATGATATCCGACTTCCACTTTGTCAACTCGCAGTATGGCTTGATTCTCAGAAACTTTATCAAGGAGAACAACTCGTCCAAATTGTTCTGCAGCGGCGTGCCTGTCAAACACCATCGATACCAGCTGTTCAGAGCGCAGCATGCCAGTGTGGATTTGGCACTGCGGTTCTTGATGCTGTGGGCTTCATCCAGGATCAGACGGTACCAGTTGACTCCCATACAGCCGATCCTCGCTCCTCCAGCAACAGCCATGTTCGATCCAGCGTGTTCCGAAGTCAGTGTTTGGTACGTGGTAATGACTACATCGTACTTGTTCAGTTCAGCGCTGGATTTTGTGCGGCTCGGTCCATGATGGACGAGGACTTTCATAGCATGGCTCTTCGTGACCTTGGTCTTGATCTCAGACTCCCATTGCTTGATCAAGGCCAAGGGAGCCACGACAAGCGTGCCTTTGCCGATGTCTTTGCCTGGCAGCTTCTGGTTCTTGTGCTCTGGTTTGGCGTCCAAGGCTGGTCGTGGGTTGGTCAACAGCAGCGTCACAGATTGTATCGTTTTCCCAAGTCCCATATCGTCGGCTAGGCACCCTCCCCGTGGAATCACTCCCTTCGTCTTGACCTTGCCAATCTCCTTGTCGATCATCCAGGACACGCCCTCGACTTGATGTGGCAGCAGCTTGACCGCAAGACCGTCGACCGTCCCATCTTCTTCAGCCTCCTCTTCAGCTTCATCTTCTTGCTTGATCTCCTCTTTGATGCTCAGGTTGGCGAGTTTGTCTGCGAAGCTCTTGCTGGTCGTGTCTTCCTTCGAGACCTTCTTCACCCGACGACGAAGTCTAGTCTGACCCTTCTCTTCCTCATCATCAAAGGCGCCTTCGAGCAGACCCTTGATGTTCTCGTTGGCCTTGTTAGAATCCACATACATGTAAGGGTCTTCAGAGCCAAACTTCCGGCTATCAGCCCTGATCGCAGCGTCTGGATCGAAGCCGTCTTCCTCGTCATCATCTCGAGTCTTCGTAAGATCAACCACCTGCGGCGGAGAATAGAGCGGATTCCTAAAACCGTTCGTGCCCGCCGATGTGAAGGTTGGCTTCGACTGAGGGTAGACTGTTCTCATAGGCGGGTTGACCGGCTTGAAGACGTGGGTCGCACCTGGCTCAAAGCTGCGCTGGTACTGCTGTGCCATGGCATCTTGTGCAGCACCAAGAGATGGAGCGTTGGTGTTGTACGAGGACGAAGATACCGGCTGCTGGCCCATCACACGGAAACCTTGCTGCGGGTCTGATGGCTGTCGAGGGGCCATCGTAGGTCGGATTGAGTGTTGTGGTCTGGACTTGGGAGCAAAGATGCTCGGCGAAGGCTTCTTGGTACCATGCAGCGGATTACGCAGAGGACTAGCCTTGCCGAATTCAATGTCCAAGTCTGGCTTCTCGTCGCTAGAGCGCTTCGAGGCTTTGGGCGACGAAGACTGCATTTTGGCGGAGATATTGGCGAGCGGTAATCGAGGCTGATCCTGCTTTTGCGGGGACAGGTATTGACCAGATGAAGTCCGCCCGGGATCTCTCTTGCGCACCATATCACTCTCGTCGTACTTCTCTTGATCGGCGAACCACTCGCTGAGGAGGTCTCGTTCTCTGTCGGCCGTGAATGTGGGTTTTTTGGGCGATGCAAGGGTGTTCACGGGTTTGAACGCTCCGCGGCGCCTGGGTGATGTCTGCGTGGCCGCCCTTCAACCGTGTCAGTTGTGGTGGAACACGGTACTGATGATGTCGTGTAAGTGCTCACAGGTTGACGGTTTCCCTTATCTATCGCTGCTGACAATGTTGTCGAATCTTAAAACGTCACCATTAGGTTGTTTATCCTGACGGGCTGGCCCGTTGCTGCCTGTCTCCGTGGTGACTATCGATAAAGACAATATCTTTCACATGCGTCGCGTGTTCCATTCACTTAACGCGTGCGTCCGTCCTTCACATCCAGTCGTACGAAATCTACTCCTGTTCTCACGTCTCATCAGCTCACTTCGTGTCGAGCACGGGATTGATCAAAGACGAGCAGCATTTGCTGGCAAGCTCTTGTGAAAGCTGCTACACTCCACGCCGCACGTACGTCGACGAAGACAACATTTTCACCACGACTCGCGAAACTCATGCGAATCTGTCAATCTATACACTGATAACATTTCCCTCAAATCGACGGTGCAAGCTAAGTACTGAATCCTTATCAGTCTTTAGATGTACTGCAAAGGATTTGAGGCTTTGCCACTCAGCTGTTTCCTTTTCCACTATCTCGCACCACCCTGAGACCGTCCTCTATCGCACTCGCGAATCATCAGAACGGCTAGCATTGTCATTAGCATCCTCTCCCGGCCGGATGGCTCTCCTCAATGCAGGTTTGACGGAGACAGGGTCTATCTCCGCCGAGCGATCCATGAAGTCAATTCTCTCCGAGGGCTACAGCCCTACATTTCCACGGGAAGAAGTGTGGTATTCTAATAAGATATCAACAACAAACCACCTTAGTAGCACTTGAACGAGCTTTGAGACCATCCGCGACGACTTACAGTCCACGGCAAAATGACTTCACTCGGCTGGCTCGACATCCATGGCCACTTCCGGCCTCCCTTCAAAAACCACGACGAACGAAAGGCGGCTGCCAAAGCCTTTCACGAGCTCTGCTTTCTCATGCCAGAGGATTGGTCCTGGAACGTGGATGAATCGCTAGCATACATGGACAAAGCTGGAGTGCAGATGCAGATGCTGTCGTACCTCCCGTTTAATATCCAAGCACTGAAAGAGAGCAATGACTTCGCGGCAGCCCAGGTCCGAAAACATCCTACCAGACTTGGCCTATTATGTGCCTTGCCAACAGAGGACCCGGAGGCCTGCTTGTCCGAAATCAAACGAGGGCGAACGGAGCTACATGCAGATGGTTACGCCGTCAGTGCCATTCGAAAAGATGTGTACTTGAGTGATCCGTCTCTTGATCCAGTCTGGGCAAAGCTCGATTCCTTAGGTGCCACGGTCTTCAGCCATCCGAACGCATATGCGCCAGCGAAGGACGGTCGACCAACGCCTCTTATCGAAGTTGCGTTCGAGACTACAAGGGTGATAGTCGATATGCTCTATCGCGGCATCTTCAAGAAGTATCCGAATATCAAGTTCGTGTTCTCGCATTGCGGTGGCGCCACACCAATTCTTGCTGGCCGACTAGAGCTTCTAGGAGCTGAGGTCTGGGTCCCCAATCCAGATGGCATCTCAAGAGACGACATCAAGAAGCAGCTGGCGAGCCTCTACGTAGACACAGCAGCGACGGCAGAGTCAGGTATGCAGCCTGCTGTCAAGATGGTTGGGCCCGAACACGTCATCTACGGTGCAGATTGTGGTGTTCCTTGCTCCACCCACGACACCATGGAGGAGAACAGGCTGGCGGTCGTGAGGATCGAGAAAGAGTTAGGATTGCAAAAGGCCTCGATCGGTGCGAACGGTTGGCGACTCTTCCCAGCGGCAGCGAAGAGGGTACAGGCAGGTGGCATGAATGGCAGTGCCTGAATAATGAACTGAGCCATACAGAAAACACCTGTTGAATGCTGATGTCGTTGTCCTGGAGAAGCACAACTCATGAGTGATCCCAGCGCCTCGCTATCGAATTTTCCATTGCCGTGCGCGTGCGCAACTTCTCTTGCAACTTCAGCAGGCAACATATATGCCCTAGGAACGTGCCATTTGCATGCACAACCTGATCTGGAAGAGTTGCCGATAGCTCGCGTCTCGGAGTCTATTTCAAATGCTGTGGTTAGTGTTATCAAATTAGCGTCGTCCAGTGCTCAAGTGCATCGACAGCCGATCCTTCAAGGGCAGAAGAAGGGAAACCACGATGTGATGTTTTAAGGCCTTGCTGTTGACGCTTGTCGCTGTATTCCGACAAGAACAACGAACGCGTACAGCCTTGTTCGAGGAAGGCGTCGGACATGCCATGTGAGAGACTTTTTGCTGCAGTATCGGTGTGTCTAAAGAGATGGTCATTCAAGAGAACAGATGAACTCAGCGACGCCATGTTGTAAGCACCTGCAATCTGCATTGCCTATTCCGGCATGAGCGGCCGAATCGGCTTCATACAATCAGAATTAGCTGTGGCGCGTGTATCGGGAGCCAATTCATTCACCCAAAGCCCGGCTCACGCCCTGAGTGATGTCATCTTAAGCTTTCTCGCGGCCCAATGCCGACGGTAGGACGAACAGCACCGGAGTCGCTATCCTCACTTGGTGTAGCGAGAACAAACAGCAGATGACTTGCGCCTGTGGAGGATTATTAAGGTCGCTGTGTTATCCGAGTCCACCGAAAGAAGGCTGAAGCCGTTGGCAGAGGTAATGACGAAGACATCCCGGTCCTCCCGCAGAGGTCGCTGGTCTTAAAGTCAATGGCTTCTCGTCAATGGCGCCTCGATTGCTGATTGTGTAACCGCTGTCCGTCTTCCTGTCGTCCAGAGTCCTTGCCGATCCCAAAGATGGCTCTCCTTCACGGCCCGAACTCTGAAAAGCGCTTCGATGAGCTACTTGACACACCGCCAGGAATCCGCATTTTCTTGAAACCTATTGCGCCGCCCGCTGCGTTGGGCCTCGCTGGTTTTGCTAGTTCGACGTTCATCGCAGCATCCTGGATTGCAGACTGGTGGGGGAACAATGAATCGGTCACGACGTTCTTCCCCTTCGTTGGCTTATTTGGAGGCCTTGCTCAATTCATCGCTGGTCTGTACGGATTTGCTGCGCGGGATACGCTGGTGACGGTGGTGAACACCATGTGGGGGTCCTTTTGGATGGCTCTAGGTGTACTGTGGGGTTATGAGGTTTGTACCCACTCGATGGTTGACATCATGTCCGGCATTGTCTGACGGTGGGAATAAGCAGCTGAGGCCTTGCCAACATCTTCGATCCATATGCACAATCCTGCTCTGTGAGTTATACTTTGGAAGGAAGTTGAATGCCGTGTGCTGATACTCCTGCTCCAGGGCCGCGTGGTTTATTCCGTTGATGGCCTTCACCTGGTCAGCTGCGATTGCATCTACAGCTCGTGATGTTACCCTCATGGTCTGCCTCTTCTCCCTCGCGATCGGTACCACGCTGGCATGCGGATTGTTTGGATTCAACGATGGGAATGATCCGACAAAAGGTGGAGTCACAAACACAATCAAAGCCGCCGCTTATTTCTGGCTGCTCTCAGCCTTGGCTGCATGGTGGCGAGTGACGGTGTATTTGATCGAGGAGGCGTATGGTCCACATCATCCGATCAGCAAGATGTTCCCAATTCTGCGTACAGCACACGAGAAGCAGCTACGTGATTCCTCGTATCGGAGAGCCTGGAGTCACCCGAGGTGTGCCGAAGGTCTTCCCAGTGTCCTGATGGAAACAAGAACGTCGCAGCGGCTATGTTCAGAAGATTGTGACTCTCCTGTGTGCCAAGACCTTTGGCTGGGCGATGTGGAGCAAACCCGGTGGAACGATCTCTTGAAGAACTTGAACTCGCGGAGGTAAAAGTATTTTTTTCCAACGATCAAGATGCGGGTGTGTCCAAGCATGGTCTGAAGGCATTTCTTGTCCTGTGTTCTTAATTCTAGTCAGTTCGTCCATGACAGATAGGCGAGCATTGGCATCCGATATCAAATAATGTATACACCCATGTTAAGTATTCTTCCTTGGCCCACCATGCGTTTCGCTCATCGAGGCATCAGAACGATCTGGTAGTTCGTTTGAACCTCTCGAAAAAGCTCGATCGCTGACAATGATGCATGACACCTCCGTCGCGTGAGGACTGAGGGCTGTCGCGATCCGACTGCTAAATGACCTGACACGGCACGCGTAATGCTCTCTTCGTCGTTTCGTGTCTTCGCGTTGCCTGGACAGAGCCGCGTTATACCGAATGGGATAGATGCGATGATGTGAAGATGATCGAGGAGGAGAGAAAGTGAGATCGATTCACGCGAGCGATCGTTCCTGCAGTAGCGGCAAATGGCCTGTGCTCTGCAGAACGTCATCATCGCCTGCCACACGACACGCACAAAGAGTCTCACTTTCCTTCCATCCACCTTTCCCATCACCTGCCATTTGTGGCATCGACAGCACGTCTCTTGCTCATTCGACAACGCTGTCATCAAGTGACAATCGACGCTCGTGAGCGGTCTGACTCACAATACCAGCTTCACTCTGTCTCTCCTTTTCTTCAAGTCAATCAATTGCACTCGCTACGATCCAGTACTCAAACTCTTGAAACGACGCTGTGTGACATCGACCATGGCTAGGACTACGAGGGCTTCGGCAAAAGCATCTGCTGCCGTCAATGGCAACGGGCCACAACAGCTGTCCAGTCCGCCTGCAACGCCACTCGCAGGGCAGGGCAAGAAGGTTTCCGCACCATCCAACCCAAAAGCGTCATCTGTGACCCCTGCGAACAACCGAAAGCGCTCGAGAAAGGCTATCAAACAGGAAGACTTTGATGTGAACGAACTTCCTCACAATCTGGGTACGGCGCTTCCAACACCTGGGAACGATGCATCGCCTGAAGACGAAGCCTCGCCACCCAAGAAACGTGCCAAGAAGTCTCCGAAGATCGAGCAGACCGATTCTGCAAAGGTCAAAATCGAGGAAGATGTCGAAGACGAAGTCAAAACGCCAAAGAAGGCCAAAAAGCCCAAGTACTCACTCACTCCGGGTATCACTCCTTTCCCAGACTATCCAAGACCTACCCCGGAGGAATGCCGTGAGGTCACTCGTTTGCTGTCGAAGGTACATGGAGAAGTCAACGTCCCGAAAGCGATCCCACCACCGTCTCTGGATGTTGCTGGCTGCGGAGAAGTTCCTTCGGTTCTGGATGCGCTCGTTCGCACCCGTCTCAGTGCCAATACAACCAACAAAAACTCCAGCACGGCGTTCCAAGGTCTTGTTGCTCGATTCGGTACCATTAAGGATGGTATCGGCAAAGGGAGCGTTGACTGGGATGCCGTGAGAACAGCACCGCAGAAGGACGTGTTCAAAGCTATTGAGCGCGGTGGTCTGGCTCAGATCAAATCCAAAGACATCCAGGCTATTTTGCAGATGGCGTACGAGGAGAACCAGGAGAGGAAGGATGCACTGTCCAACGACACTGCGAACGCAGAAGGTCCAGCTGGCGCAGAGAACGAGCCAGAAACGCAGAAGAAAGAAGAGATCGCCAAGGCCAAGAAGAACATCATCTCCCTGGATCATTTGCACTTACTCAGTACTGATGAGGCCATCAACAAAATGCTTACTTTCCCTGGCATTGGCCCGAAGACGGCTTCATGTGTTGCCCTGTTCTGCCTGCAGCGACCGTCTTTCGCCGTTGATACGCACGTCTTCCGACTGTGCCAATATTTGGGATGGGTTCCGAAGACTTCGAAGAAAGGACAAGCTAAAGTCAACCGTGAAACAACCTACTCACACTGCGACGTCCGCATTCCAGACGAATTTAAATACCCTCTGCATCAACTTCTCATCAAACACGGCAAGGTCTGCCCGAGATGCAGAGCTGCGACTGGACAGAGTAGCGCCAATTGGGAGGAAGGCTGTCCAATCGAGCATCTCGTCAAACGACATGGTGCGAAGAAGGGTGGCGTCTCAGTTGCCGCTCGCAAGAAGGCCAAGGCAGCGGCGAACGAAGACGGCGAAGACGTGGAAGATGGCGGTGCATTCGGCGAGGACGAGAGCGAACTGAGCGATGCGGAAGCCGATGAAGATTAAACCGCTGTTGAACGAGGGCTGAAGCACAGCATTTCTACACCGGCGGTTAACAGAACGTCTCTAAACGATCGAGCTGAATTGAAACTCTGAGAAATGAGAAGTCCAGTAGACTGCAGACCCATTTGTAACGACTAGCCAAGCCGTATCCTAGCAACCTTGCAGCGCTGAGGCATTTCGTTGGACACTTAACGAAGACCAGCTCCGCGCTGGGCTGGCCTGAGCTTGAGTTTTTTACGACGCGGACGTCACCTCTTTGCCGCGAAAGGAAACAGGCTCGTCGCGTACGTTCCACGAATCTGGTATGGCGATTCGACCACGGCGCTGAACGCTGAACGAGCGCTCTTGCTCATCGCTCATCATAGTTTCGTCGAACGCGTAATGAAGTATATAGGTGAAAGGTAAGGCCGGGTTTGTTTCCCTTGGCCATTTCAAACACCCTCTCCAGTTCCTTTGTATTCCAAAGCGTGCGCCTGTCGCGACAACAACAAGAGGAAAGTTCGAGAAAGAAGAAGAGAATCTCACAAGCACAGTACGTCCTCCCTATACCCACCTGCAAAAGACAGGATACGATTACGAAAGAAAGTTGCATCTGCATCCCTCAAAAGCTAACCCACAAACAGCCATCCGTCGCAACCATGGCCGGCAACTTCTGTCTCTACCTCCTCGCCGTCTTCCTGCCTTTCGTATCCGTTGCGATCAAAGCGGGTTGCGGAGCGGATTTGTGTACGTGCTCACAAAATTCCCCGCGCGAAGAAAAAGCCTTGCTGATGGAATGCATGTCCAGTGATCAACATCCTACTCTGCTGCCTCGGATGGCTGCCGGGGGTGATTCATGCGTGGTATGTGATTGCCAAGGTGCAGAAGGAGGAGGATCATAAGTTGCCGCCGCCTGGGCAGGCGTATCCGGCGTAGAGGAAGAGGGCAGGCTCGAAGGGGAGGGAAGATGAGATTGGGAGGGGGATTGTATGATGAGGAAGATTCATGTGGTGGGCTTTGCTGCGGTTTGGTTCAGCGAATGTGTATGTGATACCCGTTCGTAAGTTAGAAGGATGTTGGTGGTGTATATTCACTGCTGCTGAGTCTTTTGATCTGTTCTCACAGTGCCCAAACTCCAATTCTACCCAGGGTAAGGGCCTGCGAGATGCTGCTCATGGCATGTCACAGGGCGGCTTCTACTAGAAAGGGTTTTGACAGCCTATGCACAGTAAGGACACCATTCTCACCAGGCGGAATCACCCACATAAGGTGCCCCTTTACTTGCAAAGTGCGTGCTCGCAATGGATCTGAGTTGTAGAAGGGCAAAGACCGACACCAGGCCGTACTCCCTGGTCGGATCCTAGCGCCAATGCTGTAGACATTCACTCACCAGCTCATGAGCGCCAAAGACTATGCACACGCTAGCACATGAAAATCATGTGTTCGACTCGAACCTCGAAATTTATAAGCCCTCCTCTTCCGCCACCCACACACAACCTCAACACCGACCCCTCCAGCCCTCAACACACCAAAAACCACTCCAGCACACAACACCACCCACCATGTCCTTACCCCCATTCACCCGATCCAACAAGGATATCATGGACCTCCGCCACGCCGAAGCCAATTCCGATCTCTCGTTGGCCAAAGTCGTCTACGAAGACCAAATTTTGGGCTTCGAAGACGTCTTCTGGAATCGACTCCCCCAATATACCAAGAAGCACATCCTCGCGCGGCCAGATCTTGGCTCTGCGCAGGTGCTCGTCCTGCTCGTCATGAGCTCGTCTTCCCTCGCCGCGAGTCCGAGTCTCTTCCTCGAGGCGTTCAGAGAGCCGGAGGGCATAAGGGGTTCGTAATGCTTACTTTTGCCCTCTGCGACGAGCTCCAGCTAAGTTCTAAACAACACAGGGTTTCCAGATCCACGATTCGTAAAGGCCTTCGGCGACCCTGAAGCCTGGGAACGGATGTGCAAAGCTGCAAAAGGGGAGCTTACGTTCAACGCCATGAAGGGAACGAGATACTTGACTTCGAAGTCCATGCTGGATGTTGTGGAGACGCTCGAGGTGCATGGTCGAGAGGTTGGTGCAAATCTGACGGAGAAGGGTTATCTGAAGCGATCAGAGGTTGAGGTGATTTCGAAGGAGGTGTGGGGAATGTAGCCTCGCGTTCATTCGAAATGGACAGAATTGGTGGTGGCGGTGGATATACGAGGTGGAGTTATTGCAGACTCGCAGCGTGGTACGGCGACGACCCCCGAATTTTTTATTTGCATTTTCGTATACTCGAATGATCCTTGAATTTTGTGCTTCTTGGCCCGACGATCAATTGTAATCGACGATAATGCTCGCGGTCCTCTTCTTTTGCCATGGTTATCTTCTCAAGTGACAAATGCACGTACGGACTTTTTTCACGTGGGTCTACCTAATCGGGAAGGTACGCTAGGATGCATGTCATTTCTCTTACACCATAGCTGTTACAGGCCTCAACCGATGACCAACGACGCCAATCGATCATAAAACAACATCCAACATCCCTCAAAGCTTACTATCCCTATTACCCCTAAGCATCGCACTATCCACCCTCACCCCCTCATCATCCTGCTCCTCGACCGTCAAATCCGGCATCTTCAACGGCATAATCCTCCTTGGATTCGTCCCGGGCACCAGCGCATACTTGCCGAAATCCTGCACGCCATCATGTTCCCTCAAATAATCCTCGTCCAGGAAACATTTCCCGGAGACGTCCTTGGAAGGGGCTTTGATGATGGATAGGATGGCGTCGGAGAAAATCTCGGGTTTGCGGAGGTTCGCGCGGCCGTCTTGGGGTGGGTAAGATTTGGGGGTTTGGGTCGCGGCGGAGTCGATTGCCTGGGGCGAGAGGGTATTCAGTCAACACCACCCAACCTCATCCATGCCACCTCGAAATTTTTAAAAAAACTCACCACCGCCGGCCAAAGACTCGTAACCCCCATGCCCACTCTCCCCTCCCTCTCAAAATCCACCGCAAGCCCCATAGTCAACACACTCATCCCCACCTTCCCCATCGCATACGCCGTCTTCCCCTTAAAAAACCTCGAATAAATCGGCGGGCTGATCACTATAATCCTTCCCTCCCCCTTCCCACCACCACCATCCCCACCGTTCTTATACATCACCGGCAAAACCCCCTCCACAACCGCATACAGCCCCTGCGGATTTATCTTCTGCATCAGCTCGAAGCGTTTGAACGGCGTCTTAGCTACGGAGGACCACCAGATCGCGCCGGAGTTGTACACGACGACGTCGATGCGGGCGTAGAGGTGCACGGTTTGGGCGACCATGTCGGCGATGTTGGACGGCGAGCGCACGTCGACTTGCAGCGCGGTGGCGGTCCCGCCGGCTTCGGTGATTTCGCGCGCGACCGTGTTGATGGTCGAGGCGAAGGAGTTGGGGTCGGGTGGGAAGGGGTCGCATTTGCTGGCGTCCGAGGTGGTTTTGGCTGCTACGACGACTGTGAGGGAGAGGTCAGTATTGCTCGTGGGTGGTTGATCTCGTGGAGTTTACCTGCGTAGCCGTTCTTTGCTAGGTCGATGGCGACTTGGCGGCCAATGCCTCGCGAGGCTCCTACTACTATTGCTACTTTCTTGTTGCTCATGGTTGTTGATTTTCGAAGACTTGAGGACAAATGGAAGAGACACCTACGGGAGAGATCAGTTCTGAAAAGGTGAGTATCACATCCAAGAATTTGTATGATCTTGTAATCGCTTCCCAATCGTCAGCCCGAGGTGAGGTGAGGTCGGGGGTCAAGAAGTGGAGGTCGCACGTGATTACTGATCGGCGGCCGCAAGAGACGAGTCGTTGACGACGTGAACCTGGAAATGAACAATGGAAGCAGTTCTTCATTGAGAAAATCTTTTTGTTCAGAATTTACCATAGCTAAAGGTACATGCAATCGGCATCTACCGAGCCCATGATTGCAGGGAGTAGATGCAATTTCTACCCTCCCCAAACCCAGCCCACGCTCAGAACGCCTTTCTTTCCCTCTACCCATTATGCACTTGTCGCATTACAAACACATGAGCACATAAGTCGTCAAGCCTGAGAAGTCAAATGCATTTAGTCGACCTCCTCCATGGCGCTCTCGCCAGCAGCCTCGGCGGGTGCGGAGGAAGGTGCGGCGGCCTCGGCCTCAGTCTCGACGTCCTCGTCCACGTTGAGACCAAGCGACACGAGCTTGTGGATGCGCTCGGCGTAGTCGGCTGGCTCATCGATGGTGAAGCCAGAGACAAGGAGGGAGGTCTCGTAGAGGAGAGTGGTGATGCTCTTGACAGTGCGGTCGCTCTCGCCATCGCTCTCGACCTTCTTCTTGAGCTCCTTGATGATGGGGCTCTTGGGGGAGATCTCGAAGGTCTTCTTGCTGCTCATGTAGCTGGACATGGAGGTGTCACGGAGAGCCTGGGCCTTCATGATACGCTCCATGTTGGCAGACCAACCGAACTGGCCGGTACGGATGGCGCATGGTGCACCGACGAGCTTGTGGCTGACAACAACCTTCTCAACCTTGTCGCCAAGGACGTTCTTGAGGGACTTGGCAAGAGCCTCGAACTCCTTCTCCTCCTCTTCACGCTGCTTCTTCTCCTCATCGGTCTCCTCGAGCTCGAAGTCCTTGGTGATGTCGACAAGCTTCTTGCCTTCGAACTCCTTGAGCTGGGTAAAAGCGTACTCGTCAATGGGGTCGACGAGGAAGAGGACCTCGAAGTTCTTGGCCTTGAGGGCGTCAAGGAATGGCGACTTCTCGACGGCCTTGGTCGACTCGCCGGTGATGTAGTACACCTGCTTCTGGTGCTCAGGCATGCGGGTGATGTAGTCCTGGAGCGAGGTGGTCTCGTCACCAGACTTGGTGGAGTTGTAGCGGAGGAGCTTGGCGAGAGACTGGCGGTTCTGGCTGTCCTCGTGGATACCAAGCTTGATGTTCTTGCTGAAGGCGCTGTAGAACTTGTCGAATTGCTCCTTGTCCTCGGCGATCTCGTTGAACAGCTCGAGGGTCTTCTTGACGATGTTCTTCTTGATGACCTTCATGATCTTGTTCTGCTGGAGAGTCTCACGGGAGAGGTTGAGTGGGAGATCCTCAGAGTCGACAACACCCTTGATGAAGCTGAGCCACTCTGGGATGAGGTCGGTCGCATCGTCAGTAATGAAGACACGGCGGACGTAGAGCTTGATGTTGTTCTTAGTCTTCTTGGTCTCGAAGAGGTCAAATGGTGCGCGCTTGGGGACGAAGAGGATGGCGCGGAACTCGAGCTGACCCTCGACAGAGAAGTGCTTGACGGCGAGGTGGTCTTCCCAGTCGTTGGAGAGGGACTTGTAGAAGGCGCCGTACTCTTCTTGCGAGATGTCCTTGGGGTCGCGAGTCCAGATTGGCTTGGTCTTGTTGAGCTCCTCCTCCTCGATCTTGCTCTCCTTGACCTTCTTGGTCTTCTTCTCTTTCTTCTTCTCCTCTTCCTCGTCGTCGACTTCCTCGACCTTGGGCTTGTTGTCGGAATCTTCCTCCTTGGTCTCCTCCTCAGCGTCCTCATCTGGGACCTCCTTCTCCTCCTCCTTCAGGACGTGAAGGTAGATAGGGTAGGAGATGAACTCGGAGTGCTTCTTGACAACCTCCTTGATCTTGCTCTCGTTGAGGTAGTCAGTCTGCTCGTCCTTGAGGTGCATGATGATCTTGGTGCCGCGGCCGATCTGCTCGCCCTCGGTGTCTTGGGTGATGCTGAAGGTACCACCGGCGCTGGACTCCCACAGGTACTGCTCGTCATCGTTGTGCTTCGAGATGACGGTGACCTTGTCGGCCACGAGGTATGCGGAGTAGAAACCAACACCGAACTGGCCAATCATGGAGATGTCAGCGCCTGCGGACAGAGCCTCCATGAACTGCTTGGTGCCAGAGCGCGCAATAGTACCGAGGTTGTTGACAAGGTCGGCCTTGGTCATGCCAATACCGGTGTCCTTGATGGTGAGGGTCTTGTTGGCCTTGTCTGGGATGATGTCGATCCTCAGGTCCTTGCCCGAGTCGAGCTTGCTGGGTTCTGAGAGGGCTTCATAGCGAATCTTGTCGAGGGCGTCTGATGCGTTGGAGATGATTTCTCGGAGGAAGATCTCCTTGTTGGAGTAGACGGTGTTGATGATCAGCGAGAGAAGCTGGGAGATCTCCGCCTGGAACTCGAACGTCTCGCCCGACATGCTTGCGGTGGTGATGTGTGAGCGGTCAGAGGTGATGGGTGGTGTCTGTGGTGGAGGTCAGTGGTATGTTCGATGTCGCAGGCAGAGATTGCCGTAGCAACAAACAACGGCGGGATGGCTGGCGGTACGTACAGAAGAGACAGCTGGGTTCTCGAGTGTAAGTGTGTGCGCGGCGGTGACCAATGGTCGGGTATCAAGGACACTTCTGGATGATTGATTGATTGAGAGTGAGGTGGTGTGCGGAAGGGCTTGGAGCGAAGAGTTAAATGCTTGCAGAAAGTGTTCAGCCGCTGGAGCTTTCTAGCTGGCCGATGGAAGCTCATCGAACCTGCCTCTTATGCAGGGATCGGAAAGAGGCTCTTGCAGATCACATGACCTCTTTCACTCACTCCACACAAGAGTTCGAGAGGCATGTGTCTGCCTTTGCTGCTGATTCTATGCTGCACTTTTCTTCGCATCTGGTCTGCAGTTCCATCGCCACTACCGGGGGATGGTCCAACACCGTCGACCTGCAATCAGAAGCGTACTTCCCTGACATGACTGCGGTTTTGGCCTATTGAGCTCACCATTTCTTGCGCGCTCTTGTACCTTCGATAAAGCCAGTACGATTCGTCGCAGCACGTGAACTGGCAACCCGGCGAAGGGGAAGGTGCCAATCCTGGGCCACGGAGACCCCGAGAAACAAAGTCTGACCACGCCATCGAAGCTCTTACAACGGTGATGGTATCGTGAGCAAACCATTTAATACATTGGACATCCGACGCCTGTCCCTTCGCCAGCACGCCGTGTCTGTATTCCTCAGTTCTACTCTGGGTACTATTCCTTGCCCACCTGTACTCGACCCCTTCACTAGCAAACAGTCCGATAGTCGGGCTGCGATCGAGAGCCTGACGCTTCTCCAGATTCGAGAGAGACGGCAATTGTCGATATATGAAATCAAGAATTGAACGTTCTCAAGCCTTCAGCGAAGAAGAAACGAATTCATCTATAGAATGGTACAGACGAAAGTATAGAAGGCACAAGTGAGGCAGAGGTGAGCGGAAAGTGAAGCGAATCCCTGCGGTACGCGCACGGACCAAGGGACAACGCGCCTCTCTGAACGCGGCGACGGCGGCTTCACATTCGCAGCCCGAACCGTCGTCCCTTCCATCCCACCTTCCACCATCCACCTCTGCCGCCACTCTTGACTCCTCCCGTCTTGTGCCGCATCCCTCCTCAACTCGCACCATCACCATCGACACACTCCCCCTCACCACCGCCGACCGCGACAAACTCACCACGACCATGGCCGACTACGCCAAGAAGAAGAACGACGAGCTCGCGGCGCTGTGCAAGGAGCGCGGCCTCGCACACACCGGCAAGAAGGCTGATCTCGTCAAGCGCCTCGAAGACCACGACACCCAGACCTCCGGCGCCGCAAAGCCTGCAGCACCTGAAGACGAGATCGACTGGGACGAGGAGCCTGCCACTGAAACCGCAAAGGCCGCCACAACTGAGCCTGCCGCCAACGCGATAGCTGCTGGTGGTGTTGGTGAAGTCACGAACCCACAAGCAGTGCCAAACCAAGAAGCCGCCATTGACCCATCCAAGACCGACGACCTCGCGGTTTCTGCACCAGCAGAAGAGCCAGCAGCGACTGAGGAGAAGAAGGAGGAGCCGAACTTCAGCACCGGCCTGGCGGAGCGCACACTTGATGAAGAGATTGAGAAGCGCAAGGCACGTGCGCGCAAGTTTGGATTGCCCGAAGACAGCGATGAGATCAAGATGTTGGAGCGCGCGAAGAAGTTTGGAGACACCGACCTGCCAGGACTTGGTCTGTTGAACAAGGCGCTGTCAGAGAAGACCGACCGCAAGCGTGGGAGAGAGGGCGGCGACAAGGAGGGTGGCATTCGCAAGAGGAGTCGTGGACGTGCAGGTCCAGGAAAGAAGCAGCGAGGCGGCGACAAGCCTGAGAGGAAAGACGGCGTGGACGGCTTCCCAAGCTGGATGACAGAGGCGGATCGAGAGGCTGCGGCGAGACGCAAGGCCAAATTCACGGCTTGAGACGACACATCGACGGTATTTAACACGAGACTGACCAGACGAGCTTCCATTCAAGGCCTATTCTATGCAGCCGGGCTGCTCTAGGAGCGTCTATCAAATGCTATACCCATTCCTTCTGCAAGCTGCCAACTGGATGCCGCATGGCTTTCTCTTTTCGAACGCTTCTCTCAATCATACCTGGCAGCAGAGTGGTGATGCCAGCAAAGTGCTTGCCTCTTTGTTTGGCGGAAAATCGCGTCCTCACTCATGTTCCTCGTCATCATAAGTCGTGCTGGCATTACCGATCGTTCTGTCATGCATCGATGCTTTCACAGCTTCGCCTTGGGCTGCTCATCTCGACTCCATACCTGGACTTCAGGCAGACTCTTATACTTGTTGGGCGGAAAGAACTGCGGCCCTAGCAGCTTCTTCACGACCTTGCCCGTGCCTGACTTGGGAAGCTCATCTGGGATGATTCGCAGTACGGTCGGCATCTTGTATCCTGCTAGCCTTTCTCGCAAATCTGCCCTGAGCTTCTGGATGCTGAGGTCTCGGATGACATATCGTCGCTCATCTGGCGACATGTCTCGTTCCACTTTCAGGGAAACAACCGCACCTACTCTCTCCCCAAATTCATCGTCCGGCACGCCAACTACCATTACTTCGGCGACATATGGCAGAGCGAGGACTTCTCTTTCAATGTCGAGGGCTGAGATCTTGTATCCCCCAGATTTGATGATATCGACAGAACTTCGCCCCAGGATCCAGTAGTACTCGCCCTCCCTTCGCGCAATATCCCCTGTCTTGTAATATCCGGACTCCGTATGAGACGCTGCCGTGGCCGCTGGATCGAAGAGGAATTTGGAGAACATGCCTGGGCTCTTGGCCAGGATTTCGCCTTCATTTCCTTCCGAGAGTTGTACGTCGTATCCGGGAAACAGCGTGCCGACTGACCCGTCTGGCACATTCTGATCTCCCAGCCGTACTTTGAACACGGCCCCGGTCTCCGTCATGCCGTATCTTAGCATTATATTCCGTCCGAGCAAGTGCCGCCAGAAGTCTGCGATCGGCTTGGGCAGTGCGGAAGTCCCACAGATGCAACAACGCAATGCTCGGGCCCCAGCTATGTAATGTTCGACACCATTTCGAGACGCGAGATTCTGCTGGAAGTACCGCTTCATTCGCATGTAAATCGTCGGAACGCCAGAGAAGAACGTGGCACCCCCTCGCCGCCAGCGTTCCCAGGTCCACTCGGGACTGAAGCTGCCGCTTCTGAATTCCAGGAGTGACCCGGCCACAAGGAACGGAAAAAACATCATACCGATACCAGTCGCATGGTGCACGGGAAGTAGATGGAGAAGAACGTCATCTGGGGTAATGTTGTAGTGGTCAATGACACCCAAGGCCTCGTCGTGGATGAAACCTCGCCGCATCACTGCGCCTTTCGGAGGACCCGTCGTCCCTGAAGTAAAGATGACGACTCCAGGGGCATTGTCGTCGAGGTAGAGGTCAGATGAGACGATGATCTGAGTTGGATGCAACGGCTGATTCTTCAGCGACGGCGCGACATTCACACAGACGAACGGGCTTTGTGGATCCTGGTCCTTGACCAATTTCTCCAGTGACAAGCCAAGACGAAGTGCGCCCTCAGATACCAGGACTGCAGCGGCTCTCGACTTGGTGGCGAAGTAAAGAGCCTCCTCCGGCGGAAGAGCTACCGTCATGGGCACCACCGCGGCCCCCAAGGCCAGCGCCGCCAGGATCGCCACCGTGAACTCGTATCCACCAGGTGCCAAGATGGCAATATATACCTCCTCTCTCTGCTCCAACGCCTTCCTCACGCCATCACTTAGACTCTCCCACACCCTCTCCCGAAAAGCCAACACATCCGTAAGTAGTTGCACATGCGTCGCCTCAACGCCCGTATTGACATCCCTCGCGCACAACCTCGGAGGCACACTATGCGCGAACCTCACGAGCCTGTTGAAGAGTGGATGACAAGGTAGGACGTTCCTCCCAATGTGCCGGGGGACGTGCAGCGTCCGGTCGTCGTAGCTGGTCATTTTCCAATGTTCTGTCAGTAACGTCCGCAGGGGAAGCACATCCTCTGAGGGTACGTTTTCTGATGTGCTGCTTGAGTTGACCGCTTTCTTTTCCAGTTGGCGGAAGATGGCGGCGATGGTGGGGAATGTCGGAGGCATGCAGGCTTTCTTTCTGTCGGGTCTATCTTTCTTGCTACATTCTTCTTCCTTCGGCGTTACGCTCTTCTGTCTCGATTGCTGACCTGTAAGAGACGAATGCTTGGTTCAGCAGTTCGAAGTTGGATGGTGGAGCTTGCCAGCCTCTCTGCAACTTCCCCCGCATTGCGGAGGGCAGAAGGCGGGGAGGCCGCGAAGGTCGGCGATATACTCTAACAAGCAAGTCTAGCAGCTCAGCAGGCCGGTATCGCTGTTGCATGGCCGAGGGTATGCGTGTGTTGTGATCATGACTTTGACATAGACGAGGTTCTTGTGGTGGGTATATCGGATGGAGTGGAAACAGAGCCTGGACTGCAACGAGAAGCTTGTGATAAAGGCATCGACTTGATCTCCTTTAAACGATTGGATTATCTCGCTGGGAGGCCGCTGGTTCAGGCCATCTTACATCGAATACTGGAATCTGAGAAGAACATATACCAATACAAACAAGGCTGCAATCGCCACCATCCAACAACACAAACCACCATGCCGGACTTCTCCGACAACCTCCAACCCGCCTCCCCCACAGGCCCCTCCATCCTCGCCCAAGAAAGATCCCAATCCAACGTCCCCATCACCGAACTCGCCACGCACCTCCTCAGCCGGAACGACTTCCTCGCCCGCCAAGAACGCATCCTCCCCATCCTGGAAGCCGACCCGCTCTTCAACAAAACCAAACAATTCAACCTCTCCCGGCCGGAACGCTACCACCTGGGTCTCGCGCGCGCGAAGAAGCTGAGGAGGTATAAGGACCAGTATGGCTGGGATGAGGAGGATTTTAAGATGGGCGAGTATCTGTGCGATGATGTGAGTCCGTTTATGGTGCATGAGGCGATGTTTCCGACGACGGTGAGGGAGCAGGGGAGTAAGGAGCAGAGGGAGGAGTGGTTGCCCAGGATTGAGAGGTGGGAGGTTGTGGGGTGTTATGCTCAGTGAGTTTGGATCTTGAATTTTTGGAGTTTGATGGTAGATGGTGGCTGACTTGTTGTGAAGGACTGAACTGGGTCATGGGAGTAATGTTCGGGGATTGGAATGTAGAGCTACGTGGAATCCCAAGGAGAAGAACTTCACCATCCACAGCCCGACGCTGACGGCTAGCAAATGGTGGAACGGGTCGATGGGACGCACGGCGAACCACGCCATTGTGGTTGCCCAGCTGTATGTGCCTAAGTCGGCGGATTCTTCAGAACTCGTCAACCACGGACCTCATCCATTCATCGTCCAGATCCGGGATATGAAGACTCACCAACCCCTGGAGGGAATTGTTGTGGGAGACATCGGACCGAAGTATGGCTATGCGCCCATGGACAACGGGTACATGCTCCTCAACAACTTCAAGGTGCCGCATTCTGCTATGCTCTCGAATTATTCGAGGGTCGATCCGAATACTGGCACGTACACGAAGCCGGCGAATCCAGCTGTTGTGTACGGGTCTCTGACGGCGGTCAGGGCGGCTATCATTATGCATGCGAGATTGATCATGGCAAGAGCTGTCACGATTGCTGTGAGATATTCGACGATTCGAAGGCAGTTTCAGGATCGGGATAGTAGTGACAAGGCGGCGCCAGAGCTACCTGTGTTGGACTACACGACTGTGCAGATTCGGATCTTGCCCTTGCTTGCTACGGCGTTCGCACTGCACTACACAGGAGAAGCCATGTACGAGCTGTACTCGAGCACAAGGGCCGAGATCGACTCCGGGGACTTCAGCAAGCTGGCGACGCTGCATGCTCAATCATCAGGTCTCAAGAGCCTTTGCACTGAGCTCGCTGCGAACAGCATCGAGACATGTCGACGAGCGATGGGCGGTCACGGATTTGGGGGAGCCAGCGGATATATCCAACTCAACAACGACTACCTCTCCAAACCCACCGTCGAAGGGGACAACTGGATGATCACCCAACAAACCGCCAGCTACCTCCTCAAACGCATGCAAGCCGCCGTCGCGGCCAAAGGCGCACCCCAAGACGAAATGGAAGCATCATGCCGCTCCTGGCTGCAGAACGAACACAAAAAATCCCCCACCCCCTTCGCAATCTATACCTCCGATAGCGAAATCGTCCGCGCCTTCCACCGCCGCTCCCGCGACCTCACCCACCGCGCCTACATCTCGCGCTTCGTCCAAAACAAATCCTGGAACAGCCTCCTCCTCCAACTCCGCCAACTCTCCCACGCCGAATCCCAATCCATCCTCGTCTCCAACTTCCACGCCGCCTTGTCCTCCCCCACCCTCTCCGCAACCCTCAAATCCCACCTAACCCTCCAATTCCGCCTCTTCGCCCTCTACACCATGGACGCGCACGCCCGCGACTTCTCCAAAGCCCACGCCGTCTCCGAGGCCGACCTCGATGATCTGCCCGACCGCATCCAAGAGCTCATGGCGCAGATCCGGCCGCACGCCGTGCGGCTCGTGGATGCGTGGAAGGTGCCGGATTTCTTGCTGGATAGTGCGCTGGGGCGGGCGGATGGGCGGGTTTATGAGGATTTGTGGCATCGGGCGCATCGGATGAATCCGTTGAATGAGGTTACGTTTAATCCGGATTGTCGGAGTGAGGAGATTGTTTTGGGGGGTGGGGTGGGGGAGGAGGGGGTGAGGGGGATTTTGGCGAAGTTGTGAGGATGGGTGGTGGTGGAGGATGGTTCTCCGTATGACTGCAGGGCTGAAGAAGAGGAAGATGAGGAAGGATGATCTTGATCCTACCCGGGAGGGAGGAATGATGGGTTGTTTGAGTCACTGCTCTGTCAAATGTCATTGACGATTCATGTTCTACTTCGTTGGCGTGTGCCAAAACGATCCTTGAGCTGCATGTAAGACCCGTTGTTATTGAAGCCAGCTCCAGACTGATGAGAGAGACATCGTCTGTCTCCCCGGTATCGAAGCCATCTCGATGTCTCAAACTCATTTGCAGAACGCTCGGTCGCTCGCATGAGTTGCAAAGATTCGGACGGTCGTTGACATTGATTCAAAATGTGCGATGAGAATAGCATGAGGCTTGATGGTGAGCAAGATATGATCCTGTAGGAGAGCTATCGGAGGGAGAAACTCTCGGATAGAAAACAAAACGATGCACCACGCGTCCTGAACTGAACGAGAAGCACCGTCCCCATCCATCCCGCCCAGCAACACGAATGCGAACACTTCCGTCCAACAACACAATCCATCCTCCCCCTCCAGCTCCACCTCAAATCTTCGCCTTCGCCGCCTCCCCCGTCCTCCGTCCATGCACATAACTAATCTCCCTAAAAGCCCTCCCCGCCTCCCCATACAGCTCATTCCGCAACAGCGAAAAAACCCCCATCTTCGCCTTCGGCGCCACCCTCCTTCCCAACTCCAACGCCGCCTCCAACATCCCCTCAGGCTCCGCCACCGCATCCACAATCCCGTCCTCCAGCGCCTCCTTGCCCGTCCACCGGTGCGCCTCCAGCAACATCTTGCGCGCGACCTGCGGACGGAGTTTGAGGCGCGGGAGGGCGCCGATGCCCGGGAAGTGTAGACCCAGGTTGACGGGCGGCATGGAGATGAAGCCGCGCGAGGCGTTCATGATGCGGTAGTCGTGGGAGAGGGCGAAGGGCCCCGCGCCGCCGAAGGTGTGGCCTGTGATGAGGGCGATGGTGGGGAAGGGGAAGTCGATGAGGGTCGCGAGTAAGGGGAAGAAGCCTTCGGAGTTGGCGTGGGGGTTTGTGTCGGCTTCGTCGAGTTCGAGGCCCTGTAGAGGGAGAAATATTAGATTAGCGTGGTGCGTTTTTGGGCGTTCGATTGGATTTTCTGGGGGGATTGGAAGTATGATTTCTGTGGTTGTATTTTGGGCTTTGGTATAGACGGGGATGTGCGGTATTTCGAATTGACATCATATGCTGCGATTATGCTTATCGATCTTTGGGTGGTCGAACGACTGGAGAAGGAAGGGTCTTTGTATGGTTGGGCTCTGATATAGACGATGATGATATGACCTACCGTGCACCAAAATTTGGCATCGTTGCCTTTCGTAATGACAGCACCCTCCGAGTCAGGACCCAGAATCTTCCTGACGGTGTTGTACGCTGCGATTAGCTTTTGAGCGTAGGCACTGTTTATCCTGTTCTCTGGCGCCTTTCGCATTGTGAGGACGAAGACGTTGCCATCGTGGCGGTCTAGGGCCAGGTTTGGCTCGTTGATGATGGACTCAGGCATTGCTGGTTGTATGGATGTGAGCTATAGCTCGAGGATGTGACACTGTTTGATGTTCAATATCACATCGCATGGCATTGTTAGCAATGGCTGCAGGTGAGGTCTCTCCATCGCGGCCAGGTTGTAACCGAGGTGCAAGGCCGAGCTTCCGAAGGCGGAGGTCCTGCCCTTACAAACTGACATGCATCTCCAGACATGACTTGCACCTCAAATCGAATCATCAATGTGGTCATCGCCGAAGTTGAAGGACCGTCAGCCTCCTTGTCAAGGATTCGATGCTGCCATGACGATCAGAAGATGGATGCCGGAATCAATGAATCCTGCTTCCTCTGAGGCGGCGGTGACATTCTGAACCACACAGACATTCAGGAGCTGGCTGCTTCGTAAGGATCCCCGACCAATTCTTCTGCCTAAGCTTTCTGTCTGACTTTCTCTTCTCCTTCCTCCTGCTATTTTCGTAAGCGACGTCGAATTCAAGACAGCCGTCAGTCGCCACTGGTCGCGTGAGTGGCGCTCGGCGATAGGTCATTCGGCGACATGACTGCTTCGGAGCTTGATGGGCCGACTGCATGAGCACGGTATGTACCTGTGAGTTTCAGGAAGGAGGCCACGAGAATATCGTGTCGGATGTCCGACAGAGATCCACTGCAAGGACTATTTCTTCATCTTGCCGCGATTTCGAGCCGGCTGTTCGCTAGGAGCGTATCTGACCCGAGGAACCCGGCAGCGTGGTCGTCTTGCTAGGTTGATGGTGCGATAGACCCGTTCATCCCTGCTGACGACCTGGCTGGGGGAGGCTTGCCAGCCACTAGAATTGGTCCTCCCTCTATTTCAACCTCACTCCTTCCTGTCTCCTGGGAGGATCTTATCCGTACGAATCGCGGACTTTGTGATAAAGTCTTGACTCTTCGAATGCAAGATCAATGCATCGTGCTCACGGAGATTGATCACAAACGGGCGATCTCGCACTTGACGAATTGACGCTGGAGGAGTGTTTCTCGAAAAGTCTTCGCTTTCTTGCTCGGATCGCATGCTTGGGCCAATGGCACGGACTGCCGGCCAAGAAACGTTCCTGGTGGGTCTCTCAAGCCACGTTTGACTCAGTTTTGTACGACACACGTGCGAGGTTTCACGTAGACTGCCCTGCATGACAGGTCGGGTGAAGAAGAGAACAATGCTCGATGGCATGTCCAGGATCAGGCAGTGAGCGCTTGGAGAGATGAACCGAAAAATAGCAACTTTCGACTTCGCAAAAGGGCGCCGGCAGTTCTGCTCAAACTCGCTCATTTGCCAAGTACGTCGTTGTTCCGCTCTGTGACATTCGTCACCACGCACAGCATGGACCAGAGGCGCATTTGGCAACGCGTCTTGGGACATTTGCGAGGGTCGCCTTCATTCAGTGTCGGTATTATTTGACGGCGTTGATGTACGAATAGCAGGCGCCGGAGTGTGGGCTTTCCGGTGGATTTTGAGACGAGGCACGCGCTGCTCCACAGTCGTGTCCACATTTACGATGTACGGACAGCGATGGAGTCGACATCCACTGCCTGGAGCAGACGCTGGTCGAGGAGGATTTCGACAACCGATTGGCGCATCGTTCCGGTCCTGGTATTGTGAAGATTGAACATGCTGGGAGACCCCGGTACGATTAAAGCCGGAGGAACAACCCTCATAGTTGCGCAGCTGATGCATATGTGCTGCGGCTCGCGGTGCTTTTATCCATTGATATGAAGATCCCTTGGCGTGCTTGGGTTCGCTTGTTGCTGGGAACTAGAGGGCAGCTGGTCTTTTCTGAATAACGGTCTTGATCGTTAATGCGCTCGTATATCTGTGTGTCCATACGCCGAACGTGGCTGTTTCTTCACAAGCGGCACGCCTTGAATCTTCGTTGCGAGTCAGGCCCAACATGCGACTCTCCCGTACGAGCTGGACGTTTGACAGACGTGGGAAGGTGAAGGAGCCGGTATCTGGCAAGGCATACCCGCAACGACGAAGATCGCAAATGCTCGGTATGCAGGAACGAAAACCTTCTCCAGCAATATCCCAGTGCAGAGCAGCCTGTCAGAGTGGTCATGTTGTGCAAGGAATAGTGAACAGCGATGCAGGGAAGCCGCAGGCTATCGAAGTATCCCTTATCCTTGTCCGACTCCTATAGGGCGGCTAAGAGTCCGTTCTCGTGTCATTTGCTGCCGAAGGCAGTGATCAACATCTTGGGCCGACGGCTTCGAACTCAGGAGATTTTGCAAACTCCCTTTTGGTCATCGCATCAGCGATCGACCTGTACGATCAGCTTGAAGAGCATTGTCAGATCTGACGCTGCGAAGAACTCGTACAGACCAGCCCCGTGTGCTGTGGTGAGGTGCAGTCAACAAACAGAAGGCGAAATGTTTTTCAGGGGTGAGAGGCAAGCAGGTGGAGCGCGACAATCGCTGTTTTGGCAGGCAACGCCCAAAGCGGTAAAGCGGCATTCGCTAACGGCGACCTCACCTCACTCACAAACTTCTTGTGACGGCACAGCATCCGCGTACAGAGGGTCGTGCGCCGAGATCTGATCAATCACCCAAGACTAATCCGCTCCACTCCAAGAACAGACGAGTCCAACTCAAGCAGGAGGCGACAACGCTCATCACGGACTGCATGCTGCCGCACACGTGGAAGGAGTTCGGCAGCACGCCGCCTGTTCGCCGGGTCGCACAATTGACCACCCGCATGGTATCGCGACAGGCGAATGCTTGACGGTGTTTCCCTGTGCATCACATGGTGGGAATGTGGCGTGGCATTCCTGCGCGTGCAGAGGCCATGAACTCTTGGAGAACACAGGCCAAGTCTCACCATCCGCTTCGCTCAGACGCCAATTTTGGCGACGTTTGCGAATATCTTGCGCATGGAGCCTTGTGCCACGGCAGGATGCCAGTCCTGGATTCCAGGAGAGGTTAGGAAGGACCGATGTAATAGGGCAAGAAAGTATCAGCGCTTACCTGCTCCGGTCAGTATACATCTTTAGTCTTACGGATTTATGCTCAGTTCCCCTTGCGGCCTAACGAAAGTATATCTCGAAGGGCTGAGAATGGGGCGTGTGGTACCCTTCTTAAAGCAATACTCGCTCGCTCTCCCGGTCCGTTCGGTAACACCTCTGCATCTTTCCTTGTTGTGTCTCTTTCTTTCCTAGGTACCCTGCAATACATTCAACCTTCTATTCTTGATTTCCAGCCTTAGTGCTGTTGCTGCTATACATCTCTTTTCCTTTGAGTACCTATTACCTTCACAAAGACCACGACTGTCAATCGCGTTCTACATTACCTCTTGGAAAGGTTGCTTGGCCTTCGTTGGCCCCTACTTGTTCAATCGTTTTTACATCTCTGTTTTTCCTTACAAAGCCACCGACATGGCAGTCATATCGCTTGCTGTGGTCGTCGTCGCCATCACAGTCTACCTCATCATCAAGAAGATCGAGTCGGTCCAGAAGAACAAGGCTTTTGCTTCGGCAAGCAAGCTCCCAGGGCCAAAGGGTTCGTAGCAAACAGAACTGTCTCACTTGAACTCAGACTGACTGTCGAGCAGGTCTACCCATCATTGGAAGTGTCCATGAGCTACCTGAGAAGTGTAGCTGGATGAAGTTTGCAGAATGGGCTGATGAGTATGGACCTATCTATCAAGTCAACCTTGCCGGCCACAACCACGTTTGGATCGCCCGCGATAAGATCGCCCACGACTTGCTGTCCAAGCGCAGCGCCATCTACTCCGACAGGCCCTTCATTCCCGCGCTCGAGCACGACAACCGTACCTCAGGCCAGTACCTTCCATTGATGAGCAAGAACCTCGTCTGGTCGCGACAACGACGATTCGCGAAACAGATCATGGATGTTTCAGAAAAGCAAAACTTCTACAGCTATCCCGAGATTGAGGCTACGCGTCTGCTGTTCGAGATGATGTCGGATCCCTCGCAGTATAACGTCGCCATGGAATCATTTGTCGCGAGAGTCACCAGCCGACTTGCTTGGGGCACACCAGCCGCGAGTGACGAACTCAAACAGCGCGCCCGTGAGCTTCTCATTGGAGTGTCGCCAAGTGGTGCGTTAGGCAACAAGATCCCCGCCATCATGTCTTTGCCCGAGAACATGGTCAAAGCCAAGGCTTGGGAATTGCGACGAGGCCGGACCGAGAAGAAGTTCTTTGAGATCATGCAGGAGGAGGTGCGACAATCGGTGGAGCGCGAGGAAGATACATCGACTTCTCTGCTTCCCACTGTGCAGCCGAAACAATCATGGACACGAATGTACCTCGAGCACTCGAAGAGCTGGGGCTTCTCATCCGATACTGAAGGCGCTTACGCTGTCGGCATGCACGGTATCGCTGGAGCTCTCACCATTGCAGCTCCCATGCAATCGTTCTGCCTCGCCATGTGCCACTACCCGCAATATCAGTCAGTCCTTCACGAGGAGATTGACCGTGTCCTTGGCGACCGTATGCCGACCTTCGACGACATGCCAGAGATGCCGGTTCTCCGCGCCTTCATCCGAGAGACACTTCGCTGGCGTCCACCAGTGCCAACTGGCATCCCTCATGAGGTGACCCAGGATGATGTTTACGAAGGCTACCACATCCCCAAGGGAAGCGTCATCCACCCACTGGAGTGGTCCATCAGCAGAGATCCTGCAGTCTTCCCCGAGCCGGACGACTGGAACCCAATGCGATGGCTGCACTCGGACTATCCAACCTACGAGGAGCCACTCACCAGGTACCCTACTATCACCCAATACTCGCAATTCGGCTACGGACGACGCACCTGCCAGGGTATGGGCGTTACTGAGGCCGATCTGTTCGTCAGTCTTGGAAGCGTTGCCTGGTTGTTCTCCATGCAGGCCGACGATGAGACTGCTGTGAAGACTGAAGCGCAGCCTGAGCCACAGCAACAGGCACAACCTCAGGCCGAGCCCGAAGCACCTGTCGACGATACCTTTTCGGAAATCGACTCGATTGGAGCTCCTTCGACGCCAATGTCGCGGAGAAGCACTTTCTTCTCCAACGATGCACCTGCCGACCTCATTTCGTTCGAGAATGAGGCTGCCGGCGACTGGTCGCCGTCCACCAACCCGAAGAGGCTCAGCATGCATCTCAATGACTCTGCCATCAGCCTCTTCAACTCGGACTACCCTGCTAGCGACGGCAGCCACGGTCACTCTCGACAGAGCACACTGCAGAACCAGCTCAGCATCCACGATAACGACTCGGCGATCAGCGTTGCGAGCTTCGCTTCAGACGACGAGAGCATGGGTGATCTCAGAAAAGAGGCGCCTAGAAGACCAAGACTAGTACCAAAGGATTCTGGCATCAGCATGTCGAGTTTCATTGCCCAAAGAGAGTCACGTCCATCATCGAGAAAGAGCACGCTCAGACCAAGACCAGCCAGCTTGCGCATTCACGATGCAAAGAGTGTATCAAGCCTCATCTCCGAAATGCACAACGTCTCCACCTCGAGACAGAACAGCGTCTACACTCCTGGCTCAGCGCTCAGCCTGCTCAGCGAGATGGCCGACGAGCAAGGCGGCTGGAGCGTCTCCCGACAGAACAGCATGCACTTCCCCGAGCCAGCATCGCCAGCGAAAGAAGACTCCAACATCCGCGTCGCAGGCGAATGGCCAGGTCTGTCCACTGACCCAGAAAAGGAATACGTCGACCTCTTCGGCCCGCTCATCGACGAGCCCGAGCCAGCGCTCCCACCAGTCGACGGCCCAACCCTCACCCCCGACTTGCCCGGCGCATGGAACTTCGCCAAGGTCGACGTCGAAGAAGCCCCCAAGCCAAAGAAGCAGGCTCCCCTCTACGAGACGGATCCTACATACAACTTCTCCACTCTCCTCATCGCGAAGCCGATGCCATTCAAATTCAAGCTCACCATCCGCAACCAAGCGCGCGCAGAGATGGTCGCGAGGCAGTGGATCGACAGGAAGCTGGAGGGAGAGTATCAAGAGGCGAAGGTCTACTGGAAGAATGGAACGCAGGGTGACGCTGAGCATGGGTAAGCACTCACAAACACACATATTCTTCATCCTTGAAATTCATGCTAACGATGTTTGAACAGATGGGGCGAAACCTTCTCATAAAGAAGACAATGCCCAGCCATCCCTCTGCTCCCCCGTCGCACCGTCAATAGATTGCGTCGCGAGAGCCGCTCTGGAGCGCTTCGTGTCATGTCTCTTCGAAGCACTCCCATGTTTATGATTTCCACGCGGATTTTTCTTTTTGGTGGTGGCGCTCGCTTGTATAGATAGAAGGTTTCCTTGGTTGGTCATGCGGTTGGATATCGTGTTTTTCGGCACGTGTTTAGAGTAGTGTGATAGTGTGTAGCTCTAGTCGACGACAGAAGTGTTTCCATAGTGTGGAGTGTATACTACTATAGAGGTTGTTACATACTTTACGTTTTCCCACTTTCATTGTGGATTCACTAGACGGCAGTCGCTCTGTCATCTGACTTTCTCCGTGCCATTCTCCTTCTGAAGCCGCGCAGTGTCGCCACGTTGCCTTGAAGCCCGTCTTGTCATGGAGCATGCCTCTGTGGCAGAAAATCTGACGTTTGAGCTTGTGATCGCTCGTGTATCATGTAGTGCGCTTGAAGCCCCGAAACAGTATCGTGACTGGCATTGCACGATGTAGACATTTGTGTCCTACTCGACTGCGTGGATTGATGTGGGAGGCGGCATGATCGACTTCCACCTCGAGATGTTTTGCTCTTCTCGTGGAGTCTCTAGGCCTTCTGTATGAGTTGGGAGTTGTGCTCGAGTATTTTGCAGTCCTGCGAGCCTGAATATCTTGCAAACTCTCGTTTCACATCAAGAATTTGGGCCTCGATGTATTCGCCTGTCCAGATGGCTCACTGGTTGGACCTCCAGCTTCCCTCGCCTGCTTCTTCTCCTCGTCCTTCAATCTCCTCTCCTCCGCCTTCTCGGCCCGTTTAGCATCCCTCTTCTTGCGCCCTTCCCACAGCATATCCGTATTCTGCAACTCTTGAATAACCTGCTCCCACTCCTTCTCCTGATCTGGATCTCCCGTGCCCAACGCTTTCTTCACATCGAAGTCCTCGCCACTCTTGACCCTCTGAATGACCTCTCGCAGCGTTTCCAGCTTTGCGTCGGTTTGACGGGAGAAATTGAGCATGTCTCTTCGTATCGAGATGATGTTGATCGCGTTGGAACCGACTAGGATGCCGAGGATCAGGAATGCTATGCCCGTTCTTCGCTCGTCTGCGCCGGTACCTCGCCTTCTTGCGCGCTCTTCGGCTTGTTGTGCATCTGTTGATCTTCTCAGGAAGCTGGGGACTAAGGAAGCCCAGAAGGACGGGTTTGCGATTCGCGGCAGTCTGGATCCATCTGCGTATGAGCGAGGCGCCACTGCTGCGAATCCTCGTCGCTGTGTGTATTGCTTAGCGCACTGCGCACAAGCATCCAAAGGTATCCGAAGTGCTCTCGACGGCGCCATGGTGTATCTGATGGTGTCCCGAACTCGCAGGCGATCTCGTCGAGACCCCGATCTGCTTGGCGTGAAGTCGTCGCCGTGCCAACCGCTTCGTTGATCCGAAAGCGACGGGAGGCGAGACCACCGAGAATCCACGCGCCTCCAGAGACGCACCCACCTCGAATCGAGTCGGATATGCCACAGTAATCCAGCAGTAATGTCTACAGCGGAGGCGTTGGCGGAGTCGGTGAAGACGGCGATATCTGGTGTCAATGCGACTTCATCCACCGTCACAACACTGCAAAGTCTGCTGAGCTCAGCTTCAGGAGCTCCAAGCAAGGCATCGACCACGACTCAAGATCCACGGAACGAACGAACGACATCGAGAACTTCCAGGCCCGCAAAGCCGTCAAGAGCACCAGCGAAACCTGCTCGCAAGGACCAGAAAGTCCAGGTTCTGGAGGATGAGCCCAGGAGTCTTGCCCTGAAAGCGGGATATGCGTTGGCTACGGAAGTCGTCAATACTGCCTTGAAGGTCCTGTCCGATGCCTCAAGGCAACCAGCGAGACTAAGAAGCCATGCCAGGCGATCGTCAGTCCAGATCAGTGCTACGCCGAAAAGGGCGCCTACGACTCCAGCTTCGCAGCGAGGTCTCAAGCAGATATCTGGCAATGAGACTCCAGTCACTCACTCGCCATTGAAGCAGCCTGGATCTCAAAGACGACCTTCACAATGCTCGATATCTGGAAGCTCGCCCTCTTCAGATCATCTGGTTCCAACGGCGGAATGTGCTCGACTGGGATTCTCGTTTCTGCGATCTATCGATTTGCAGAAGCTGGGCGTGCGAGAGCCTCCAAAGTTGCAGCTGGAGACTGGCATGCTGGCGCTCTGTGGCAAGCTGATCACGCTGGAGCTGCATAGTCTTGCTGCGAAAGAACTGCGTGCTGTCAAGAGGATGTTGGAGTCTACCTTAGGAAGTCGACCAACTTCATCGAAAGCTTCGTCCGGTACCAGCCAGCCACGAGCAGATAGTGAGACTCTGTCGAGCTTGTTGCAGTTGAGCATTGCCTTCGACGCTTGTCCAGACGCCTGGCCCCTGATCATCAACTTCCAGCTATACGTGCTTCAACTCATTGCGGCTTCGCATCAACCTGGAATGATTGAGGAAGTCTTCGAATTGTTGGCGACCGATTCCCTAAGAACTCCCGCCAGCCTCATTCGACGACAGGTGAAAGATGGAGGAGACCGTGGCAAAGCGTCCAAGCAACTTGCGAGCCTGTCTCGAATTATCTTGCAACTGTGCCCCAATGTTGCGTCTTCGGCAGACGCTCTGGCGAAAGATGCATCTCGAAGCCGTTCACCACTGGTGGTTTTCAAGCTGCAGACGATGTCCTTGCAACTCAGGCAAGAGAGTTGGCGGCTTTCGCGCCATGAAGGGGATGTTGAGAAAGAGCTTATCGACCCATTCTCGAAATGTCTGGCAGCTCTCGTTCGTCGACTGCCATCACAGAAGAGTACTGTCGAAGTCTTCAACGCCTGCAAAGACGCCTACGGGATCTTGCCTACAGCGAATGGTCCCTCGTCAAAGTTCGTCATTCTGAGGACACTTTCGATACTCGCTGGAAGAGCCTCCCTCGAGCAAGAAGCACTGGACTTCGCACAACAACTCTCGGGAGAATGTCAGAGTCTCGGCAACGATCACGCACGCTTTGTCACCGCCATGGCCAGGAAGTCATCAGCACTGTCGAAGAAGAAGCAACAGACCTCTGATATCGAACAACTCTGTGCAGGCATGAACACCATCTGCGAGAGTCTACGAAAGAGCCTGTCTGGGACTGCGTCGGAATACGAAGCCCTGTTCGCTGAGCTGGCGGAACTTGTCAACATGAATCACATTACCCCCGAGATTGAGTCCCTTGGAGAGGTCAGGAAACGGCTCGCTGGATCTGTTGCAGGCTTCACGTCGAGCTATGTTCGCTCTTTTCCCGATAAGAACATCGAGATCGCACAAGAAGTCATACAATCTGCTTTATCGCAATGCGGATCGAACGAGTCGTTGCTTGGCTGGGTCACCAAAGACACTGCTCAAGTCTTGATCCGATCTGGAGTGCTGCGACGAGTTGCAGAGAAAGTCTCTTCGAAATCTGCAGCGCTGGCCTGGACGTCTTTCAGCTCGGCTATGACTCTGGCAAGAGTTTTGAAGCTCGTTACGCTCAAGTCTATAGCAACTCGGCCTGAAGACCTCACCAAGTGCATCGTCGATGATCCGAAATCGAGCGACGAAGAACGAGGTGCTTTGATCGAATGGCAACTCAAGTGCGCATTGGACGTCGCACACAAGACCAAGTATCAGCCTGGCCTGAAGAGTTTCTTACCCGAATGCTTTCAGAGGCTGGCTAATACATACAGCGATGCTTCGTTTCCAATCCGGCGGGCGAGAGTGATAATTCAGGCCTATCGTATTCGAGAGCAATTTCCTGAGCTTATAGCACCTCACCAGATTGCGGCGTTGATCAACACACCCGTAGTCCTTCGAAGAGACAGGCTAGCAAAAGACGAAGGACTAGCTGCCTATGAGCCCAGCATCAGGGCTTCGTTGGAGCTGTCTGCTGCATTCTATAGGGGACTTCCAACTGTAGATGATCTTGGCCGATGTCTCTCCGTGTTTGAAGAGACCTTGGACAGCATTGATGACCCTGCTGCTCTGGAGCACACTGTCGATGACCTTTCCTTGGTCCAAGCGCAATTGACTTCTACCTTCGACTATTTAGAGATTATCGGCGACGACACAGCAAGGCTCAAGGCTGCGAAGCTCTTGAGCTCTATTGGCCGGGCTACGGGCGTTGGTCAGGAGGATGGGGTTGTCAGACAATCACGGACGTACATCTCGCTGGGATACGCAGAAAAGGCGGGCGAGGTCCTTTCTTATATCACCAAGACGTCTGGAACCGACGAGGTGCCTTCATTGGAGACTCTCAACATGTTGATCTGTCGAGCTGAGCATTTACTCGCAATGCAGGACCTGGACGAGTGCCAAAAAATGCTTGAAACTGTTAGCCAGACTCGCAAGGAGCTTCAATCGAAAGCACCTCGATTGCTGCAGACCAGTCGATATCGCGTGCTGCTCGGTCGTGCCTGGCTTCTCGCCTCTCGATGGATGCTTGAAGGTAGTTCAGCACACGAGTCTCTTTCCGCTGCAAAGCGAGCGGTCAAGGTCATGAATAGCATCTGGTCTGGCCTTGAACGCTCCGCTCTACCTACGGACAACGAAATCCACCCCGACAACGAGTGCGAGGACCCGGCGGTGGAAGAAGTCACGAACAAGGTCAGCAAGCTTGTCTTGAAACCCGAGGCGAAGACGCCTGAGCCGAAAGCAACTCAGCGGAAAGGTGCTGCGTTTTGGCCAGTCGCTGCACTATTATGTCAAGCGCTGATGCATCTTGGGGATGTCTACGTGCATCAGGGGGTTTTCAACGAAGCCAACTACGCCTCCGAGCAAGCTTTGAAATTTGCAGAAGCAATCGACTCCAGTAACTTGCTCTCACGCGTGAGATACCATCGAAGCACCCTCCTCGCCACAGCAGGGCGGCTTGAAGATGCGGAGCTATGTCTTGCACATGATCCCAATGAAGATACCACTGTTCCGCCATTGGTGAGGATCGAATATTTCAGAGCCAAAGCCCTGTTGGCTGTGAAGAATGGCGACAATGGTGCTGCGACGAGGTTTTACGAAAAAGCTGAAGCACTTGTCAGGCAGATTCAATCTGATCAACACCTGGCATCTTTGGACCGACCACGCGAGGTCAACATCCTAAAAGAGAGCGAGGCAGCAGCAGGGACTGAATCCAAGCGATCAACATCCACAACAACATCACGCAAGCAAACTACTACTGCCCAGGCCAGACAGAAGGTCTCCACTACAAGGAAGGCTGGGGTGAAGACAGTAGTAAAGAAGACCGAGAACGCAACTGCCAGTCCGAAAGACCTATCAAAGTCGAGGCCAAAGATGCTGGCAAGACTCGAAGCGTCGATTCTCCTCGACAAAGCAATGGTGTCCTTGGATCTCGGCCGAATCGATGAAGAGAGTCTCGCACGTCTAAAAGATCTAGCTGCAGCTCTTCCCAAGTCGTTCAAGAGCCAGCGGCTAGAGCACGAAGGTCTCATGCGAAAGGTATACTCGGACCTTCAGGCAGATTTCTCTTTCAATGTCTTGCCAGAGTCCACACTGTCCTTTCCTGCACTTCAGGTACTTGACCAAGGGCTCTCCACGCCAGCCTCTGAAGGCTCTCTGGTCTCCAAGGTCGTTCCAAAGCCGCCGACGAAAACGATCAAACGCGGAAAGGCGATCAGAGCGAACGAGAAACCAGCTCAGTCCCTAGACGATCTGCTTTGTTCAGCTCGACGCTGCATCTTACCTGACAACGCCTCTGTCGCACGTCTGAGCACGAGTGAAACGCACAGACAGAACCTCCTAATTGTAAATGCTTCGATGGTGCTTTCTGCGACATCTGCGCATCATGCTTCAGATGTACTACACCCAATACAAGAGGCACTGACCGTGGATTATGGCAAAATACATGCTTCCGAATGCTATGCGTCCGTCGCAAAGATGGACAGGGATGCTCACTGGAGCTTAGATCCGCTCGCCTGGCCAGAGACTGCAATCCAGCCTTCGGCAACTTCGACCACAGCCAAGAATTTCGGAGACCAGTACGCCAACTTGCTACCAAGCTCATGGACGGCCGTGTCGATGACCTTGAACGAACAATGCGACGAGCTCTACATCACTCGATATCGATCTTCTCAGTCACCGCTGATCATCCGCCTGCCATTCTCTCGACAACGATCGGACGAAGCAGACGACGAGGTGTTTGATTTCGAAATGGGCAAGGATGAGCTCAAGGAGATCATCGAGCTTTCAAATTACAGCTGTCACAATTCTCTCGACACGAAAGCCAAGGGTGCAAAGACCAATTGGTGGAATGAACGTGAAGCACTCGATCGGCGACTCCAGGAGCTTCTCATCAACATGGAGAACCTCTGGCTTGGCGGGTTTAAAGGTATCTTCTCACAACATACGCACCAGCAGGACCAACTGGATCGCTTTCGCAGGTCTTTTGAGGCTGTCATGGATCGCCACCTGCCTTCACGCAAGTCTATTAAGAAAGGCTCCAAGAAGTTGGCGCTGGACGATCATGTCTTGGAGCTATTCATTGGCCTTGGAAGCGATCAGGATGGTGAAGTTGATCTTGATGAGTCCCTGGCGGACTTGCTATACTTCATTGTGGACATACTCCAGTTCAACGGCGAGCGAAACGCTTACGACGAGATCGACTTCGACAGCATGGCGATTGATATTCTCGACGCCTTGCGTACGTACCACGACTCGGTGGAAGAACAGAGCACATCGAGTGCGCACTTGATCTTGGTGCTGGACAAAAGATTGCAAGCGTTCCCATGGGAGAGTCTACCCTGCTTGGAGAGATGCAGTGTCAGCCGAGTGGACAGCATGCTCACTCTAAAGGATCGGCTGGCGCAGATGAAGAGAAAACGCAACAGCGACAACGGTCAATACATGATCCCTCGTGGCTCTGGAAGCTATATTCTCAACCCATCGGCCGACTTGAAAGGCACAGAGACGACGCTCAACCCGGCGCTGTCGAAGTTGGCGGCAAGTCGCTCCGATGGCTGGTCTTCGATAGTAGGGACCGCGCCTAGTGAAGAAGACTTCAGGGGCAGCCTCTCAAAGTCGTCAATGCTGTTATATTTCGGTCACGGTGCTGGGTCGCAATACATCAGCCAAAGAGCCATCAGGCGGCTTGATAAGTGCAGTGAGGTGGTCTGGCTGATGGGATGCTCGTCTGGTGCAGTCACGGAATACGATGAGCTGGAACCCACCGCGGTGCCACTTGCATACCTCGTTGCTGGCCAGCAAGATCCACAGCAAGAAGACCGATCCAAATGCATGGCCGTCGTATCCACACTCTGGGACGTCACCGACAAAGACATCGACCGCTTCTCGCTAGCGGTAGGAGAAGAATGGGGTCTCTGGGCCTCCGAATCCGAGTCCACAAAACTCCCCGCAAAGACGCCCAGAAAACGGGAGAAGCTCGCGGCGCCTTCGACGCCTGAGAAGGTGCCCAAGACGCCGAAGACGCCTAAGGTCAAGAAGACGCCAGCACCGGCGAGGACGCCGGCGAGGAGTCGGAGTAGACCGAGGGGTGGGGAGGATGGGAAGCAGAGTCTTGTGGAGGCTGTGGCGAGGAGTCGGGATGCGTGTTACTTGCGGTATTTGAATGGGGCGGCGCCGGTTGTGTATGGGGTGCCGGTTTATCTGGGTGATTGAGGGGATGGAATTATCATATTGGACTGAGGGGTGTCTTGTGATCGTTTGAGCGAGGCGCTGGGGAGGTTGTGTACTGTCGTTTTAGCTTCAATGCTCTAGCTTTGTCACATGAAGGTCAAGTGAATCTTCTCACTCTCCTCCTCGTGAACGCGTGTCAAGTATCTTACAGGATCAGCTGCAGAATAAGCTGCCTGAAGGACTACACATCGGCATGATCACCGACAAGTCCGGGGAGAAGAATGTGATAGATCCATCGGCGTAATATTGGGTGGTAGTACCGAATTCATATGCTGATCTTGATGCCTGACGCGGAGGAAGGAGCGGCCCGTGCAGGCAGGTGCGCTAAAGTGATTGGCGAGGCGGGAGCGGCCGTCGCATGCAAGGGCGCTCTTTGGGTCGCGGTCCAGCTTTGTTTGAAAACGCAGCAGCTGCAGCCTCACTCTTCCCACATCTCCAACACCTCTTCTTCCTCATCGTCGCACCAGCGAACTCCTCCTTTCTCCTCCCTCCATTCCGCGGAACCATCACCTCTGTTCCGCCCTTCATCAACTTCCCACTGGACGCCGTCGTCAGCGGATCGGTCGGTCGTTTTCCGCGAGCGGCACCTTCACACAACTCACCTTCCACGCAGTCCCCCATCGTAACCACCACAAACCACACACCAACACACCGACGGTATCACCAGCACCATGGCGGACCTCGACACTTACGACGATAACCAGCGCAACTACGACGGTAAGTTGCACCCTCCATCGTCAGCTTCAACATCTGTCAGCAGCATCACCGCAAACGGGTTGGCCGTCTTCGATCAGCCCAGTGATGCTGCTGCAGATACCGCCACTGCACCTGCTCGAAACGATGCATCCATGACAATCAGCATCAAAATTCTGACAGAGCTCCTTATAGACGATAGAGGCTACGCCGACCGCGACCGCTCTCGCTCCCCACAGCTCGATCGCGACGGCGACGTTCGTGTCCGCGACGAGCCCACCAACGGACGCCCCGACCGGTAAGAATGCGACCCAAGCTTATACAAAGCCATCACATGCTAACGCAGTAACAGCGACGAGCGACCGATCGAGAAGCACGGCGGCGGCCCCGGCGGCGAAGATGCAGTCAACCCAGGATCCAACCTCTTCGTCACCGGCATCCACCCACGTCTCACCGAAGAGGAGGTCTCCCGCCTGTTTGAGAAGTACGGACAAGTCGAGAAGTGCAACATCATGCGCGACCCACACACCCGCGAGAGCCGTGGCTTTGGCTTCGTGAAGATGGTGACGGCAGAAGAGGCAGATGCTGCCAAGGAAGCGCTGCAGGGCGAGGTCTACGAGGGCCGCACCCTGAGCATCGAGAAGGCGCGTCGCGCTCGCCCACGCACGCCGACTCCAGGCAAATACTTCGGACCACCAAAGCGAGGTCCGCCACCCCATTCCTTCCACTCCTACGACTACTGTTGGATCTTCCCCTCTACCTGGTGGTAGCGTTACGGCTATGCTGACAGCTTGACAGACGACCGCCCACCACGTGGTGGATTCCGCGGTGGTGATCGCTACCACGACGTGAGTACATCCTTGATACCCTCTCATTGACAATCCATATTTACTGACGCTCAGAAGGACCGCTACGACCGCCGCGATGACCGCCGTGGAGGTGGTGGAGGCTACCGCGATCGCTACGACGACCGTGGTGGCTATGGACGCCGCGACGACTACGGCTCACGCCCCGATCGCTACGGCTCTTCTCGCGGCGACGACCGCTATGGCGACCGTCGTGGAGGTGGCTATGGCGGAGGTGGCTACGACCGGGCTCCACGTGGCCCACCACCAGAGGCTGCCGCTCCCTACGGCGGTGACTCTGGCGCCCCACCAGCTCGAGGAGGCTACGAGGACCGTCGTCGTTACGACTAGACCAGCGAAGCGACCAAGGTTTGATGCAGGCGTGAGTGATGCTAATGACCCAGGCATCACGAGCAATGCATCAAGTCGCTCGACATGAAAGCATCACAAGATTCAGACTGCATCCAAGGAGTTCTTGCGGGAGTACGGCACTCACACACCCTTGTACTACTACTTCACCTTCCTTTCTCCCGGTGCGACTTCTGCATGTGTTATTAGCGGCGTCAAGAAAGGGTCGTCGATGCAGTGCGGCTCACTGGGAGATACTCGAGCTCCCCGATCGTCGTCATCATCAAGTGGGAGCCTCTCGCTGTCACCATTCTCGGCAATCAGTGTAATCGATCAGACAACTTTCATTCCATAATTTCGGCTCGCCATCGTCGACCAAGTGCCATCCAGCGGTGCTCTCTCGTCACCAACACCTGTTGGAGTACAGCTTCCGTGGCACACCTCAAATCGCATCGACCGTTGCACCATTCACGTCATGACTCAAGCCAACCTCGCTCCGCCTGTACAGCTTACCTTTTCCACCACTTCCCGCCACGACTCGCCTTGTCGCACTGGGCACCAGCTCCGTCTCCAATGTAACAACACCTCTCCGCCATAGCCGACAGTTCCGCCCTTACAGCAGTACCTTATCGACAGACCTATCGCTTTCGTCGTGCGGGCTTCTATCGACTCCGTACATGCCAGGTCCTGCGGCAACTGGTCTAGCTTACATTCCAGACCGCCCCCTCAGACATTGTCTCCCTTGATTCTTGTCATTTGCTGATCAGGTTCACAGATTGCGTAAGACCCACGGAAGACTCGTCACGCCTTGAAAAGGCTTTCATCGCATTCACGTTCCTACTTCTTATCGGCAACGCCTCCACGAATCCCGCGACGATTCAGCCCATAATCATATGAGCTTGACATCAGGGACATTCTTGCTGTTGCATGAGATCACAAGAGATTGAGAGCAAAACAGACAACTGCAAGGTAAGTGCTTGGGTCGCTGCAATTGAACGCAGTTCTCTATATTTATGCTTTTGTCGTATTCGCAACTCTCGTCGCTGTCGAGAGCTAGACGTCACCAGTATCCTTCGAATGTTAGCACCTGTACAATGAGCAATATCACGATTTCACAATCTCACCGAGCATCGTATTCTGGCTATGCAAGATCCATCTCCCTTCGGCGTCCCTCCCAGAAGTAAAGACCGTAATATGCTTCCTCAGCAGTTCCGTCACCTGAGGCCCACCCGTCTCCGTGGCATACGCAAACGTCCGTCCCACGCCCTAATCCCAGTCGGCCTCAGTCACGCACCGCGGCAAGCCCAGCTCGAAACCGGGACACTTGGCTATGACATTCTTAAAGTCCTCGATCAACCTAGCCTTGGACCCCGACGTCGGCCGGTACCGTGGCAATCTGCACCCGGAAGTCCTCGGCGATGTAGTCCCAACAGGGGGTTGAAGTGTTTGTGAAGGAGCGGTCGTTGATGGATTGGGTGACCGACTGGATGACCCATTCGAGGTGGGATTTTACTTCGGGGATGGCGGAGGAGGAGAGAGTGGAGGGGATTTCTTGTTTTTGGTGGTGCTGGTGGTGGTGGTTGTGGTCTTTCGTGGGGGTGGTGGTTGATTGGGGTTGAGGTCTGGGTTGGGAGTTGGGGCGTAAGGATGGCATTATTGGATCTGTGGCTTTTCTTTTTCGTTCGGATGTAGGGTTGTATGGCAAGACTTGTGAGAGCCAAGAAGGCGTTTTGTTTGAGGGAAGTTGGATGGGTTTTCTTGGCCCTATATGCTATCATCACATGCTAACTACATAGCGAGCTCGGACTTAGTCAGTAAGCGAGAGTTTAAATTCTCACACTTGCTTGATTTGAGATGGGGTTGATGGGGCTGAAAGATTTTTAGGGTTGGAGTTACTTTTGGACGAGCGAGACTTCACTTGTTGCGTAGGGGTAGATGATTTGAATTCTTTACTTTTTGTAGTAGTGGCGATAGATGTTGTCTGTGTTACGTCCGAACGTTTTCTAGAAAGCCGCCTGGTGCGAGGTGAATGACTCTAGCAGAGCCGGAGAAACTCGTCATCAGTCAAACCGAATTTATACTCGACATTCTAGCGAACCCTCGCCCGCAAGAATCTTGTCACTGTATGAATCTGAGAGCTGGCACAATCCAGAACCTGGATCAAGGACACGTAAGGGAAAGTCACAGGCTAAAGTCCTGGACCAAGTTTGTCTTCCTCCTCGATCTCGCTGTGACCAGTCACCTCTGGCATACTGTTCTTTGCCGTACGATCTTGTTGACCGAACGGCTGTCGATTTAGTTCACGTTCTAAACCGCTCAGGACCCCCCAAGGTGTCGAACTGGGGTCTGAAAGCTGTTCCAATGACACAGGATTTGATTTGCCTTCTTGCATTCTGATCAGCTAGCGAGTTTCTTGTAGATCTCAACCGAGTAGATGGAAAGCCGGAAGAGTTCGGTCAATCAGTTCTTGGTTATTTTGCCTGCCTTCCCTGAAGTGCCGAACGAAAGCTTATACGGTGCCCTGCCATTCCTTTCCTTTGGTTCGTGTCTGGGTCATTTTAATCGACACCTTCTTCCTGGAGGTTATCGATACCCCATTCCTTCTCTTGCTGCAACCTCTCAATGTGAACTTGCTGATGGATACAATCGGGAAATGCGTCACATAGATATTCAGATAGAATGCTATCCCGTCCCACTGCAAAGTAAAACAGGTCTTCGTGGCTGACAATGTGGTTTGGTTGGCTATGTGCTCCCTTGAGCGATGGACCTACGACCAACGAGCATATGGCCGGTGGTGATCCATGTCGTTCTATGAAGTCCTTGCGCTGTTGAGCGATTTTCGAGAACTCCCAGTACTCGTGGTACGGCTCTTCCAAGTAAGATGGGATGCAGCAATTTTGGCTGCCGCAGGGAGTCTGGGTAAGGACAGCATGCCATTCCCGATCTTCGTTGTTTTGACGACACCACTTCGATGCCTGGGCCAGAGATGGACGACACCAACGCGAATGTAACCAGCAATATTTCACGCGGCTGGCTAGGGCTTGCTGTCGCATGCTGTACGCCTGAGGCGAGCTTGGTGGTTCGCTAGTCGTCCTTTTGTTGGAAGACTTGCGAGAGTTTGCAATTCTGAGGACTATTTCGTCATCGCGAACGTCCTGGCCTCGTTGCAGCCGCCTGCCGCCTTCATGAGATACGACTTCAGGCAACCATTGGCCACCACTCAGTTCGATCTCATACCGAACATAAGATCGCCAGGGACCCTCTACGTCTTCGGTCGTCCATTTTCTTGGTGTCCAACAAATCGTTTGCGGCACATATGGCGAAAGTGGCCAGGACCAAGGTTCCAGTTGTAGGACCCATGTGTCCAAGTCAAGAACATGCTCTACGCAGACTCTCCACTCTGATGATGTTGACTCTCTGTAGAGGCGTTTTACCTGGCACCCAAAAAGTCGCTTGTAGGTACGCTTCTTAGTACCAGGCCACAGCTCGGCTGAATTCTGGTCTCGATCCATGCCAGCTACCACCTGCGTGGGTTGCTGATCGAGACAAATTTGAGCAGTCGGCTGGTGATTTGCAGCCACGACCATCGCACTCGATACCATGGGCTGCGATGGTGCAGCCAAGAATGTCGCCACGAGCGTAGCTACTTGAGTGGACATTGCCTGGTTCGTGGCCAAAAGTGTTCCAGTGAGGCCGGAATGAAATATCTGGAACGCCATCGAAAGGCTGTTCTTCGATCTCTCCATGTCATTGCACAAATCGATGACTTCAGACATCTTCACAGCAGCGTATATCCGACCGCGTAGTTGGGATCTCTGGTGCATATTCTCGATCTTTCTGGTGGCTGATACGATCTCTCGCGTCCTGTCTTCACACATCTCGATGCATTGAGTGAGCACGTCTGAATCTGAGACGCCATGCTGGAGGCGCACATCTTCCAGGTTCCGGAGTATGTTCGAAAATAAGTTGATCTCTCGGGCGAGCGATTGCAAACGTTTGGGAGCTCTCTCGACTTCGTCGTAGAACTTCTTCAGCTTGACAGCACTGTCTGCCAGCTGAATAGCTAAGGACAGGAGGCCAGCGCCACTTGCAACGGCGCCAAAGACTTCAGCCATGAGTGAATGAGTATTGCGAGGTGATAGTCGCTCCCGAAGCTGTACAGCCGCTGCGATTAGAAAAGAGGCAAGCGCGCCAGCGCATCGCTCGAAACCCTCACCATGAGGCTGAGGCCGCCTAGCTTCTGGGCTGCTGAATCCAAGTTGATCATCCAGAGTAGTAGCACAATGATGCAAGTGTGCAGAGCCGAGCACGCTGAATGGCAGCCTAGCGAACATAGGACACAGCCCATAGCGAACGCGCTTCGATGTCGGGATAAGACGAGGGATTACATCAGGTGAGTAGTCGGAGTCGGTCAGAACTTCGAAAGCTCGGGGTGTAGTAGGGAAGATGGGCACAACGAGCTGGCTGCTGGACGTAGGTCCGGTGCATAGCCACATATGAAGAGCGATGGTAGTGATGCAGGTGTGTTCCTCCAATTCTGGACCGCACTGACTCTAGCCAGGTGTTTGTTTTGCCCACTCTTCATGCAACTCTTCAGCGAGATTGGCGTTGACAGGCCATCCAGTATGTGCCTGATGGTCTTGAATCAGCTCAGCAATGCACGCCCGCTTCGCCTCGTCGTTACAGAACAGACCCGCAGCAAACAAGCACTGCGTGGACATGAACCGCGCAGCGTCGTCGCTCAGCTTCAATGCGATGCCGCCGATTGTATCGATGCAGTCGGTAATGATCCTGTCTCGGCCCATGTATTCTAGGTACCCGTTCGCGGCAGGCTGGTGGATGAGGAGGAGGATGCGAGCCATGCAGTACATTTGGAGGGAGGTGCCGAAGGCAGGTGGGTTGATCCAGAGAGGCCTGAAGGCTCTGTTCGAAGGTCCCTCGACGGGAAGAGGGTCGAAATGGAAGCTGATGTTGGTCCGCCACTCGTCGAGCATGTTGAGGAGTGTGTTGGCTCGTAGGATGCGACTCGGCAAGTCTCGCTCTCCTGACACCTTCTCTTCCACGGAGGCGTAGTTGACCGCCTGCGCCAGGATGTAAATGACCTTAGAAGCCATGTCCCACATACTCATGGCTTGGTAAGACTTCGTAGGTTTGAAGAAGCTGAAGCAACGTCTGTGTTCACGGAAAGCAGCCCAGACATCCTGCCGTAGCCAGGCCCACCATATGGCTTGTTCAAGGCCGCCGGACTCACCATTGATTTCGCGACTTCTTTGGATCCAGAACACACCTTTCAGATGTCGTTCCCAGCCATTGCCAGCACCATCTATCATTTCGTACTTGCTGACGATTAGCACTGTTGCGAGTAGTTCCAAACTGTTCTTGTACGAAGTGAAGCGCATCGCCGTCTGCAAGTATTGCAGTGTCTCATAATAATACTGCACTGCAGCTGTGCGGTCGATGCTGGCCTCGCCGCTGTTCAACGGCTTGATCGATAGATGTCTGGCTCCCAGTGCGAGGATAGCCTTCATCAGCCCTTCATTCTGCAATGCAAGATGAGGTACGAAAGTGGCGAAATGCTTCATGGGGTCGAAGAGATCGATCCACGAGCTCACGCCATTGACGAAGCGTTCGAACATGTCATACTCGTGGCCCTTCAGCTGAAGAGGCTCAAGAGCCTGCCAGAACTGTCGCTCGTCTGTCGCGCCATTGGCTCCATTCAAGGGCGCTGGCGAGATGGCGGAGATCTGAAGCAACTTGGACGGATTTTGCAGAGCTACGGCTTCGGCGAATGTGCCATTTGGTTGGCTCGCAGGGCGATGCACTATGTCCTGTCGTATGTCAGTGCATGCTCGGTGCTCGTCTCGAGGTAAGGGATGACTCTATGTGAGTTGAATTGCGCTCAAGTGGGCTTACCTGGGTCGAAACTCCCTCTCGATGGATCTCATAGCGTCGTGCGAGGGCGGCATCGCTAAGAGTCTCGAGAGAGGGAATATCCAAGCTCGCATGTGCCGCGTCTCCGGCCAGAAGCCCAAACCATCTCAGTGGTGCGACCTCTGTGCCATACCCCGTGGAGTTGGAGTAGCTGCTTTGGGGGCTGGTGATTTGAAGGCCGTCATCGATTGGGGTGACTGGCCATTGCTTGGACGTTGACCTCGTCTCTGTCCCGGTGGATAAGCTTGCTCGTTTCGGTGGTGGTGGAGCTATGTCCGAAGCAGAGGATATGCTCGGACGGGATCTTTGAGTTATGGGTGACGGAGCGCCCACGCTCGTCGTAACGGATGCTGTCGAATTGTGCCGTGGATGGCTGTTCTCTGCGCCTGTGTCTATCTCTGAAGGCAAGGGGCCGTAGACACATGGACGGTTTCCCTTCGCACAAGGAGTACAGACAGGTTTGATTTCATCACATTTCATGTGACGCTTCCTGCAGACGGCGCTGTGTGGAAAGTCAGTCAGTCAGCATGTTCTATGTGCTCATTTGCATGATCTATGCCGTAGCCAAGACTCTACGCATGTGAATGTAGAGTGAGGTGAATCATTCTCTCTCCTGGCAGCCATCAAAAGGCACACGCCTATGCAAGCAAGGCTTGGCCTGGAGGTTCACAGATGATGCACACGCCAGGACCAGGCTGTCTGCATAGGAACCATATGCTCCACTGCCACGCGATAGACAAGATAGCGTGGCATCTGGTGCGACAACATCATCAGACTTACCAGCCTGTCGTCGTACGAAGCCCGCGTCCACGAGACTTTCGGGGCTTCCGTACAGGACCCGGAGCCGAGGACGTGTTCGGCGCAGGAAAGGCATTATTTGGGACATCGTGCTGTTGTTGTTGTTGTTGTTGTTGTTGTTGTTGTAGGTTCGGCTCCTGCATCGCGTCTCATTGTCGTCCGTGGCGGGTCGGTGGCACAAAGACGTGCTCGAGGCGAGGGCGAGGGAGAACGATGAGATGAGATAGCGTCGCGTGGGCAAATCTGGGGCTGGTCACAAGCACCGCACCGCTCTTTCCCGCCTGTTCACTCTCCCCTCATCCTTCCACTCGGCTACGGTCGTCGTGGGGAAAACGTGGTCGAGCTTGACTGCATTGGCCTTCCCCGCCTCGTGGCTGTCTGCCAGGGCGGCCCCGAGACGAGGCAGCGGCCTGCCTCCGACGGCGAGAGAACTTCGGGTGCTTCATCTCGCCTGACTCGAACAGGCCTGAATTACGGATCTGTGACGAGAAAAAGCTGCACTCCACCGGTACGGCATCCACTACGACTGGTCAAATGTGGATTCCCCATGCCTCCATGGGGCAGGCCTCGCACGCGGAGGCGCCTCACGGCTAGCATTGTGTATGCCGGTCGTTCCATCGTCAGATACAACCACGCGACTGGGGATTTGTATATGATTGTTCTCGTCGACCTGCTCATCGCGAGCGGCTGCGAAGGTGCTACTCCCTAGTCAAGCGTCCTCCCTGGATTGCCCTTGCGTTGGCCGAACGAAGATTCCCCCTTGCCTTTGTTAGGAGTGAGAATTTTCACCCATCGACTCCATCGACAACAACGTCCAACATGTCGTCCATCGACGATGCCAAGCAGAACGACATCGAGTTCGTCGAGGAGAGTGCCAGCCATGATGAAGAGCGGGCGAGAGAAGAGAAGGCATTGGTCCGGAAGATCGACCTATACCTTCTTCCAACAATGTGGCTGATGTATCTCCTATCATACATGGATGTAAGCCTGCAATGCATCTGATTGACGAAGAATCGTGCTGATGATATGCCAACAGAGAACAAACATCGGTATGTTGCCTTTTCAAAATGTCAGCGTCTGAGTCCCGCTGACTTTTATTTGAAGGTAATGCGAAGATTGCTGGCATGACCGACGACCTGGGCATGGACTCGAACCAGTACTCCATCAGTTTGGTCGTCTTCTTCATCGTATGTACAGTGGCCATCGCAGAAGAGTGGCTCCCTAAATGCTAACACATATGACAGACCTATGTCCTCTTCGAAGTTCCCTCCAACTTGATTCTCTCCAAGACCAGACCATCGGTCTTCCTCGCTACAATCATGGCTCTCTGGGGCATTGTCACTTGCTGCATGGCTAAAGTCGAAACATACGGACAACTCGTGGCACTCCGTGTCATAGTCGGTATCCTAGAAGCAGGCTTTGCTCCAGGAATCCTACTCATCCTGAGTTCATGGTACAAGAAAGCAGAACAATCGAAGCGCTTCGCGGTCTACATCTCCGCAGCCGTCCTGTCAGGAGCCTTTGGCGGCATTATTGCTGGAGCGATCACGGACAATCTCGACGGCCGCTACGGCATTCGAGGCTGGAGATGGCTGTTTATCGTCGAGGGAGCCGCCACTGTGAGCTGGGCGCTTGTATCGGGTTTCATCCTCCCAGACTTCCCTGCCAACACCAAGAAGTTCAATGCGCGCGAGAAAGAGCTTGCCATTAGACGTCTTGAGGAAGACGATGTTACCAACAGGTCGGATGATCGCCCGAGGTTGACTTCCATGCAAGCCATGAAGGATTCCATCACTTCATGGAGGGTGTGGATCCTCATCCTCGGATACATGGTCATCGTCGGTTCGTACTTAAACTTGCTTCGTCGTTGAAAATATGGCTAACATGCTCTAGGGTCTTCCACCCTGTCATATTTCTATCCTACGCTCGTCCAGGGACTCGGATACACTTCGCACATGGCACAGTACATGGTCGTCCCCATCTACGCTGTTGCTTTCGTGTGTGTGGGAGTTACCGGCTACTTCAGCGACAAGTTCCCGCTGCAACGAGGTGCCATCATTGCAGCATGGCTAACAGTCTCCTTGATCTGCTCGATCATCATCTGCGTGGTGTACAACTTCACTGCACGTTACGCTCTGCTCGTTATTATGGCGGCAGGTCTCTGGAGCACCAACGGCCTCTCCCTATCCTACGCATCGAGCACATTCGCAAGCATGCCACAGGAAACAAGAGCAGTGTCGCTGGCGCTTGTGAATGCTCTCGGCAACCTTGCACAGATCTATGGTGCTTATCTCTTTCCGTCCGACGATGCGCCGAAGTACTTGCTTGGGTTTGGTGTCATTAGCGGGATGTGCGCATTCGGTGTGTTCATCTATGCGTTGGCTCACGTGCTACTGCGGAAGTACATTCCGAAGAACTAGTTGATGCTACTAGAATTGAATGAAGTTGATTGTACACTCAAGCTTCAGCCTCAAAATTACTGCAGTGCTTCTATCAACGCGCATTTGTGAAGACCCGGGGGCATATGGTATACCCGCAGATCCATGATGGCAGAACTATGCAGTCGATACTGTTGGGCCGCTTAACATCGCCATGCGCTCGTTCTTCTCGTCATCGGACAAGAGACCAGTTTTTGGACTCCTTTCATGGGCAACATCGACAAGTCGACCTCGAAACTCGACCGACGCCTTCAATACACTACTGTATAATGCCACCCTTGTCGTTGCCGTAGCAGAACAAGACGCATAGTGCAGTCATATTTAGGCTCCACGGTCAAATTGTCTCCAGACAAACAGGCCAGGAGAGTGGGGAAAGGGATATAATAGCAACTTGAAGGCTGGGAGCAGATCAAGAATCGATGTTTCGAAAGTCTGCATTCAAACAAGCACTCAAGTGAGGACTGCTTCGAATGAGGCATTGAGCAATGTTTCTTGGACGTGGAATGAAGTTGGAAGTGAACTCGGGTGAGATGTAAAGTGAGATGTCTGCTGATCTCTCAAATGAGGGGCTGGGCCTAGGCTAGAGAGACGGCTTAAGTGAGGTTTCTAGTGAAGAGTCGGGTGAGCAGTCGAGTGAGACTTCAGATGATTGTTGAAGTGAAGATGAGGCGATTCTGGGTATGGACTCTGGAGAAGGATAACAGCATAATGCGGGCAACAAGACGGAAAGTTTTGACCACGAAGATAGAAGCATCAAAATTGACACGCATCTCTCATCTTTTGATCCTGTCCGTGCTAATGGCATGGTCCATGGCTTTCTGGAGTATTGGAGATGTTGGGAGAAAGGGTGAGGTGATGTATCCTCACAATAGAGTTTGTCTCTAGCGGGAACGTGCGGCGGAACAGGGATCTTACATTAGCGCCGCGCTAGTGAAGCTGCGCGCACGTTTCATGACTTCTTTACTTTGGCAGCTTCCTCGACTACACTTCTCACCACAACAACAACAACACGCACCACCAACGACGACATCACCATGGAGCGCAAGCCCTTCCCCACCGAGCAAGAGTCGTTCGGCGACGACGAGCGCGTCTCGTACAGCAAGACCACGCAGACCTACATCCTCGAAGACGAGAACGGCATCGAGTGGGAGTGGCTGCCAACTGTCAACAAGTGGACGCAGACGGTATGGCACTCGGTAACTCCTGTGATATGAACAGGCTCTTGCCTGCGTGTTGACCTCTCGTATTCCACACGAAGGCCGCAGCAGACCACTAACATCATGCCCACCACCATAGATTTCTGAAGAAGAGATGATGCAGCAAGCCGAAGCCTACAAGGTGGCCGGCGTCGATGAGCATGCGCCCGCTCTCAACCCCGCTCAGAAGCGCAAGCAAGCCCAGCTGGAGGATGTGAGTCACCCCTCCACACAACCCTCATCATCCGTTCACGAGCACTACTGACATCTTCACAGCTGGAGACTAACCCAAAGGCCGCCAAGTCTGGACCAGGAGCTGCCAATGCCGGAACCTCAGCCAATGCCGGAACCTCAGCCAATGCCAATGCCGATGGTGCCAATGCCGGTGCCAGTGCCTCAGCCAATTCCGCGCCTGCCACGCGCAAGAACACCGCCATCTGGGTCACTGGTCTTCCTACGGATGCTAACCGCGATGAACTCACCCAGTTCTTCGCCAAGTTCGGCATGATCAAGGAGTCTGTCGAAGACGACTCCAAGCGGATCAAGATGTACGCCGACGAAGAGGGCAACTTCAACGGCGAAGCCCTGATCAGTAAGTACCTATCCTCCACGTTGTGGCAAATACTGACGACGTCGCGTAGTCTACCAGGGGCCGGAGTCGGTGGCCAACGTAATTCGAATGTACGATGGCCAGCCACTTCGCCTCGGGGATACCAGCACCAAGATGTCCATCCAGCCTGCCGACACCAACTACAAGTCGCAGCAGGGCAACACGGTCAAGGAGGGCGGCAACAAGCCGAAGCCCTCCAAGGCCAAGCTCAAGTCCAAGGCCGAAGACGTCAATCGGTACGTATCGAAGTCACCGTCCACGAGATGAAGTGTGCATGCTAATTCGATACCTCGCTTCGCAGTCGCCTCCGAGAATGGAGTGATGACGAAGAGCCTGTCGCTACCACGAAATCGAAGGATGAGCAGTTCAAGATGGTCGCGATCCGAAACGCCTTCACGCTGCACCTCCTCGATGAGGATCCCGAACTCAAGAGCGGCGTCTACGACGACATGAAGGATGCGGGCGAGGAGCATGGCGTAGTCAAGAACGTAACCGTCTTCGACAAGGAGCCTAGCGGTTTGGTGACGGTGCGCTTTGTTGATGCAGCCGCTGCCCAAGCATTCGCCGCCGCGATCCAGGGCAGGAGCTACAACAAGGGTCGCATCCTCCGAACCGAGCTCATTTCGGGTAGCGATCCCAAGTGGCAGAGAAACAAGAAGACACAGGCCGAGAAAGACGAGGAGGAGGAGAAGCGCATCGAGGAGTATTCCAATTACATCGAAGGCAAGGAATAGATCCTAGTTATTGACATTCATTGGCAGTTAACAGCAATGAGCTTCGACTTCGACTTCGACTTCGGTTCACGGCGTTTTGGCTGGGATGGTGAAGCCAGGAAGGCAGGCGGTTTGCATCACGGAGATACCCATTGAGAAATTGGCTGGAAAGCAGGAGGCTGGATGTGCGAAAAAGTGCTTTTGCAGCAGCAGCGATTACTCTCTTCTAGCATGGCGTCAATGGGGTAGTCTCACTCACACACAAAACTTTGCGCTCTGAAAGCGTCATCATCAGAATTCTGTACAGGTGTCGTGAAGTCAAGAAAGCCGCCCGTCCCATCCACCCATCCACCGATCCATCCACCCAAGCCGCCCTGTTGTGACTCCTCCGCTGTTGTTTATTCCTGTTTGTTTACCTGTACGCCTGACTCCTCCCTTCGTAAGGAAATTATGTTATGATGTTGTTACAGTCACTCGGGGCGCGCAGATCGTCGCCCGCGATATTGCGTGCGTCCTCTCAAGTCGCCGTCCCAACAGGCGAAGTAGTATCCCTCGTAAACGTCCTCAAAGGATAATCATTCTTCTCGATCCTCATCGCCGGCTGCCCCCTCGTCAAACTCCTCACACTCTGCCCATCATCGAAATCCTCATGATCCCGCATCCCCTCCGGCTTGACGTCCCTCACCAACTCGACGTAATCGTACGCGAACTCGCCGATTTCCGCATCGTCGATGCCCATCTCTTCCTCTTCCAACGTCGCGCGCAACTTGAGTGCCGGGATGAAGCGCGAGGTGAAGGAGATGAGTAGCAGGATGCCGGACGTCATGACGAAGCTCCAGATGAAGCCGCTCGCGGAGTCGGCGAGCTGGACCGCGAGTTGCACCCAGTTGTGGTTGACCCAGCCGCCTGAGATGACGGTGTAGCCGTCAAGGGCGGCAATGTAGTCTGCGGCGAAGAAGCCTGTGCAGAGGTTGCCGATGAAGCCGCCGACGGTGTGCACGGCGAAGATGTCGAGGGCGTCGTCGGCGCCGATCCAGTATTTGAGCTGCGTGGCGAAGTTGCAGCCTACGCCGGCGCAGATGCCGTAGACGACGGCTGCCCACGCCGGGACGTAGCCGGAGCCTGGGGTGATTGCTACGAGGCCGGAGATGACGCCTGAGCAGAAGCCGACGGTGGACCATTTCTTTTCGAGGCGGTAGTCGACTAGACACCAGGTGATGCCGCCGACGCAGGCGGCGAGGTTGGTCACCACAGCGGCCATGACGGCGCGGAGGTTGGCGCTGAGGGCGGACCCGGCGTTGAATCCGAACCATCCCACCCAGAGGAACACGGTGCCGATGACGATGTGCGTGACGTTGTGGGGGCGGTAGTTGAGGGCGTGGGTGCCGTGGCCGGTGCGTTTGCCTAGGATGTAGGAGTATGCGAGGGCGGCGGTGCCGGAGGAGATGTGGACGGGGGTGCCGCCGGCGAAGTCGAGGCCGCCGAGTTTGTAGACCCAGCCGTTGGGGTTCCAGGTCCAGCAGGCGATGGGGTCGTAGACGATGGTCGTCCAGAGGAACATGAAGATGACGCAGGGGAGCATGCGGCCGCGTTCGGAGACGGCGCCCACTGCAAGGGCGATGGTGATGGCGGCGAACATGCCTTGGTAGACGCAGAATAGGAGATCCGGGATGCGTTCGCTGCCCACGCTGGGGTGGCCTAGGACGTCCATGAGGGCGAAGTTATCGAGACGGCCGATGAAGGGGCCCGCGTTGTGCGAGAAGGCTAACGAGTAGCCCCAGAAGAACCACTGGAAACTGACGACGGCGACGGCCATGACGGATAGCCAGATCAATGAGAGGGCGGACTTTCTTCGTGCAAGACCTGAGTAGAAGAAGCCGACGCCGGGAATCATGAGCAAGACGAGGGCCGTCGATGTGAGCATCCATGCTATATCGCCAGATTCGTAGTAGAGATTGAGGTTTTGCGTGAGCGAGTCGCCGCCCGTTGCTGGAGTCGAGGCATTGTTGTCGGGGAATGATTCGAGGGGAACGTATGGAAGGGCAGATGTTGAAGCCATATCGGCTGAATCGTCAACGCCTGGTCAGGCGGGTTCGTAAGAATGTCAAGGACAGCGAGAGTGGGATGCGGGAGAAAGAGGTCCTAGCAGGAAGTCGACATGCGTGGTGGCGTGCGGTTTAAAGAGAGTAGTTGAGAGTGGTAGTGATCGTTGTGCCCCCTTCGGCAGAATCACGACAGTGGTTATATTGGCTTTTTGACGTTGGACGAGTCCCTAGGTGCGACTGACACAGAAGAGGAGGGTAGGATCAGATGGGCGAACGTCGGTTTTTATGGTCCGTCAGCTCCTCATCTGGCTCTCCTCTTCTTCAGGGTCCGTATGTGGCAATCACGGAGGGCCGTTGGGATGTGGGATGCGATGTGCCAGATGCCGAGAGCCTTATATCCAACGGTGCAGGTCAGAGCTGTGGGAGTGGTATAGGGATGACGATGAGGAGGACACCTGCTGGTTGCACGGCAGGTAGCAAGCTCTTTGTGGCGTCTTGTAGAACGGCAAAGCAAGATGGCGACTAGGACGACTGGCGGAGGGCAGCAAGCAGCATGATAAAGGGGAGCGACGCTCTCTTCTAGTAGGCGGGTGTGGCAGCTCTGTCGTCTTCCCCACTGGCGTCCCCATCGCAGCCAAGGCTGTCCATCTCTTGTGCCTCGCGTAGGCCCAGGTGACAAATGAAGAGCTTCACACAGAGGAGCGCGGCCGGTGGGCAGGATTCGACGCCCGTCAGCAGCGCCCAAAATGAACCTCTGCTGCGTCTTTTGCTGCTGCTACTGCTGCCGCCCCCCCGTCTGCACGCACATGCAGGTAGGAAGATGCCGCGAGGACCCAGGCTGACGGCTCTCCTTATCTCGATCCAATCGCGGCGCCGTACCTTGCGGATGGCGTTCCATTCGGCCTAGCGCCCGCTGCGAGCTTGGGCAAACTCAATTCCCATCCCTTTGCTTCCCCTTCCGCGCGCTGGCGAGGAAGCGTCGCGCCTCTCCTCCGCGAGATGCATATTACAGTCCCTAGCACAAACGTTAGTAACCCCTGCTAGTTTAACTGTTAATACTAGTCCTATATAGATATATAATTATTACTACTACTTTATATACCCCCTATTATTATTAAGAACTACTTAATACTTTTCTTTTATACTTTAATAGACTCTAGCTATATTAGAGATTAATAGCTTTACCTATTTAATCTATATAGCCCTTATAACTTCCTCTCTTGTCGTAGGGAAGTACTAGCTAATTCTATACTTTAAAAGACTCTATATATTTTTAATTAGATTAAAATCTAGTAAGTTAGCTAGCTAGTAAAAAAGCTTAATATCTAGATCCTTAAAGAGTAAAATTATAGTTTTTACTTTATAGATTAATACGTTATTTTATATAATAATTATAGACTACTAAAAGAGTAACTAGCTCTTTTAAGAATAAACCTTTTTATAGATAAAAAAAATAATTTATTATTTATAGATATCTCTAGTTACTTTCCCCTTATTAAAGATATAGTATTCCTCTAGCCTAGCTACTAATATCTACTCCTATATTATATAGGCTAAGTATTTATAGAAGCGTAATATAAAGTAGTTATTATTAAAAGCTTTTTAAGTAGTTTTTATAACGTAGACTTATTTAAAGTAGCTATATTAGATTAAAGTTTTATTAGTCTATATAACTCTTATCTACTATTTATCTATCTAGTTTACGTACTCGTACGCCTATTATAGTTTTACTTACTTTTACTTTTTAGTAAAAAATAGCTTTTTCGTTACTATATATCGTATATAACCCTTCTTTTTAAACGTAGTTCGAAGTATTTAGATATCTTATAATATACTTTTAAGCTTAGTAATCTAATTAAATCTAAGCCGTTTTAAGTATATATTAGCTATAGCTATAAAGGAATACTAAAAGATATTTAGAAATCTAAGAAGGACTAAAGTAAACCTTCCCTATATAATAGTATATATAATTCCCTAGTACGTATTTTATACTCGCTATATACGAGAATAGAGAAGATAGAAGTTTATTCTACGCTTAATCTAGTACTAGGTTAATTAGAGTTCTATATATTACTATAACCCCCTATTATAGTTTAAACTTCTCTATCCTATAGTCGTAATCTATAGAACCTAAAAAACGACGATAGTTAACCTCGCTAGCGCGACGTAGGCGCCTCCTTCTAGCGTTACCTCCCTATCTCCTAACGATTAGTTCGAGTAGAACTCTTAGCCTAATATTACTACTAAAATTAAGAACTTACGA